GCTGCAAGTCGCGATCCCGCGGCAGGAGAAAAATTTCCTTTCAGAGGGTCCGATTGGTGAGGATGGGCCCGATGTCAGGGTGATGTAGTCACGTATTTAATTTACCCTGCCCTGCCTAGGCCTGTCGGAGTAGATTAATCTTGAACCATCTGGATAGTGGATGGCAAATGCAGGGTATGTTTGGTAGGTTGGGTAAGGCACAGGGCGTGGGCGTGGCGTACCTATCCGTTGGAATTTTTTTTCCATTTTTTAAATTTTCCGTTTCTCCTTTCCTTGCAAAGGCTACACATTGAGTACACAATTATGCTAGAAGGATAATTTTCTATTACAACAAATTAAATTCTATTTCATTGTTTAATTTGCCTACTAATTCTTTTCATTGTCAACAAAGTAGGACAGGACGAATACTACCTACTACTGTATGAAGTTCTCCAGAACCAACAAACATCCTCGTACGGAATCCGGATAGATCGTCCTTGGCAAAGAAGACCCTGTGCTAGTTCGTCCATGCCCACGCCACGCCCATGTCGTCTGCTGCTGCTCCCTTGTCGCTGTCGTTCGCCAGCACGGGTGACTACCGCACCGCTGCAGTTTCGGATCCAGGCACGTACCCTACGGAGTACATTACAAACTCTACTTCAATAGTGGGCGATTGGCAATTGACAATTCCGGTCTCAGATTTGCAGATTGGCAAGTCAATAATCTGCATGCATGCAATTACTATGTACGGAGTAGGAGGGATCAACTCAGACTGGTCCACAGAAGTCCAACGGTCCATCATTTTTTGTCCCTTCCCGCCGCCCAATTTTTCTGATCGGCACGTTTCGGTTTGGTTTTGGTTACAGGATACAGGGTGATGTTTGGGGCTGGTTTGGGCTGGGCTGGGGGTGACGGGGTCGGGCAAGGTAGGAAGTTCAATTTTCCACATGACTACTCCGGAAAGAGAGACAGGAACTGAGGAAACAACGTAAGAAAATTGTCGATCAGACTATAGTAGAATATAGACATAAACATAGGGTTAGAGATTTGAGGCTTAGAGGCGTTGTACCGTGGTTCAAATTTCAATGGGGTTGGGTTTCGGAGCCGGTTTGCGATAAACCTAAGAGGGGATCGGATTGAGTAAGGATATTCGTTCAGTTGGAATATCCGTACGGAGTACGCCGTAGAAGAAGAGTCCGCGTTAGTAGTAGAGACTACGTCTATTGTAGCATGAAGTATTATCATGTCCTCTGGTATTGGTTGGCTATGAATACTCAAATCTATATCAAGATATTACATAATACCGCAAAAACTAACTAGGTAACTAGGTACTTGGATATTCTCAGCGACTACTGTAAATGTACGGTGAACTGACCACCCTCAGACCAACAAGACAGGCAATTCACATGCCAATCAAAGTATCATCACCAACCCTAATCGCAAACAACAAATGTCTCACCAGAGTTTCCGTGCAGACTTGAATCGCCTCGGCCTCAACCCTCTCAGCTCTCGCAGGACAAAGCCTCTTCCGTAAAGGGTCAACCAAGCCATGCAGGCAAGAAGGCCACGAGGGTATGGGTACGGGGACGGGTTCTGGGTACGGAGTCCCCTCTACCTATAAAAAAATCCCGAGTCCGGTCCCATGAAACATGAATAATGCGCAGCGTAACGCGGCACGGCATCTAAGCAAGCACAAAGCAAAAAAAAAAAGAAAAAAAAAAAAAAAGACCAAATGCGAAATGCGAAATGCGGAAACAAATTTCTAACGCATTTCGAAAGGACCATGACGATCCCCAACAAGCACCGTCAGTCCGTCAGAGGGACACTCAGAGTTCAGGGATCGTCCGCGGCTACGGAAGCAATTCAGCTAGAGAACAGGCACCCGAGTTTGACTTTGGCAGCAGCAGCAGTTAGCCAGCCAAGCACTAAGCAAGCGCAGCACGGGACAATCAGGGCAATTTTCGGAGAATAATGCGGGATGAAACGACGGGTTGCTAATTTTCTTTTTCTCCCTTCTCTCTCGGGGTTCCTTTTTGTCACAATTCCGGCGGGATGAGCCACGAGAGAGATCATCCTTCGAGCGTCATCGTCATCATCAATGTAATAATTGCTTCTTTCAGCATCTTTTTTAAGGTTTATCCTTGGAGAAACTCCTGAATCCTACTCCGTATGTGGAATACTATCTTCCAGGATGAGTAAATAATCAAAACAAAAAAAATTAATTGTAATAGATGAAGGCCTCCACAGAAGAACGTCAGAACAACGAATACCCAGAGCACTATATCGACGTGCAAATTAAAGACCAATTAACATATATTAAGTAGAATATAACCTAATCGTCGCTGATTGGTTTAAATCGCACCATTATCAAATCAAACGGAGTATGTATATTTTGATCTCCGGACAGTGCACAGGTACCTTAGTACCTTAGGGAGGCTAGACTAGTAATTAGGTCTCAACAATCAACATCTACCTAAATAAATATTCAACGACTACAAATCCAGCAATCTTGACGATCTACAAGACATGCGCTGAAGAAGCACGGAATTCGGAATCTACACAGCTTCTTTCTTCCGGATCCCCCTTTTCTTCTCTCCCCGAGATTCATTCCTAATGAGTAATGACAGTGGAGGAGGATTGATTGCGTGGACCCTGGGCAAGGAGAAAGTGTAATTCTAACAGCTACGCATTCGGCGGCTAAAGCCTTACTCCAAGGACCAAGACATCGGTGTATATCCGGAGTTGAGGGCTGCAGGTCTAGCCCAACGAGGAGGAAGAGGGGGGAATCAAGCCATGATGACGAGGACATTGCCATGGGCCTTGGGACTATTGGACGACTAGTTTCTCATCGACCAGGACTCTCTGCTGGGTAAGGTAGTTGTTTCTGTCTCCCGGAGTAATTCGCACTGGATCAGTCCAGAGTCCGGACATGGTTGAGAAGGCACCTTCTCCGTATAGTAAGGCAATTGGTTATCAAGACGGGGCGCACCATTTCGGTGGTTTGGATAGACCTGCAACTATCACTGGATAACCACTGGATACGCTGCTACATACATACTCCGTAGTCGTAAAGTAGTGACTGAGTGATGTACAAGGCTTGCACATCAGACCCAGTCGAACCACCAACCCATCCATCCCACTTGTAGATCCAGAGCATCAACGGTCGAACGACCTGAATGTAGAAACCCCTCTTGTAGATGAAGTTTATCTCGCTGATCGATGGACAGACTGTCCATCAATAGTTCGTGATAGCTGGTAGTGCCCAGTGGTCTCACAAACATGGCCATTCCGGCTCACGACCGAGCAGCTGGAAGAGGACCAGGACCAGGACCAGGACCACCATGTCAATGATGGTCCTGGCGTTGTAATCAGTCTTCCCATCCTATCCCAGCCCATCTCATCCACTCTGCGCATCCATTCCTCTTGTCCCCCCCTATTCAGAAGACTCAGCTTCAGCTCAGCCCATCCAGCTCCTCTTCCAACTCTGGTCTCCTCCACCTCCATCTGAACCACAACCACCGGATATCCTCCGATTCCAAACCCTCCAGGGTACCTTCCAAGGTGGTAATCTCCCCTCCGTCCTGAATGGCTGATATATTTAGTAATGTTACATTGAGGAGCTCTATCCCAAGCGCCTATTCCTCATCCATCAAACCTAGCTCTTAGTGAGATTACGGTGTACAGAGGTAGGGAGAGTCTGTTAATTAACATCCTATCTATCTGTGCTATCTATCTATGGCTACCAGTACAGCACAGGTAGGATAAGACAGGAGAAAAGAGGAACAGGACGACCATCCATCCACTCTCCCGGTCAGTCAAAGGCCAGTCCTCAATCACCGCGACCTAACCAGGTAGTCCACCATCATCACCATCATCCAAGACATTAACTGGTAGAGGAAAAAAAGAGGAGCGGGAAACCCAAACACTAAGCCAGTTGGACCTAGACGAAAATAGCCCTCAATAGGGAGACAGGAAGAAAATGAGTGGATGACGGATCGTATTGTTCACCGGATCAGAATCCAGTCACTGGTCAGATGGGCCGGTCGTCCATTCATCCATCGTCTATTCACGCACTCACTCGCTAAGTCAATCGATTGATTCGGCCATTATTGATGACTCTGATCATTCAGGGACTGAGGTCCGACCATTCATGAAACCGTGGATGTAGACACCAGGTAATTACGGAGTACTGGGTATCACATCGTGCGATGAGATAGGATGGGATGGGATCATAGGACAGGACAAGACAGCAAGACCATCCAACCACTAACCAAAGCAAGCGAACAAAAAAAAAAAAAAACAAAAAACAAAAAACAAAACCGTACCGTGCCACTCGGAGCAGAGGCCAGAGAGAAAGAGAAACCTGGCAGCCAGTCCCCAAAGTGCAGTGAGCAGCGAATAACCGCACAGAAAGCAGCACAATCAGAACGAACAAATTAACCTAACCAACTAGGTAGGAAAAAAAATCCCACCTCTCAAAAAAAGAAACCAGACGAGATGGGAAAAAATTAAAAATAAAAAACCCTCAGCGTGCAGACAGCAGAATGGGGGGAAGTGACCCGTGGCTGGTGTTCGCCAAAAATATCCAAAACACAACCAGTCAGATGGCCGTTCGTGTCGGAAAGTCGTGGGATCAGCCTGCCAGTCCCTGGACCTTTGCGAGGGCTGTGTTCGCCGGGCTGAGCTGAGCTATGGGTCTGCAGTCCTGTCTGTGTTGCTCGTGCCGGGAAGGGCGTTTCCAGCGACAGCAATAGTGGGATATTCCCTGCTTGCAGAATTCCTGACGGACGTGGGAAGTTGTGTTGTTGTTGTCGGTGGTGTTCAACGGTTAACGCTTGTTTGCTGCGAACTGCCGCCTGGGGGGTTCTCCCTGAGGGTAACGCCGACCGCTTCGTCAGGGGTCGTTTCTACTGGGGTAAGTAGGTCCCTCTCCTTACGGTGTACAGGGTTGAACAAGTCAAGTCAATTGAAGACAAGCATTTGCTAATCCGCTAAAAGTCGAGTGCAGATAATAGATAGAGTCAGAACCTCTCAGCAGTCTCCTCCACCGTCCGACCATGGCACAATGGAAACAATTTCCCCCAGAACTGATAGAGCCCCGGACGTTTCTCCTTCTCCGCCACAAGCCACTTTGCAAACGAAAATTCCGACTCGTAGGGATCGATGCTGCGAAAAGAGACAACCTACACTGGTCAATGAGGAAGCGAACCTCGCCGGCGTAGGTCTGCTCACCTCGTCGTACTTCTGTAGTGCATCATAGTATTGAACCGACAGCCCGAACCGCCTCTTCAGCGTCTCCTTCTTAATCTTCCGGGCGGCAACTGCATAGAGCGTGGATAGAGTGTCCCAGTCAACGCCCTGATGATCGCCAATGACAATCCCCCCGGGCATTTTCCATCGATGTCGCTCGTAGATCACCTCGATCAGCCGAGTGAGGGTGTCTGCCTGCCAGGTCACCAGGAGCTCCTTGTCGAAGGACCGGACGTGGCGCTGGAGCTTCATCAAGTCGAGCTCCAGCCGTAGCGTGCTGGAGCGCAGCATGATCATCCTTTGCTGCAGCTTGTCATTGCTGGCCTGCAGCGCCTTCAGGGATGTGGAGTATGCCTGGGAAACAACAGGTAAGCATGATACGATCATCCGTCCGACGACCTTTACGGGCAGCCATTGACACGAGGATCTACGGTTACAGGTTGACATACACTGAGTGCGGTGTCCGACAACGACGCTGCTGGATGCTGGGACGAGGACTCCATTTGAGCAAGGTAGAACGACATCCCGGGTCCGTATCTCTGAACAATGTCGGCAGTCATGATGGTGGCTGCGTTATTTGCTGGGTAAAATCTATCGAAGGATAGATCAATGATCTTGGGAATAGAATGATAACCATGCAACAAGGTAAATGCCGATGGTGGCTTTGTTCTGACATTGCAGAGTCGCCGGCTGAGGGCGCATAGAAATACTGACTTGGACATCTGGGTGGTGCTGGACAAGGAAGGTTCCACCCAGATCCATGAATATGAGGCAACAACGGGGCAGGTAAAAAAAAGCATCCGGCAGGCAGGTGAAGGTGAGCCTAATGAATTCCACTGAGTGCCTTCTATGGTTGACTCACTTCGTCATTCTTCATGAAAAGGGCTTGTGTATCTCTCATTCTCTGCCTTATGGGAAATCTTCAAGTACAGTACAAAGGTTAACTATTCATTCAAACGATTCAAACCTACAGTTTACTCTCTGAAGACTTGCCGAATTCAACGACCAATTTACCGAACTGCTTGCCCTCCTTCAACTCCTGGAACAGCGCGTCGAGCCCCGTGATATCGCCCAGATCGGTCTGCAGCACGCGCGAGACCACCGGTCGGATCTTGTTGGCCTTCACAAACTCCACCATCTCCCTGAACTCCTTTCGAGAACCCATCGTCGAGCCGCGGACCTCGATGTTTCTCATCACGGCTTGCATCAGGAAAGGCATCTTGGGCGACACGGTCATTCCGTAGACAGAGAGGATCCCACCGAGCTATGTCAGTCAGTAAAAACATCCCCAAGGCTTATAATCATAGCGCAATGAAACGCACCTTGAGCAACCTGACTGCCTTCTCGATAGCATCGCCACCAGCACCGTCGATGATGGCGTCGAAAGACCTCTTCCCTTCCGGCAGCATACCCAGCAGCTTCTTCTCCCAGGCCTCCTCCTTGTAATTCACACCACCCTTCGCACCCAGTTCAACTGCCTTCTGGATCTTCGCCTCACTCGAACTTGTCACGTAGACATCCGCTCCTCTAGCGATCGCAAACCGCAGGGCCATCAACGCCACCCCTCCCCCGATGCCCGTCAACAACACCGCCGCGCCTTTGCCCGTATTCCTCTCTCCTCCCTTAACCACCAGAGCCCTCCACCCCGTCAAGCCGGTCAACGGAAATGCCGCAGCCTCCGCATCAGAAAGATGCTCCGGTGCCTCCTCGACCTCCCCTTCGTCAATGACAAGAAACTCCTGCATCGTACCCGACGTATAGTGCTTCGTCCCGCCGAGAATGCGATACCCCTTCGGATCTTCCGGTCCGTCGGGCGAATCCTTCCACCCCAGTCCGGGGTTCAAGATGACTCGCTTCCCCTGCCATCGCTCGGGACTCGTCACGTCTGGCCCGGCGGACACGACCACCCCGACACCGTCGGCGCCCATGGGCACATCGAACGTAATGCCCGGATACAGATGCTGGCGCAGGAAGACGTCGCGGTGGTTCAGCGACGCCGCGCTCATCTTGATCAGCAGCTCGCGGCCCTGCGGAGTTGGCTGGGGCTGGGTCTGCACGTTGAGCGGATAGTAGACTTGGCCGGGCTTGCCCTCGACTTTGGTGAGGAAAATTGCTTTGGACATGGTGGATGTCTTTAATTCTCTGGGAACTGTAGTTGGTATGAATATAAAAAGAAATAGAGAGGTGGGATAATGATTATAGTAGATTGGATTGTAAGAAAGGTGTCTCCAATTTACGTTTAGGAGAATTAATCAGATCAGATGCGGGGATGTTGGGGCCCGTTATCGATAACCGAGGATGCGCTGTTATATATTCTCATCAGTCGTTGGCATAACAGTTGAACATTCAGATATAAGATCTCAACATATAACAGTAACACAATTGTTAATACCTGTCTTGTTTATATTCTAATTCAAACAATCACAAGAAATGCTAGGGTATCTGAAGAGTCTACACTGCACGTATACCTCGGTCCGCTACCCCGACAGACAACTCCCAGAGATGAAGTCATGGCTATCTACAATACAACCGATAGTCCTCTTGACACATGCGCGAATGCAATTCCTCTCACACAAATTGAATACAATCTAGTCTATCAATATTGCTCTAGTTAATAATTTCCCGATCGTAACATACACTCATTACTCATGAACTGTGAAAACATCCAAATCAACCCCTCCATAGATCTCTACAAAGACAAAGACAGACCCAGCACCCAGCACCCAACAAAATAGGACTAAGCATCTGACTCATAGCCGTCATCATCGCCCACCGCAAGGCGAAACATCTGATCCAAAGGAATTTGCTGACGACCGTTCCGACGGACAGAATCGTCCTGCTGGTGGCCATCGACGAGACGAGGACGAGGACGAGGATGGGGATGGGGACGGGGACGACGAGGACGAGGACGAGGTCGTGGAAGGCTTCCTGCGCGCGGTCTGGATTCCGATCCCTCAAACCGCATCTGCCGAGGTCGCGCAGGTCGCGCATCGCCGTCTGCGTGGTCCGGATCATACTGTCCAGACTGGGGAGCGTCCGCTTGACGAGGGGGTCGGGAATCGCTTCGTACATGTTCACGTTCACGTCCACGTCCAGACCCAGAATCAGCCGGGAACCGGACCCGTTGATCCGCACGACGCTCTGGGCGAGGAGCTGCCGCCAACACCACCGCTCCGAAAGGCACCGACTGCAAGGAACGGACGGAGTAATCCACATGCACAGGGCGGGGGTGGTATAGGTATCCAGCAGAAGAACGGCGCGCTTCTTCATGGTCCTCCTCGCCGCGGTATCCTGTCGGAAGGTGTTGAGGTCGTGAGTACTGCCGCTGACGGACGAAGACATGCTCCTGCGAAATACTAGAGGATGACACCAGGATATCATCGTAGATGTCGGGGCTGGCGCCACGGGTCAACGAGCTGGATTCCGCAAAGGAAGAGTAGTTCGATCGCTGGTACTGGGTATAATACGAGCTCTCTCGGACGGGCGAGTCTGAGCCTGAGCCTGAGCTCGAACCTGAGCTCGAGCCCCTCCAGATAGCCTGCGAAACGGGAGGTTGATCGGTGGTGGCATGATCGCGGCGCCTGCGATCAGGACGTGGCACACCGTGTGGTTCTGAGGGGGCGCGATGTTCCAACCCAACCGGAGCAGGAGAGTCTTGCGCGCCTACGGCGGGATGGTCGCCGTGTCTCTGGCTCCTGCGCAGTGGTTGGTCCTGGTAGTGCAAGACGTAGGGGAACTCGTCCTTGTCGGGTTTGGCGCCCCAGCAGAAGGGCATGGTGGAGGTTGGTATGACTGATGTGATGTGATAGAGATGCGGGTATGATGTCACCGATTTGACTCAAGGAACTGGGGAATAGTGCTGGTAGACAAGGTGTGGGAGAAGAGAGTCAAGGGGAAGATGAAGATGGGAAAGATGGAGAGAGGGAAAGGAGCGACGACTACGATTGATATAGAAGAGATTCATCTTGTCTGTCATTGTGAGTAGTTTAGTAGCTAGGTAGGCATTGGATGGAAGCGAGCAAACAGGGCTCAATCGGAGGAATGGATATCCTTCTGGGCTTTGTGGAGAAGCAGGCTTCCATGTTGAGGATGCGATTGCCAGAGACAATCAGGATGGATTGTGAAGAAAGGCACTCTGACAGTCACTGGTATAGAGGAGTGACCGTGAAGAAGGAAGAAGCAGAAAAGAGGATGCAAATGAAGCAAACCCACCCGTTTGCGGCCCGTCATGCTGGCCGTGGCTGCAGGGGAAAACCTGTCCGGGGGAGCTGTGGCCACGCACTCCTTCTCGGCCAGTGTGAACACTGGAACCTACCTACGGTTCATTCTTGGGGAAGAATGAAATGGGCGCGGGTGAACTTTCTCCGGTACTAGGCAGCGTGTTTGCTGGTGCTCTGTCTTCTGTTTCTGCTGGTCATGTCTGCCTGTCGCCTCTATCAAAGACCTCTAAAATTGTGTGGGTTTGTGGGTTTTCCGGTGGCTGGCCAACGCAAGCGGCCAATGGAGACCCGCAGCCGGCTGGGGATGAGGTGTAATGCCACGCACCGGCGTGTCGTTTGCCTTGGGTTCTTCAATTTTCGCCGGGAGGAAAAGAATCTCTCGATCTTCTGGACTTGGATCGTCTAGCGTTTGCCTCGAACTTGACCTCAATCCTCCCCTGCTGCTGCCCAGAGTCTTCAATCTCGTTCACTCTCCCGAGCTGGTACGTTTGTCCCTGTCCCTGTTCCCTTCCCCCCTCTCCCTCCAAGACGCCCGCTACTCTCGCTCGCGCGACCTGTATCGACCGGCTTCGACGTGGCTTTCCAGACTGATTCGATTCTCTCCCTCCTAGCCCTTTCATCACCACTTGCGTCCAAACCTTTTCTCGCAACTTTACTTCCCACCTTTCCCCCCCTTCTCCACCACGGTTCAAGGGAACATCGAAAAACCCATCTTGTAACGAGCTCGCCTCAATATCATTCCTTTTACTTCGCTGAATCGGATTTCTCTCCTTCAGCCAGCGATCGAACTTCCATAATGCCTACGCCACTCCCTTCTAGTTTTGCTTCCGCCGCTGCTGGCAACGCCCACGACTCCTCTCGAAGAGGTGATGGAACTGCCGGTGGAGATTGGTATGCTTTTTCTTGTCCCAAACGATTGATGTGATTTGATTTGATCGTGTCCACCTCTCTGTACTTGCCGTCGCGAGTTTTTTCTTCGTTTTTTTCTTCCCTTTGCTCGTCTGCGTGTGTGTTTTTCCAACCCAGCAAAAACTCTCTAACCATGCACCCTCTTTTCGATACTCCAGGTCTCGATCTCGTATGAACGGAGCCACACAGACTTTTCGCCGCCCTTCAGTTGCCATCAATCCTTCTCATAGCCGAGATACCAGCCAACCCGCATCTGCTACAACCCCCACCGCCGGCGCCTACTCTCAACAGATGCCGTCGAATTACCCAGCCAGCGCGCTTCGCAATGGGGCGGGCAGTGACACTCGTTACTCCAAAGAACAGCTTCTAAACCTGTACAAAGCTCAGCGGGAATCGGGGGCTTTGAATAAGAATGTTGCAGATCACTTCGCCGCCGACTGGAATCCTCGTGCCGACACCTCTCCCGTCAACGGCGCTTGGGGAAGGAGGGAGGATTCGAAGGATAATCCCTCCGGACCTGAGGTCTGTTGGGATCACGGTGGACAGATGGAACCGTTAGGATTGGTGGATATGACCGATGACGAGAAAGAGGTTGGTTTTTCCCTCCCCCTTGTTTGGTGCTCTCTCCCCTGCTTCACTAGCGTCCCTTTCTCTTCTCTCTTTTCCCTTTTCTTTCCTTTTTTTTTTTTTTTTTTTTTTTTCGTGATTGCTCTCTCCGGTGGCTTTTCCCACCCCAGCCTATGCTTCCTTCGAGTATACAAGAAAGAGCTGTTGCTGAATGGCGTAGTTGTTTACTCTCTCGGTCAACTCCCCGCTCAAGCCGCCTCCCACGAACGCTTCCAAAGAAAACGCCGGTACCGGGACAGGAGGACGCAAATCGTCGATTTCTTATTCGCAGGGCCACATAAACAACTACAACACCGCATCCCCTAGCTCTGCTCGCCCCGGACCCAGACGTCGAGAGACGGGCGATTCCACCGGCAATCCAATGTCTCCCACCGCCGGCGGAACTCGATTCTTCCGTGACGAACCGAACACGGCCACCCCGCCTCCGTCCCTGTTACGTCGCAAGACCGATTTCCGCGACAATTCATCCACTTCCCGCTGGGAGGAGAAGGAGAAGGAGTCCGCCAACCGCGAAGGGGGCTCAGAAGTCGCTTCTCCGTTCGGTTCTCTGAAGCGGAGCTCGACAAACCCCCTGAATGTCGCTCCTGGCGGAGGAAACTCCCCGTGGGGGGCGTCGGCTTCGCACAGCGCGAACTTCTCGCCGATGGGGGCTTTTGGCGCGTTTTCCTTGGGGACAAACACCGCCCAGACGCCCACTGCGGAAAAGAAGGCCGGATTTGGGAGTCTGCGCGGCGAGAGTCGTCTGAAGGGCTTGTTCTCCAAGGATAGCACGGAGGATATGTCCGCTTCGATCAAGGAGAAGACATCCCTCAGCAGCCTGGAGCGTCTGGCGGAGGGCGAGGGCGATAAGCGCTCGCAGTCGCCCTGGGGGGAGTCGGTCAAGACGCGCGCCGGCCGGAGTGAAACGAACCCGTTCTCCGAAGAGATGCGCAGTGGAAGTGCGGCACTCGGCGGGTCTCAGGACGTCAGCATGCCGTCTCAGGGTGCCCCCGATCAACTGGGTTTCTCGGCCTTTGGAATGACCTCTAGCATCCCCGGCTTTCGGGAGCTGATGCAGAGCCACGAGAATTCTCGCAACCCGACGCCCAGCCTGCTCCAGGGCCACGAACCGACGAGCCCGACCAACACCAACCCCTACCAGAGTCCTCATGGCGAGAGAGGCGGCGGCGTGGGCGTCGGCGGTGATGTGGATGACGTGGAGACTGACGGCTCTGACATCCAGAGCACTCACCACCCCGGACTCACCGGCCTGCGTGACCCGACTAGCGCGTTTGGCTCGATTCGACGGGTTGGATCGGGAATGGACTTGCCCTCGATTGATCGCAGCCAAACCTCCAGCGCGGCAGGAAACCGCAACTTCTCCGGGCTGGGAGGACTTGGAGGCTTGTCTTCTCTCGGCGGTCCCGGTGGATGGCCTACTTCCGGTGCCGTTGGAACTCCGACCCGGGAGAGATCTGCCTTTGCCGGCGGATTTGGTGATCCCATCTTCGGGTCCATGGCGGATCTGCAGTCCCCGAGCCTGTCCAATCTCGGAGGCGGCGGGCTTTTCAGCCCTCACCCGGGCGGGATCAGCGCCACGGGCAGCCTTGGCCGCTCCAGCAAGCTTGGATCTCTCTTCCCGGCTGCCATGCAGGAGCAGATGCAAGCGGAACATCCGGCAAGGCCCGATCTTGGCAGCCTGGAGGAGAGCATACGCCAAGCCGAAGCTCAGCAAGCCGACAAGGCTGGGCAAGTGAACGCGTCCACTGCATCCACTTCGCAAACCCCGGTCTCTGCCGTGGGCTCGATCCCGCCCTCGATGACCGCCGACGGGGCTCCGCCGAGTCAGACCCCCGGACCGCCCGGCGGCCTCGGGGTTCCTCCCGCTCAGCAGCGGACTATGGTCATGCCTGACCGCATGCGCTGGATCTACAGGGACCCGCAAGGCAACATTCAGGGCCCCTGGACGGGTCTCGAGATGCATGACTGGTTCAAGGCCGGATTCTTCAGCCCTGACTTGCAGATCAAGAAACTCGAGGACCCTGAGTTTGAGCCTTTGGCGCAGCTGGTGCGACGCATCGGCAACTCTCGCGAGCCTTTCTTGGTGCCTCAGATTGGCATTCCTCATGGACCGGAACCCAATTCTACCGGCACTTGGACCACGAGCAATGCCGGCACCGCGCAGCCTCCGTTCCCCGGCAGCTTCCCCAGCTTCGGCACCACATTGACTGCTGAGCAGCAGAACGCTTTGGAGCGCCGGAAGCAGGAGGAGCAGTACCTGATGGCCAGACAGAAGGAACACCTCGCCCAGCAGCAGGCTTTGATGAAGCAAATGCAGTTTCAGGGCGTGCCTCATGGAATCCATCCCCATCAGCTCCAGCATCACTCGAGCGCCCATAGTTTGCACAGTCAGCCCAGTTTTGGAAGCATCGCCTCTCCTGTCGGCTTCCAGCCGTCTCCCATCCAAGGCCCCATGCAGCAGCAGCAGCAGCAACCGCCCGTTGGCGGGTTCTTCGATGCTGCCGCCCCGCTTCGCTCGGGTGCTCTGCCCAACGTCGGTCCTCAGATGCTCGGAACCGACCTGGGCAGCAGCCAAGACCAGCTTCCTGCTCTGCTTGACCGGTTGAATGTAAACCGCAACGACCCTTTCGCTTTTGGCAGCCCCGGCTCGTTGACTGCGCGTCAACCCGACAGTCTGTTTCACTCCCAGCAAGTAGCCTCCATGCTCCAGGACCGAGCCCGATTGCAGCAGGAACAAGAGCAATTCGACAGCACTCAAGGCGACAGCCTGTTCGACCAGCAAGCCCGTGAAGACCGACTGCGTCAGTTTCAGGCGTTGAGAGGCCAGGAAAATGAATTGGGTCTCCCCACTCACCCCGCCATGGAATCTCTGGAAGATGAAGGCGAGACCTTGACCTCGCAGGACCTTGCCGCCGGCGTGGCCGCTCTCGAAGCTAGTCAGGAGGGCACCGAACCCGTCCTCACTCTGTCCCAGCAGGTACAGAAGGCGGCGTCGGCCCAGAGAGAACAGCAGGAGCAGGAACAGCAGCAGCAACAACAACTCGAGCAGCAGCACCAACAGCAAGAGGAACAGGCTCAGGTTGAGGCAGCATGGGGTGGAGCTGGTCTTGTTAAGGCTGACTCCGCCATGCCTCAACCCTTCCCTCCCCCACCTTCGGCTTCGCCGCTGCCAGCTCCCGCTGCGCAGCGCAACCGCCAGAATGTTGCCGAGTCCCTGGCCGCCAACTCTCGATCCCAGACTCAAACCCCCGTGGAGGCGCCTACCACTTCGATCGCGCCCTGGGCCAAGGAGGCCAACGAACTGCCCAAGGGACCGTCGCTGAAGGAGATTCAAGAGGCGGAGGCTCGCAACGCCGCGCAGAAGGAGGAACTGGTCGCTGCCGCTCGTCGGGCCCAGCTGCTGGCCGAGCAGGAGCGACTCAGTCAGGTTCAGACGCAGGCCGCGCCGGGACTACCTTCCACCGCCAACTGGGCCAGTGCCGGATCCCCCGCCACTCCTTCGTCTGCCGGATCCGTGTGGAACAACAAGGGCCAGACTCCGTCCAGCGGTACCGCCAAGAAGACTCTGGCACAGATTCAAAAGGAAGAGGAGGCTCGCAAGCAGCGTATGGCTGCTGCCGCTGCCGCCGCTCAGAGTGCCGCGGCTATGACTGCCAGTGCTGCTTCCCCCACTACTAGCCCCCCCGCGGCGCCTTCCTCCACCGGCAAGCGTTATGCGGACCTGGCCAGCAAGGCCCCTGCCGCTGTTCCCTCGCCCGTCTCTGCAGCTGCCACGACTGCTGGTGTTGGTGGCAGCGCGTGGACCACAGTTGGCGCAAGCGGTAAGGCCAAGGCGCCGCCCGCCGCCCCGTCCGGCCCGCGGTCGACCAGTGGAGCGACTCCTCTGCCGGCGTCGCCCGCTCGCCCCAAGCCCGCGACGATGATCAGCGCTCCCCGGACCGTCACCGTCGGCAGCACACCCCCGGCCAACCCTAACCGCGCCGTGGAGGAGTTCACCAAGTGGGCCAAGCTGACCTTGGGCAAGGGGCTGAACAGCAGCATCAATGGTAGGTTCTTCCCCTTTAAGGGTTTCAAAACGTCTAAGCTAACAAAAACTAGTCGATGACTTCGTTCAGCAACTGCTGCTCCTGCCGGCCGATTCCGAAATCATCTCCGACTCGGTGTATGCCAATTCGCAGACGCTGGATGGACGACGCTTCGCGGAGGACTTTATCCGACGCCGCAAGATGGCGGACAAGGGCATTGTGGACCCGACGGTGACCAGCGCATTGGCGGAACAGAGCACCGGAGGCTGGAGCGAGGTGGCCAAGAAGGGATCGTCATCGTCGGCGAACGTGCAGCGCGAGGAGGACAACAGCAGCGCGGCGTTCAAGGTAGTTGCGCCCCGGAAGAAGGGCAAGCGGTAAATATGAATATTGGATTGGGCATGAGGATGAAATGTTGGGAGGGTATTTTGGAGATATTTGATGTGCTTGATTACATGATTGCATTGCGTTGTAGATGTGCTGAATGGTAATTGAATCATGAAGATGAGTCGTATAGTTCATGTTGAGTCATACTTCTGCCTGCGGGGTACATTTATCTACCACATCCTCTTCTTTTTTTCTTTCTTCATCATCTTTCCTTCTCACAATCCATCAACATGTCCTCCCTCATCCCCTTTGGCGATCCCATGAAATCGCAATTCCTCATCGACCCATCCTTCCGTAACCTCAACCACGGTATATCCCATCCCATATCCCCTCACCCCCATAATCTATCCCACCCTATCCCCGCATTCCATCCAATCCTCATTCAACCCCATATTCCACCCACCCGCAAACCAATCCACTAAAAACTTCCCCAGGATCCTACGGCACATTCCCCATCCCCATCCAAACCGTTCAACGCGAATTCCAATCCGCCGCGGAATCCAGACCCGACCTTTTCCTCCGTCACACGCAATCCAAACACCTCGACACCGCGCGAGCCGCAATCGCACATCTCCTCAACGCAGAGGTCTCAGAATGCGTCTTCGTCAAGAACGCCACGACTGGAGTGAGCACCATCCTCACGAACCTGGACTTCCAACCCTCCGAAGTCCTCGTCTACTTCGATACGGTCTACGGGGGTGTCGAGCGTGGCCTACAACATCTCTCTGAGACGCGCGGTCTGCGAACCAAGAAAGTAGAATATGCGTTTCCGATCGATGGGGAAGGGATCGTGGATCGGTTCAGGGAGGTGGTGGACGCCGTGAGACAGGAGGGTAAGGAGGTGAAAGTCGCGCTGTTCGATACCATTGTGAGTATGCCGGGGTTTCGGTTCCCGTTTGAACGGCTCGTCGAGGTTTGTAGGGAATTGGGGATTCTGAGTCTTTTGGATGCGGCGCATGCGGTTGGGCAGGTGGAGTTAGATTTGGGGAAGTTGAAGCCGGACTTTTTGACGAGTAACTGTCATAAGTATATTCCTCCCTTTCTATCTCCCTTTGGATTTACTTATCTCACCTTGTCTTGTCCTACCTTATCTTGGTTTCTTATCTTATGTTGGAGATGGGATGATTCAAAAGGAGTGCATGTATACTGACCGTGTTTGACCAGATGGCTCTACACCCCCCGCAGCTGCGCCGTTCTCTACGTCCCGCAACGAAACCAACATCTCATTCGCACGATGCTGCCTCCCTCATGGGGATTCATTCCGCGACAGGATCCCTCCTCCACCACAGACCCATCAACTACTCCCCCAGGCCAAAAGTCCGCCTTCGAATATCTCTTCGAATACACCGCTACGACCGATGACTCCGCGTACCTGTGCGTGCCCGCAGCGCTGGACTTCCGCCAGAACGTCTGTGGCGGGGAGGCGCGGATCTACGAGTACTGTGAGTCCTTGGCAAACGAGGCCGCGGATCTGGTTGCGGAGGCGCTGGGGACGGAGGTGTTGCAGGAACCTGGGCTGGGGGCGAAGGGTGAGGGGAGTCTGTTTCGGAAGTGTGCGATGACGACGGTGAGGTTGCCGATTCGGGTGACCGAGCAAGGGGCTGCAGATGAGGAGAAGGTGACGGTTGAAGAGCAAGATGGGAAGATGGTGACTGTTGTGCCTAGGCCGCTGGTGGCAGCGGTGTTGGCCTGGTTTCGTGTGGAACTGTTCCGGGCGGGCACGTTTGTGCCGGTGTTTGAGTATCGGGGATACTTCTGGACGAGACTGAGTGCACAGGTCTATTTGGAGAGGAGTGATTTCGAGTGGTTGGCTGGTATTCTGAATGGTTTGGTCGCTAGGGTGAGGAACGAGTTCTAGATCTATAGGTGGATTTACCGCACGGTTTTACACTTCTAGAGAAGACATAATTCATACTAGAGTCTGGATGGGAGGATTTGATATAAGATTAGGGCAAAATCAGTCTATATTGGGCAGCCAGCCCTCTGTACAAATCATGGTTTAGACTAGACATACGACCCTTTAAGACAGGATCACCTCTTATACACTCTCTTCCCCTCGAAATACGTCTCCTCCACCGTCGCATCCAGCAATCGATCCGCGTCCCACTGCATATCCACGACCACAAAGTCCGCCTTCATGCCCTCCCTCAAGCTGCCCGCAAACCCATCCGCAAAGCATGAATACGCCGACCCCGCCGTAGCCGCTGCAACGGCCTCCATCAGCGACAGGGCCAGATGCTGATTAAACACCTCCACGCTGTCCGGCTCGCGCGCAGACCGTCTCGTCGTGGCGGTATACAGATTCCTCAGCGGCAGATGCGGCGCCGTCGGCGAATCCGTCCCGATGGCCAACCGCGCCCCCCCGTCGAGAAACTCACGGTACGCAAACGCCCTCTCGCAGCGCTCCTTGCCCAACAGCTTCGGCCATGCCCGCACGATCGCCGGGTCCGCATGCACCGGCTGCACCGACGCCGTGATCCCCAACTCGCCCAGCCGCTTCGCGTCCTCGGCCGCCGTCACTTCTAGATGCTCGATGCGATGCCGGCGACCTCTCGTACCGACCCGTTCAAGCACATCCACGGCCATCTTCACCGTCGCGTCGCCGATGGCGTGTAGCGCGCACTGCAGGCCCGCTGCGTCCGCTCGCCGCACCACCTTCTCCAGCATCGCGGCGTCCCAGAGCGGATCGCAGTTCGTGCTAGTGCTGGCATATGGCTCCGTCAGGGCCGCCGTGCAGGCATCCACCACCCCGTCGCAGATCACTTTGATGCCGGCGATGCGTAACCAGGGGCTCGTGGTGAGGTTATACTGTTCCTGCAACTCAATCGCGCGGTCCACTTGCGCTAGGACCTTCGACTCGTCTGCATTAGGGAGGATGATCCAATGCGAAGCGATGCGCAGCGTCATCCCCCCTTTCCCCTTCGCTTCTTCTTCCGCCTGAAACGCCAACACGGTCTCCCACAGGTTCTCATCCGTCGCCATCTCCACGACCCCCGTATACCCGGCCCCGTTATACGCCGTCACCGCATTCCTCACAAACGCAATCTTCTCATCCCTAGACGCGACCTTCGCCACATGCGGCCAGACAATATTAACCGCAGCCGCCTCGCTCAACAACCCCGATGGATTTCCCGCTTCATCACGATGAATAACCCCACCCGCAGGGTCAGGAAGATCCTGGACGCCGAGCTCCACGAGCGCAGGGGTATTGCACCACGCGGAGTGCAGGTCCTTCGAGTCGATGAAAATGGGGCGGGGGTCGAGGTCGTCGAGCATGGAGGCCAACGCGACCCCGTCGGTCATGGAGTGCATCCAGCCGCGACAGAAGAGACGAGGGAGGTGGGGGTTCTCTTGGGCGTAGGTGTGGATGGTGGAGCGGATGGTGGAGAGGGAAGTGCAGGGGGAGAGGTCGAGTTTGGAGAGCGAGGAGCCGAAGAGGAGGAGGTGCATGTGTCTTTTGGGGTTGGGTCAGTTTCTTTCCATCTTGTAGAATAGAACATTGAGCGAATATGAATTGTGTGCATCAACATCGAAGCCAAGAGATGTATTTCATTCCGGGTGTACAATAGCAGACATGCATGTATATGCATGCATACATACAAACATCACATGGGATCCCACTAAATCTCAATAAATGGAAAAGCACCTACCCATCAATAAACCCCGGCAAGACTCTCCTCCCCTGTAAATCGACCACCTCGACATCACCATCGACCTCGGGGACATCGTTTCCGGTGTACGCGATTCGATCGTCCTGGACGAGCATGCAGGTAGAGAAGTTATCCTCCGCTGCGGAGTCGCTGACGATGAGGCCGTTTTTGTAGAGGGTTTTCATTTTCAACGATGTAATAAGTTTTGAGGAGATATTTTATAGAGAAATAGAATATAGAAGTGTTCAACAATAATCAGGATGAAAAGAAAAGAGGAATAGAGGGAAATGAAGGAGGGGAGGAGGGGAAGTCAACTGTAGGGCGCAAAGTGGAGTTGGAGAAGGTGGAGTCATTCCTTATCTGATCTGCTGTGTACTCTGTAGTATCTGTCAAGTGGAAGAGTTCAGGAATATAGCATCTCTGTCCGATTAACATACTGTATATAAGTCATCGCGTTCATCATGACTACATACTCAAAACCAATTTCCTCACATCCCACTAATTCCCTCCTCCGAATCGGCTTCGCACCCATCCGGCCAATCCTCCTCCGCCCGTCCCTTGATCTCGACTACTTTGTCGCTCAGTCTCGCCCTCGGCGCTGTTCCAGCTCCATCCCGTCGGCTGTCCACTGTGTTCGGGTACGGCACTGCCGCGACGAGACGTCTCGGGGCTGCTGTCGATCAACACGGGGTTGTCGCTGGTTCCTTCGTTTCTTTCGGTTCTGTTCTGCTTAGCTTTCAACTTGTCATGATGGCCCATGATCACCGCCGACTTACTGTGCAGGAGGAGGAGCATCAATACCCCGTCGACAATGAGGACATGTATTATGCTGGTTCAACCACATCTCGATACAGCCGTAGTGAAACCAGTGCTTGCACGGCAGCACCGTCACCTCCGTGCCCATCTCCACCGGGTCCATGCAGATCGAACATTCCGCCTTACCGTCGTTCCCCAGCATCTCCCGGTCGACCTTCTTCTTCGGCAAAGACCGGATAGCATTCTGCGAGGCCGGCGGGGCGGCGGTGTGATTGCCGTTTCGGTCCACCAGCTCCGAGATCACCCGGTCCAGCTCCTCCTGCGAATAAACCGCATCCCCGTGCCGTTCGACGTTCAACAGCGCCGACAGCATCGCCAGGGGGTTGGGACCGGTCATGACTCGGAACCCGCCGTTGCCAGCCTGGTTGTTTGCACCGAAATCGGTGCGAAAGAGTTCCAAGATACTGCCACAGTTAGCAACGTGCAACTCATAAGGGAAGGGGAAAACACACTCGCCCAAACTACGTAGAGGAGTAGGCATCGGCTGTGGACCGTCCGCGTCGCGGGGATGCAGCTCATCATCATGGAAGTTCGAGCCGCCTCCAAACCGTAGACCGTGGTCAAAGGACCCGTCGTGCGTCATGCCGGGCGCTCTCCCCTGCCCCCCCAGTCCCGCCGGTCTGGGCCCCTGCCCCCATCCTCCAAAATCATGTTCGTTGGCATCCTCATCGTGCAGATGCCACGGTCTCTGCCGTCCTCCCCAGGGCTGCTGACCCGCGGGCCGATGAGGATCCGTCTGCTGATACGTATTCGCCAGTCCATGAAAGATCGTGTCCAAGCCCCGCACCATCGGCATCAACGGGTCATTCTGCATGTTGCCCTGCGGGTCGGTTGACCGTCGAGGCAGCCCGGAAGAGTACGTCGTGCTAGAGAAGGTGAACCGACCGTCGGGCGAGCGATAGGTGCGATGAGAGAATCCATTTCCTGAATCATTTCCGGTGCCTCTGTTGCCGCCGGAGAATCGATCCTGGAAGTCGTCAACGCCGGTGGAAGCCCAGGGATTGTGGTTTGCGAAAGAGTTCACGGGCGGCGTGAATCGGTCTTCGGGAGCTTCTTCAGGAGGGTCGGGGGCTTCGGTGTCAGGGGGGATTTCAATCTATAGAGTCAGCGACCCCGGTATATCTTAGGGATACGAGCAACATACAATTTCGGTGAATTCAGAGTGGCAGGTGGGACACGTCAGTCCGCGCTCATTTCGTAGCCAGACCCCGCCGCAGGAATGGCAGAACATCCGATCCCCCGCATCCATGGTGAACGAAGAAAGACAAGTGAATGGTGATGATAAACCAAGTAAGGTAAGAGATGAGGGAACTGAACAGGATCCAGTGTATCGAGAAGGTCGGGTATCAAACGAAATCGAGAGAGTATTTATCTAAGAACGGACTTAAACCAATGGGTTGGAGATAGGCGAGGTTTCTATTCCCTGAGGAAACTCAGCGTCATTCATGGTTTCGAGCCCGCATGTACTGGAAGATTGACAGGAGGTTCCATCAAACTAACGGGCATTCATTGTTTCAGGGGCCAAAAAGAGGAAAGTAGGGGAGAAGAGCGAGAAGACTGGGAAAACAATGGAACGAAATGAAGAGGGACGATGAAGGCGGAGGATGACGTTAGCGGGTGGCGTGCCTGAGAGATCAGTCACCCACTTTCAGGTCTCAGTCTGAATCGCTTCTTTCCTTCAACTCGATCACATCGTACATCCTGGACTGAATATTCACATCTGCTAAATCTCAAAAGTCATGGACAACAGAACGCCATCACATGCAAAACAATCATTTCATCCCAGTATCAAAAACCATAACAATAACAATCAATAGCAAGAGCAATGCCGATCAACCGTAGTAAACCCAGGCCCGGATCCCATCCTACCTATGTACATCTTCAGCAAATTATGTGCCTCCTCTTGCCTGCATCACCCGTGAAGATCCTGATCTATCGTCTCTTCGCTCCCCGCAGCACCACACCCCCAACGACACCCGCCGCCAGCGCCAACCCACCCACGATCGCAATGCCCAGCAGTCCCTCCTTGGACACCTTCTCGTCGATCAAGGTACCCAGGCTCGCCGCCTGGAGGTTAGCCGGCTCCTTCTCCAGCAACAGGTCATTGTATCGTCGCGCCTCGCCGTAGTTGCCCAGTTTGTAGTTCCCAAGGGCCAGGTAGTATAGACATTCTCGTCGTCGCTCAGGGGCCGCGCGGAAGATCTCTGATAGTAGACGGACGCCTTCTTGCTGTTCGGGACGGGCATTGGATTTGATCAAACCCTGTGACGGAAACGAGTGTTAGATGTTGCCGACGAGATACGGTTCGGGAAGATCGGGTCATGACCATACCCAGGCATAGTTGAATTTCGTCTGAATGCCGACGTAGTCGCCTTCTTTCTCGTACTGCGATTGGAGTACCTGCAGCTCGGCTGGCTTTAGGGGACTAGAGCATAGTCAAATCAGTGGGTTGCTCGGGGAATAACGGTGAAGTCACACACCTCTCAGCGTCGGCGGCATCTAGAAGACGGTTAGTTAGCATAGGTAAACATAAACACATCGAGGGGGGATTACATACAGGGTAGATTCGAGCCCATGGTGGTAGGTGGTATCTGTATGGCGGTAAAACAAAGCGTCAAAAAGAACAGCTCCGGAGATAAGAAGATCGCTCAATGGACTCGATGATGGAGAAGAATGACGGCGATGATGGTCGCCTGGATTCTTTCGTCACGCAGTGGCGGTGCAGCAAAACTGTGGCGCTGTGGCAGTTGCTCCCCCAACGGAAGTGTCAACACGCTTGGATGCTGCTTCCGCTGTCGACATCATCACCACAGGAATTATCTATCCCCACCCCCACCTTTAATACAATTCAATAATCGATCTCAATCTCCATTGTTCAAAATGCTCCTCGACGAAAGCCCCGCCACTGTATTTCTTCCCCTCCTCCCAACCGCGCAACTCAACTAACAACGAATAGCTGATCCACCACACAATCGGCAACTTCAACATCCACCCCGACAAACAAGCCGTCACGCGCATCAATGACTCGCTCGCCACCCTCCAGCAGTCGCGCGACCTGCGCATGCGCGAAGCCGAAACCTCCATGAAGAAACTGTCGCGTCACCTCCACTCACTGAACGCGCAGCACGAGGAGGCCGTCGCGGTGCACGACGCCGGCAAACACGCCGCCGAGATGGTCGAGCTGGACACGAAGAAGTTCCGCATCGCGAAGGCCGCCACAGAGTTGGAGATTGAGAGCGAGAGGCTGGAGAGCGAGCTGGAGATGCTGAAGGAGCGGTTGGCGGATCTGGAGGCCCAGGGATTGGAGGGCGACGAGGGGACGAGGCGGGAGAGAGAGATGGACGATGCGACGATGTGAGTATCCCCTGTCTTGGTTCCGGTTTGGTCTTAGGATTTTGATTTGAGGGAGTATGCTAATCTGATGGGCAGTCTGCGATTGAAAATCTACCGGTCGCTCGGAGTGGATATCGAGGCCGACAATGCGGGCACTTTCAACAAGGCGGTCATTCGCAACAGTCGCAAGGGCGATGTGCACGTTGTCAACATCGATCCGAAGTTCTCGCGCTTCTTCTACTCGAATTATTTCTGGTCGACCATGCAGGGGTAGTTCCGTTGATCGCTTGCTTTTTTACTAGCTTTTTTTCCGGCGTTGGAGGTTCACGAAGCTACGATTTTTCTTCCTTTCCCAAGCTTCAATTGTCTACATAATATACCCTGATCTGAAACGGATTGCTATACAGTTTGTACACTATGATACATATAATACATGACGGGGAGGAGGGAACTATACGCTGTAGTTAGAGGATACATGCGCCTGTAAATCAGGCCGGCCATGCCCTCGAGTCCAGCAGCTGGCGCACCTTCGCCTTCTCCTCCTCTGACAGCAAACAGCAGCTCCCCTTCCCGTAGAGAAGCGGCTTCTCCGCCGGATACAGCTGCTCAATGGCCTCGAGCACATCCGACCGCGTATACCTCGCATCGCCATTCCCATCCAACCCCCAAACGGCCATCCACTGCTCCTCCAACCGCGCCATCCTCTCCTCCACCGAATCCATATGCTCCATCTCCTCCCCGTCCCACGTCAACACCACCTCCTTCTTTAACTCACCGTCCCCATTCCCTCCCCCCCCTTCCCCGTCACCCAAAGACCTATCGAAAGACGAGGCCGAAGGAGAAGGAGAAGAATACCTCATCTCGACCCCCAATCCCCCAGCAACACCCAACCTCTCGACCCTCCCATTCCAAAGAACCTGCCGCAACCCACCCGTATAATCAACCATCATCCAAAGCACCGGATGCTCACTCCTGCTCAACGCATCACGCACCCCCTTCGTCGCCTCCCTCGTGCTAACCAACACGCCGACCTGGCTTCCCGTGCGCCACCCCGCCGGCGCATGTCGTCGTAGCGTGCCTTCGAGCTCGCGCACCAGGTTCGGACCCAGTTTCGTCTTCATCGCTTTACATTGCACCAGGACCCGCAGCGGGTGCTCGTGGCCGGGCAGGTGCCATGTGCCGAGGAGGTCGATACCCGAGTCGGAGCGCCCGCCTGTGCGGTGTAGGTGGAAGGAGGAGGCGCGGAGGGCGTGTTGTACGACGTATTCGTAGTGGGTGCCGACGTAGATGGTTGTGGTTGTGGGGATGTTGTTGCGGGCGGCGTGTGCGAGGAAGGTGGGCAGGTTGTGGTGCGACGAACTGGGTGGTTGGAGTGGCTGTGGTGGGAGCTTGAAGAGTCGCGATGTGAAGGTGCTGAGGCGGCGGCGCCCGGTGGTGAGGTTGCGAGGGAGGAGGAGGAGGAGGAGGAGGAGGGAGGGCGAGGAGGAGATGGAGGAGAAAGAGGTGGGACGAGTGGTGAAGCGATTCATCTTATAATTTCATGACAGGTCATAGCATTGCGCTGGTGAATGTGTATTGTGTTTATCCGTTTTGCAGGTTGTCGGGGAAGTAAAAAAGTCGGAGAAACAACGGGAGCTGCTAATCTTATCGATCGATCTAGTCTTTCTCTCTCCATCGGCGTCATCCTTTCTTTCTTATTTCTTCCTTTCTCCTCCACTTCCACTCTGCCCCTCTTCACCACCACCCATAATGGCAGATATCCTCACCCAACTCCAGACCTGTCTGGACCAAGTACGTCTTCACCCATTATCCCCATCTCCTTCCTCCCCTCTCAACATCATACCTACCCAGTCAACTAAATAACTAACCCAACCCCAAAGCTAGCAACCCAATTCTACGCAACCCTAGGCTACCTAACAACCTACCACGACAACTCCCCCGCAATCACACCTCCCGGAATCAGCAACGCAGCGCCCGCCCTCTCCCGAATCCCCAAGAACTCTTCCCTACCGCCCGCACCGGCCGGCGCACCGGCCGGCGCCCAAGCTTCCCCTCCACCATCTCATCCGCAAGGCGACGCGGCAGGCACAGAGGACCCGAACCTTCCGCCGGCAGCAGACGCGCCGCGGTTATTTGCGAGTCGACAGCGGGAGTTGGCGCGCGATCTGGTCATCAAGGAGCAGCAGATCGAGTACCTGATCTCTGTGCTGCCGGGGATCGACTCGAGTGAGGAGCAGCAGGAGAGGAGGATTAAGGAGCTGGAGAAGGAATTGAGGGGGATGGAGGAGGAAAGGGAGGAGAGGATGAGGGAGTTGGGACGGTTGAGGAGACGGTTGGAGGGGGTGCTGGGGGCTGTGGAGAGGGGGGTTTATGGGGATCGGTCGTTGTGATTGTGAAGGCGGTCTTCTTTGGTTCTGGTTATGGTGTTGGTCTGGTTGATCTTGATTTTGATCTGGATGGTGATAGTGATAGTCTACATAATCCATGGCTGGTCTGTGGATGATGATGATGATGAACGAAGAAAAGAGATCTTTCTGTATTCAACGGACTTGCGTCCATGGTATCCTGTCTAGAGGTCTGCAAGTGTACGAGTAATAAGCTCCAGCGGTGTACTATATCAATCGTCTCCAAATCTTCAACCCAAATCGCGAAATACCGGAAATAGAAAATAGAATGGAATAGAAAGTAAAAACGCCCGAGCCGTAGAAGGGTATCGAATATCAACCGTAATTTTGTCCCAAATCAGTGTCTGTGAATTTATCACCCAGAAAATAAACGTTGTGTGCGTAAAATGAGACAAGAGAATGTGAATAGAAATGAAACAGCAGAGAGAGCCAAAGAAACGGAGATCACTTGAATAATCCCCGGTAATCTCTCATTCGTTGCTCTTGAACCTCCTTCTTGTCGAGTTTGCCGCGGTTCATACTCAGATCGGCCAACTGCTGTTTTTTCTTGGCCAGCTCGAAGATCTTCTCTTCAATGCTGTCCTTCATGATGAACTGAATCGTGGTCACCTCGCGCGTCTGCCCGATTCGGTGCACGCGATCCATCGCCTGCGCCACCGCCGCCGGGTTATACTGCGGCTCCATAATATACACCTTGGACGCCGCAGTCAGGTTGAGTCCTACACCGCCAGCGCCGATCGTGGCGAGAAACACGGTAATTCGGTTATTGCTGTGAAATTCTCTGAGGGCTTTCTCACGGGCAGCCGAAGTCATGGTGCCATCCAGTCGTACAAAGCCCGTGATGTTATTGTCTTTCAAGGCAATCTCGACCAGATCCAGGTGCGACGTCCAAGCGGAGAACACCACGCTCTTCAAAGGCGGTTGCCCATCTCCCAAATTCCGACTCTCTTCGGCCGTGGCTTGAAGCTGCTCAATAAGAGCCATGGTCTTGGTGTGCGGCCCTTCGTAGTCTCCAAGAATCTTGGACTGTCGTCGATTTTGCTTGGCCTTGACTTGCTCGACCAAATGATCTTGCAGTCCCCCAACCGTGATGTAGGAGTACGATGCGGGGATCCATCCTTCGCACGCTTGACATTTGATATCCGGTAGCAGTGAGTTGCTTCGCCTGTCGAAAGCGAGTTTCCAGCCGGAAAAGCATTCTGGGCAAAGCACGTCATAACAAGGAAGCACGACGGCAATGGGAGATCGCCGATCGACGGGGCCAGAATCGGAACTTGGTTCCTCCAAGCGCCTATTGCACGTGGCACATGCGTCCCCGGATGATTCCTGCATCAGGACGAACATCTCGTACGCCTTTCTGTCGGATACTTCGGCGGTATCATTATCACCGCCCTCTTCAAGGTTGATGGCATCTTGAACGCTCAATCCCTTAATCCGTTCTCGGTCAGCGGCGTCGAGTAGCTCTTTGCCGTGAGCGCTGATTTGTCGCAGGATCATCATCGCTTTCAGGATATGATGGTACATGCGGCCCTTCATCTTGGTCTGGTCTTCGCCGGCAATCACCTTCATCATGACGTTGGACTCGTTACGGAAGAAATCATGCAGTTGCCTTTCCTTGTCAGAAAATCTCAGATACACGATTCGATCTTCTCTGGCAGGAAGATCGATTTTGTCCTTGACCCGGCGAAGTGTGAATGAGTCCACGAGCACACGCAAGCTAGCCAGAACCGTAGCATCCCCAGTCTTGAACCGGCTGAGAATATGCGTTACAAAGCTGGTCCGGTCGTTGTACGGGAAGAGCCCAAGGAATTTGGTGACCGAGAGGAGGTCTTCGAGTCGATTTTGGATCGGTGTTCCGGTGACGGACCACTTGCGCTGCGAGTTGAGTTTGAAAATTGCTTGAGTCTGCGCGGCTGTCTGCTCTCGGATGGTGTGCGCTTCGTCCAGAACGATTCGGAACATGTTCATCTTTGTCAGAGGGCTCACGCCCCGCTTTGCGCCCCTGCCGGACAGTTCGCTGAGCACGATACTGTAGGTTGTGACTACCACGTCATACTTCGATAATTCCTCGACATTATTAGTGCGCCCCGAGCCGTGGAACACGTAGTAGGAAACGGCTTTGGTCTTCAGATGATCCTTGATCTGCAGGAGCCAATTGTTCATCAAAGTCAATGGAACCACGAGCAGCGTGGTTTTACTGTTGCGAATGCCTGGAATATCTTTGACCATGTCCGTGGGTGGAGGCAACGGCGCCCAATTTCGTGCTTCTTCCAGGGAGGACACAACAAGAGAGAGAATGCTCAGTGTTTTACCAAGACCCATCACATCTGCTAAGAGCCCGCCCAGGGTTTGCGGGGGCTCTTCATCCATCGTCATGCCGCTGATGATCTCGCGGTATTTCTGCTTGCCGCTGGTGGAGTACTCGATTCTCCAAAGCGAGTTGTTGTCCTTCTCCTGGGGTCCAAACTTGCGCGGCTTCTCTTTCTCGGTCATGAACCAGAGGGCCTGCTTTTGATGCCGGAGCAGAGGCGTTTTCAGAAGAGTCGGAGTGTCCAGCTCAGGAATGTTCTCAGCACTCTGAAGCTGATCGAACATCTTCATCACTGCATCGTTCACTTCCTCCGCCGACCGCACTTCGTAACTGGCGCCCGGTCGGCCTCGAGCAGCGACTGCCGGCACAGAGTTGGCCTGGGCGCGCCTTTTCTCGGCGTGTGGGTTGAACACCGGCACCCCTTGTTCCACGGTGAACGGGGTCCCAAGCCAAACATTACGCTGTCCCAGATGATTTCCGACGAGTTCCGCATCCTTCCTAAGACCGTATAAGTTAATGGAAGCCCGGTAAAACTCTGAACAACATTGCCCGGGCCATTCGTTCGGTTTTCGCGGTCGATAGTCCAACCGTGCGGTGATGTCTACCTGTAACCCCGGTGAATCAAGAAGCGGAGCTATCGCAGAGGCGGTTCTCGTATCCACAGCTCCAAAGATGTTACCATGGGGGTCTGAGACGTCGATACGGATGTTTTCCTGGCTTGCGTTGCGGTGTACCCCTAATTTCATTGACGGCCAGTCTGTATCACTAAAGATCGATCCACCAGCGGGTTTCGGAACCATAATGGCTTGAATCATTGCATTTTCAATTTTTCCATAGCAGACCCTTTGAATGCTAAGGTTGTTTGAGCCGGTGACTTGCAGATCGTCGTCGTTGGTGGCTGCAGCTGGGGCATCTAGATAACATTAGCAAATTGCTTTTCTCTTATCTTGTGGTGATATTTCGTGGCCTACCAAGGGTCAGATCGACAACATTTGGGGTCACCGGAAGTGACGATTCTGGTGTTGACTGTTCCTCCTTCATCCATTTGCCCAACCCGCTGTTCCCAGCGGCGGCCAAGTTCCCTTTCATGAGCGGACCATTTTGCTCGTCCTTCATTTTTACTTTCTTGTAAGGCGGATTGGTTCGCCTCTCCACCCCGTACATATCCTCAATTAAGTTACCATGGCGAAGATCCACTCCGGTGTCGAGCTGGTCGCAGCCGCGCTTCGCATCATGCTCATCGTCGCTCTGCGCACTCGTGAACGTGAAGTCCACTTCGGGTTCTGTTTTCTCGGAGGGCTGGGGCGAGGAAGTTGTACTGTCCGTATGCGACTCGAGCGACTGGAGCTGGGAACTCGACCTAGGACTCGGCTTGACGGAAGGCCGGCCACGACGTTGCGGACTGAGGAATCGTTGCGCCGCGGAGGCGGTGCCGGCGGGCGCACCAGGGGAACGGGTATTACTTTGCGATGATTTTCCGGACTCCGACCGGTCTGCGGTGTCGATCAGTGAGTCTGTGTCATCCAAGAACATAGGATCTTCCGGGGGCGAGGGGTAGCGCCTAGATGAGGGGGGTAAGGGAGAGGATTCATCCTGGGCCTCTGGACTGGGGTCGTTGTCCAAATCAGGTGTTCCAACTGGGGATTCCGCGTCGTTACCATTTTTCTGCACTTGTTTTCTGTAAGCTCTTGGGTCTAAGAGCATAGCAGCATGAGATGCCATGGTTGTGTCTTTCCGTTCTCATGCAGATGCGGGTATCCGAGACAATGTATGCGGGACGAAGGGTTTGCCAGATATGGATCGTGATTAAAAGATTTTAATTAAGGTAGGAGGCGTATGACAGAGAGGGTGTAGATATTTTATGAAGGTGACTGATCGAGGGGAGGTTCTTGAGCGACGAGTGTTGCGAAGGTCACTCAAGGGTGAGGAGTGACCGAGGTCTAAATCAATGCGAAAGGGAAGTGAGCGATAAGAGAGTCGTTAGAGCCCTTCCATCGCGGAACCCACGCGCAAGCGATCGACCCTGTCGAATGCAGGCACTGGGTTGTAGAGAGACGGAGGAGAGTGTGAGAAGGAGAGGAGTAGAGAGGAGAAGGGAAGAGAGTGAGAGTGAGAGGGAGTTGCTCGAAGGGTTTCTGCCTCGCCGACGATTATCGCATGCCAAGCCCCCGATAAGATCGGCTTATCAAAGCAGGTCTTGAAAGGGTCACGAGGACCTCAGTTAACTGGGAACTGCGCGATTAAATGTATGGCTCTCTATTTGCAGGCTGGTTTCTCTCTTTTCTTTGGTATATCTCAACGTCAATAGAAGAATTAGTAGGGAGACCAACAACAAGTCTGTCTGTCTATATACAACATCAGGGTAAAATTTTCCCATCCAAAAAACAGGCCGCAAATCATGCGACATCGCAAACCGATTCCTCATGCCAGTTCTGCCCATAACACGCTAAAAGTGGAAGATGACGGTCATGATGACAAGTAAAGTAGGTAGTTGAACAAGAAATAGAAGGGGAAAAAGAAGAGGGAGAAAAAAAAAAAAAAAAAAAGTGGTAAGATGGGAAAGAATAGGAATCGTAGGAAACAAGATGGGTGCCTAGCACCAGGTGAACACAGGGTTTTTGCTCTTGACAGCTTCAATTCGCTCCACGATGACTTTGCGTTGGTTTCCTTCCATTCCCTCGGCAGCTGCATATCCTAAATCGCCTTCCAAGTCATCGCTACTCCAGATCAGATGCGCGGCTGCACTGCGCCCGTTCGAAGACAGGGAACTATGCTTCTGATGCTTCTTACCCGGCCGAGGAGGAAGGGTGGCCCAGCTGTGATCCAAACCTCGGTCGTCGCCAAAGTCGTCGATGTTTCGTTGACCGAAGCCATAGTCGTTTAGCGTAGCAGGGCTACCATTTTGAGCCCGGGGCGTGTCAAAGTCACGGGAGTGACGGCCTCGGGAAAGCTCGAACCGGTTGGGGTTGGGGAGTTCGTTTGGAGAGGATCCCAATCCTAGAAGGTCATTCTCCGGACCAGTGCCCAGAGACATGGCCGCGCCAATGTCCATTTCCTCGTTGTCGGGGTCATAACTGTCGTAGCGATCGTAGGCCCGAACTTTGCGCCGTTGGGCCTCCGTAGACGGTCCACGAAGGGGAATGGCAACCGGAACGTCCACCAGATCGTCCCAGACACAGACTCGGGTACGTCTGGTGAGCTCCAACGGACCGTGGTCGGGGTGCTTCAAAGTCTCGACAACATTCCATGCTTGGCCCTTCATCACCGCGATCTGCCTGGCGAACATACTCTCCTTGAAGTCGTCATCCTGTGAGAAAACCCGTCGGAGGGCCATCTGTGTGCCACTCCACCAAGCTGTTGACGTGAGGAGTGGGAGGAAATGATCTCTCGTTCTTTGGGAGAAGGGCTGTCCTATTAAAGAAACAGGGAGGAACAGCCAACCGAAAGGAAAGCTTCGCCACTGGGAAGATATCAGCATCATCATGTTCAACTAAGACAAATAGAGGGAAGGCTTACGGCATCCGGGTGTTTCCACGGCCATGACAAACTGTTATCGATGGCTCCAATCTGAACGGACGCCTGCGGCTCCTGTGCATTCAATGGAGTTCCAGACCGACTGACGGCTTGCATTGTCTCGTGCCTCTTGTACGGATATGAAGCGGTAGAAGGCTTGTCAGAGTTAACTGAAATCGGTCGGGCAGGGGGGAGATGGTCGTCGTCATCTTGCTGCTGCTGCTGAGTCCCGTTGGGTTGCGGCGGATCGGCCACAATGGACACTTCTTCCGTATTCCAATCGATCTTGATCATCCAATTGTCCAGCCCACGGTCCGTGTTTCGCATGATATAATCCAGAATGACCAGTTTCTCCAGCTCCTCCCTGAATGATTGTTTGAGACCCTCGGTCCAGTAGAACCGTCGCTCGCGACTCTCCTCTCGCGGTGAGGGCGCTTGCCCGGGAACATTCACCCCCTCGTCGTCCTCCTCGTCGTCCGAATGAACACCGGAAGGTCGGCAGGCTTCATTCCAAGGACGCTTCTTGCGTTTAGGTGCGTCCTCTGTGCGGAATCCAGTGTTCGCCTGATCAGGCCAGGGATGATCACGTAGGAACAGATTTGCATCCTTGTAACCCTTTAAGAAAACCTGGAAACTACCCGCCTTGTGTGGCAGCGGTTTCTTGCCCATCCATGCCTTTCTCCGATCCCAGAAGTCGTAGTAGAATGATTTCGAAGACAGCCACACGATGTCGGTGTACGGGACGAGGTTGGTGCGTAGGCGCGAGTCGAGGACATAAGCGGCCGCTTCGGAGACATAAGACAAATTGGGGATCAAGCAGGCACGCCCGAAGAAGCAAGGGAAGAGATTCCGGTGAATCCATTTGGTCCACTTGGGATTGCGGGATGCATAGGGTTCCTCGTCCTTGGGCTTGAACACACCCACGACCTTTCCCTCGGCATTGCGCGCAAAGTAACTACCGGAGCTACCTTGCGAGATCATGCGAGGGTGAACGCCCATCTCAATGGCAATGCGGACGCCCTCCACCACTTCCTCGAATTCGTCACGGGCGCGACGTTGCGCCCCTTCCACTTCGTCCGACTCGAGCGTTTCGGCGGTGACGGGCTGGACCCCGTCGGGGGCCTGAAAGACGGAATGGTAGATCTCCAATTTCTCCTCCTCCAGAGTCTTCCCTTTGACCTTGTTGATCTTGAACTTGGAGGCGATTTCCTCGGCCCACCGCTCCAGGCGCGCATTGATGGCCTTGATGTCTACGCCGGAGTTTCTCCGGCCTCGTCGGTAATGTCCGCTGGGTCTCCGTCGAGGTTCGGGGGGCGACGAGGCCTGCATTTGGGATCGGGATGAGATTGGCGCATATCGGGGGGCGGATTCGGATATCGTGTCGGTGGGTGGGTTTAGGTCATCGTCATCTGAATAGTCGTACACATCATGCGATCTATCTTCTTCTTCCTGAGCCAGACGAGCGTACCCCGACGTGGCGGGTCGATTTTTCGGCATGGTTCAAGGAATCTGGGGGGAAAGAAGCTATTGCAAGAACGCGGAGGCAAATACAAGTCGTCTCATCGGAAGTGAACGGAAAGAAGAGAAGAGAAATGGTACAATTAAAGAAATATTAAAGAAGGAGAGAATGCAAAAGCGCAAAGACTAAGAGGAAAAGAAGAATGGATGAAATGAAAGAAAGATAACACACGGCGGGAGGGAGGGAATTCAAGGCATTACTGGGAAGAAGCAGAAGCAGAGGCAGAGGAACGAGGAACGAGGAGAGCAGCGGGAAGGGACACGCAAAAGGCCAGAAAGTCCAGGCAGGCAACTTTCCGCCAGCACAGAATCCAGAATCCCCGGTGACCGTACCGTACACGAGTCTGCCACTCGCTGCCACTCGCTGCCACTCTCTGCCCTGCGGTCAGGGTCTAAAACAGACGATACGATACCCGGTGATACCGCACCGCCACGGCGGTGAGCCGTGTGGCTCCACCGGAGCTTAAGTTCTTACGAGTCGAGGCCCCTGAATGATTGGCATCGTCGTCGCTTGCAAGATAGCCGGGGGTCATCCCAGGGTCCAGGTGGGCATTCTCGAGGAGTCAGTCCCTGCTGAAGCAGCATTCATCGCTGAATGCACTTACAGTTTTGTATATTTGCACAGCATACGGAGTGCTACCGGTGCATGAGGTCAGGCCTGCACGTTTCTACTAATAGAAACAAGAACATCACTGACCACATGGAGACACCTGGAAAATCTACGAACTGGCCTTCGGTTTCAAATAGATATAACAAATAGATCGACTGATATACGTCAATTCAGTGCCTATCTTTTCCGCGGATCTTGTCATTCGTCGACGTTTATCCAGGGCCTTGGCCTGCAGATTTATACACCGGTGTATACTCCCCTTGCGAAGATACGAGTCCAGCAAGTCACTGAAACAGGTAACAGGGACCCTTCCATGAGATACTCCTTAATTGGGTTGAAAAAGCCGGACAGGCCTCCCATTTTCTATCCCTTACCTCCGCATGGATAGCTGTGAACAAGATTTGCCGAGGCAGGGAGTACCGAAGACGATGTGGGCCCGCAAAGTCGTCATCATCAAAGCCCTATAATTGACAGAACGCACTGATTGACGGCCCTGAATTCCCGGTTCCCATCGTAGCTTTGTAACCGTCAACACCTGGATGGAGCTCAATCACATTTGTTATTGATAACTTCATAGCTTCGGCATATCAATCATATCCTCATGCCCAATATTTCCAGTCCAAGCCCGACTCTCGGGCTTAACTTAGGCTTTCTATCGAGTAAACCCTCATCTCCGCTCTCATCGTCCCAGTAGGAATAGCCGTGCTAGGGATTTTGTTTCCACATTTTGTACTTTCATCCAGCAATATGACCCTCGTTCCATTCTGAGTTTAATCCCCATTGAACCGTTTCAAGGTTCGGAGCCCCAGTCGCTTTATCCACCTCCTTTCTCTTTTTGCTAACCTTCGACATACCCGTTAACACCGACCGAGGATCACAGAGCAAGCATGAACCTGCAATCTTTAGTTAGCAATAGGAATCCTTGACATCCAACCAGACAGGCTGTGAAAAGCTTCATATCACCGTGGAATGGGGCAACAACTGGCAGGTGTTCAACCAGGGCCGCGACGGGAAATTGTTCCCTAGGGCTAGCGAGCAGGCCGGGATCATACAAATGCTCAATCTCGTCGACCTGGAAAGATGATTTCAGCGAGTCTTCCCTGCGTCAAAATGGTGCAGGAAAGGTAAGTAATCTCAAGCTACCAAGAGGTCGATTGTCAGGGCTCCAGATACCCCCAAGATAATCGACTGCACATTGACACAATGGCATTCTTAGTGTATGGGGATTGGCCCGACTTGTCTAATCGAGGCAGACCTGTATAACCTGGGCAACTGGACTCGAGTACAGCAAGCTAAACAATAAGCTCTATTTTTCAGTACATTCTATGGAGTCTGTAAACTATACTTTCGATAGCTCAGCAAACCCCAAGAAATAGGACTTCTCCGAGATCAGTTATGGTACAGCACTTTGTATCCGTTATAATGTTTTATGGAAACTCCAATGCCAACAATCCGGAATATCCCATTTGCAATGGTACCTAAACTTTAGTCTCCCAATTAAAAATGACTAGGAAACCTCATAGACTCCTGTATAAAGGATGCTCTATTTCCGGTAATAAAAGAAGATTTGTACCAGGCCATTTGACTCGCACTATCAATGAATACTCTCAACAGGCTTGTTCGCTGGGTTACCGCAGAGCACAAAAATCCCAGCTCATTCGGGGAGCAGCCAGATATAGATATGTCTATAGCTAGACTTCCCAATGAGCTACTTTATCGGATTTTTGAATTCTGCGGGCCGTTCGTGGATGGCAAGATCTGCAACGGTCAATGGGCCAAGCTGATGCGGGTCTGCTGGCGATGGCATGGGATCGCACAGAGCGTCCTCTACAACCAAGCGCCCTTAGCGATCAGCATAGAAAGCAACAGATTATCAGCCAAAGCTTTACCACCACCCCCTGTATACAGATTGTTCCGTTCATTGACCTTCTATGAAGAATCCGATTTTGCGAGCCACAGGGAGGCAATACCGCTGGCCGTAATAGGATTTCTGACATCTGTGCGGTCACTGACCGTAGATTATCCACTCGATTCGCGCATAGCTAACCATCGGACACTGATGTCCTTGCTCATTAAGATGCCGCTCACCCATTTGGACCTGCGCATATGCCACAAATTGGATACGTTGTTGATGGTCTTTGACATCCCAACACTGAGACATCTCAATATCAACAACTCGTTCTGGGATGGATTCTGCGCTGCCGTCTGGAGAGGATTTGTCCCTGGAATAGAGGACCTCGAACATGTTCTACCAGCGCGAACAAAAAGGACTTCACCAATCACGAGTCTCCAAGTGCGTTGTTTCAATTGGCCTATTGAAATCATCAAACGGCTCTTCTCATGGCCGGCCCACCTGGAACGCGCCGACTTACATCTGTTGGATGTCGTTTATGACGGGAATGCCGGGGACATTATCTTGGAGATTCTCTCCCCGCAAGCCTCATCTCTCAAGGCTATATCGTTAGGGTCTCTTCCCTTGGCCGAGGGAGAGCATGTCATGCCGAGCTTTTCCCAGTTCAGCTGTCTGGAAGAGCTGACTCTATTTGGCCAGGATCTCTTCCGCGAGACTCCAGCGGATGCAGTCTGTCTACTGCAGATCCCAAGCCTGAAGCGTCTGACATTGATCTGGGAGATGGGCAGTTTTTTAAAAAACGGAAGTCCCCAGAGCCTTAGCGAAGGACACAGCTGTTGGCTTAGGGGCTTCCTTGTGCGGGTGAGAAAATCGGGCACACTGCCTAGACTCAGGGTTCTAAGGCTAGATTATAACAATGGTGAACCGGAAATTGAGAAGTTAAGGGAATCTGCTGAGCAGTGTGGAATATGGATAGTGTTCTCTCGGTGGAAACTCGTGCATAACTTATATGATCAATGGATACCTGTTAAGGAGGCAGTGATAGGTAGACAGGGTCATTGAAAGAAACAAATGTTCTTATGAATTAAATTTGTGGTTTGCGATGTACTGATAAATGAAGAGTAAGCTAAATTACAACCCTCCATCTCTAACAGTCAAAATAAAACTTTTTACGGTGTACGGAAATCCAATAATAGATACCAGAAGTAACTAGGGATACCCAATACATCGAGATGACGCAATACCATGATTAATTCATATTCGAACAGATAAAACTACCTACGATCTCACAATGGTAACTAGGTACCAGAGTCGGCAAAGTGAGGATGAAATGATTGACTCAAGGAGGCGAAGTAAATATGAAGGGTAGCCTCGGTTGAGAGATAAAGATGATAAGATAACTGCAAGGACAATCAATGGCCAATTCAAGTCGGACGTGCATGAGATCGTCATCTGGCAGTCAAGCCCTCGGAATCAACTGAGTCTTGTGAACAATTAAAAAGATAAATAGGGCAGTTAAAATTATAAAGTCAAGTCAAGGGAATTAATATTAATAAGAGAAGAGAAGCAAGTAACGAGACGGCTGGAAATCAACAGTAGACAACAAACGGTTTCCAAAGATAAAGTGCAGACTTTTCTTTTTGAGTGTTCTGGTCTTATCCCGGCTTGCATGTCGCATGCACGCACCGTCAGATGGCAACAACACACTAGGAGCAAATGATAAATAAATTGCACTCGATTAACCACGTAGCCTGCCCCAGCCCCGGTTCCCCATCCTCCTCAAATCGTGATCCTGCCACATCTCGGAGACGAATCCCCGGAGCAGACCCTCATCTGGGCCAGTCATAAAGCAGGCAAACACAGAAATAGAATACAAATGGGAATAGTAGTATAAATAATAATAAAAGTGGAATAAAACAGATTATAGAACACACATACAGCTAGATCGCTCCCACGTCGATTTTATAGGGGGTTTTGGTTGCTCCGCGCATCGCTGTCCCAAAGATAGTCTCCCCCGGCTCATCGGAATAGAAATGAAAAGTAATGCTCGACGTTAAATGGAGTCGAGGTAGGACGTAAAATAAAAAGAGCTGATTGGGGGAAGGTAGAATAAAGGCGGAAAGGAGAGAGACATTAGTGAGATCCGATATACATCCAGCCAAAAGAGACAGACTCGTAAAGGGTATCATGAAGCCAAGGGAAGACCAGAGAATTCAGCAGAAGCGGATGCCAAGTTTTTGCAAAAATTTGGGGTACTGTCAAATGAAGCAAGAGGCGCAGCTCACACGTCACATTCCATCGGCATTAGATACTCTTGGGCGATTTGTTCGGCGAATCAGCCGGTTGATCGACCACGTCGGACAGTTTGATGCGCTTAGCTAAAGGCTCGCTTGGACTGTTGTTGTTCGCGATCGGGCCGCTGAAATTGTTGTCGGAGACTTGACGCTCCATTTCCACTATGCGTTGCTTCAGCTCATCCTCCCGTCGTTGAGAGTCGTCGAGCGAGCGTCGGAGGCGCACTTCCGAGTCGCGAACAATCATCTCGGATCGGCGCGCAGCGGCATTGCTCTGCTCAAGCTCCGTCACCCGACCTCGGAAAAGTTCGTTGATGAACTCTAGCTCGCTCACACGAGTCTTGAGCGACGTGTTTGCCGCGAGCAATCCCTCATAGGTCTGGGGCGACTCGAGATGGCGGTCTTCAGCAGCGGTTGCCGTCGGAGACGGTTGGCGCAGTTGGGTGGCTGGAAGACCATTGGACGCGCTGAGACCATGTTCTCCAAGGGTCACGCTGTCAAACATATGCTGCGGAGCGATGTTGGAATTGTGTTGCGTCGGCGCGTGGGGTTGGTGCATCGACGAAGCGCCGGGGGTTTCTGTTCGCGGAACCGGCGAGTTGGAGCGATCCGAATGACCCGGCGATGCCTTGCGCGACGCGCGACGGTATCCGTGAGATCCTCCCAACGGAGGAGTACCCGCTTCCGATCTCGAGGTAGGCAGGCCATTGGCATCAACGGCGCCGGTGGACTAAAGCGACCATGCACACGTTAGCAACCGTCGTCACGGAACTAAGCCAAAAGAGATTTTAACATCGGACTCACCTTGCGTTTTGGACCCTGGCCAGCGGTCTTGACCCTATTGCGACTTTTGATGACATCAGTTTTCAAGCTTATCGGACGCGGTCTCCCGTGTAATTTCAAGAACAGGCCGCAGGCGTTGCAGAGAACGGAGCCGAGCTCGTCTCTGCGCCAGAGAGGAGTGGTGGAGGTGCCGCAATTTTGGCACACAGGCTGTAAATGGGGCCGTTTTTGGTCAGCCATTGCAGTCGCCATCGCGAGAAGTGAGAATGGGGAGGGAGGAGAAAGAGACGGGGGAAGAGAGCCGATAGTGATATGATAGGATAGATAGACAGATAGAGAGGAGGAAAGGGAAGGCGCTGGTTGATAAGATGAGAGATTTGTCGGGTTGCGATAAGAGCGGCCGGTGCCAAGCCGGCTGATAACAGATCGGCCGGAATTGGAAAAACCATCGCCAGGGAAAAGGGAAAAAAAAAAAAAAGCCAGAAAAAAGAAAGATAAGCCACGATAAGCATCGCGTCTTCAGCTACGTCGCTTCACTTACCGGATTGTTTCCCTGTCCACCGGTCGTGGCGGCAGGAGATGAGGTTGCATAGGTCATATTGGCCATGTTGGAATGCGCATTGCCGCTGGACGCCCTGCACGCGTAAGCCAGAGAAGTCAGTGTTGGAGATTCGCTGGCAATGCAAATATCTTAGGTTGATTCGATGTAGAGAATCGGAAGGAGGGGGCTAGTTCCAGTTCAAGAGACGGCTGTGGATGCACGATACATGTACGCGCGTGCAAAGTATACCGCGATCCCCGACGGAACCCTCTTTCACCGCGGCAGAAAACTAGTATCGCAATGCACGGCTACCACAAGACATACCGTAAATTTGATGTAGGGGCAGAGGCGACCGATGCCAAAGCCGAAAGACCGGGCAAGGACGGGCCTAGAGAGCTGGGGAAGCCGCCGCTGCTGCCGGGACTATGGTTCGATTTGTCGAGAGAATTGAATTCGGGGAGGGTTCCGGAAGCTTGCGAAGAGGCCGACGATGCACCCGCGGCAGTATCTGTTGTCGACTGCCTGGAGTTGCTCTCCGCCGACGAAGACTGGTTGTAGTTGGGATCGTGCGACTGCGTGGACGGCGAGGGAGGACGGAGGGCCGGGTCGATGGGCGACGCCCGAAACAGAAGCGAAGAAGCCACTGTGGAGGGTGGGAGAGGGGATTGACTAGAAATCCGGCCTAACAGAACCGAATTGAACGCACTTCAAGCTCAAGGAAGAGAAGAGAGACCCAAGATCCACGTCGTGTTCGAGGTTGTTTGGATCTGACGGTTGGAGTGAGGAATGCGGCTCGAGGACCAGCCACGTCGAAAAAGGGAGGGAAGAGATGGAATGTTTTCCCAATTCTTGGTTGCCCTCACCCGGAAGATTGGCAGATTGATCGGAGGTCTAGACTGGGAATTGAAAATCTCCCCGGTGGTGAAAGACGGCGTTCTGTTGTCGGTGGATGGTCAGATCATAGCAGGATAAGGAGCGAAAGATCTGAACGAGAGCCCTTTACCCGAGAAACAGGGAGAGACCGGGGTGATAAGGAGATCGTCGCGATAACAGGCCACTGGCACGACCCGGTTAATTCATTGATGGTCGAAGAGTGTCTGACGACTGCTCAGGAAGCAAAAAATAAAACAGAGCGTCAGTACTGTCAAGGGAGATCAGAGGAGATGAAGCAGAGGCAACGTGACACGACCGGAGGAAGATCGATCGACTGATTGATTATGATTATCGATATCGCCGGCTGCTATCGATTGCGCCCCGACGGACTCGAGTAATACCTACGTGACGTCTACCACTTGCTTTCTGGTTTTTCTTTGCCTGATTCGTCTAATCACAGTCGCTACTTATGACACATTCGAATATACATACTCTCTAGTGACAATTCTTTGTCAGTTGCGATTGCGGAGAAAAGAAGTGCGTGCCCATGGCTTCTCGGCGTATCAATAGGCGCATCCTCATCCTACCATAGGTGTAGTGCCAGACACCCTTCCCAGCCACTCAGCCACTTCCGGGTCTAAACATGCATGATACTGGAAGAGAAAGTCCATGATCTCAATGGCTGTTGATCAAGTCGAATCTCGCCATTCAACTTTCACGTCCGTCGGGAAAACGAAAGGTTGGCAAAAGAGCTACCTGCGCACGTGCCCATCGAAACCGGATTTGGCGGACGATCTTCTTCTAGCCACGGCCCTTTCTGCCTACTTCAACGCACTTCCGCTATTACCTTCACTGCCTCTGCTTGTTGCGGGATGATTGCGAGGTATATGGATATCTTTGACATGACACGTCAGCCCTCGACTAGAGGGACGCATACGCTCTCAGATTGCTCTGAGAAGAAACCATGGAAATATGCCTACTCCGATGAACTTGCCAGGAGTGGGAATAGTCTCACTGTCTCACATATTCAACGGCATATCCATCGCAGCACTATCAACATATCCTGCCAGGAATGTGGACGTGTAGTTATACTATATTCATGGTGGTCTCCTTGTACTTGTTCATTTTGAGTATGCCATTGACCAAGCCATGATTAAGTACGTCATTTGCATACAAAACATGGGCAATTCCAATTTCCTATCAAGCATTGATCAATGTAAGAAACAAATGACTGATACACCTTCGAACTATTTCTCGACTTAGACCAAAAGGACACCTCACCGTGCCCACCCGATCTAGTCAACTTAAGAGCCTTTAGCCCCGAGTCCAAACGGCGGCAAATTGACGACAATAACCAACTTTGAAGATGAAAAGAGAGTTGAAAAAACACCGAACCTGCGGTTAAAATAGCTTTGATTCTCTGTGAAGAAACCCCGGCCTGAACGCCCACGTCCACCCCGTGTATGCCCTCCTAGATGTCGCGGAGCACAGTTGATGGAAAACGTAGACCCATTCTACGGTATTCTCGGCCTTAGGGATTCTCTTGCTGCGCGGTGACTTCCTCTAATCTTGCCATAACCTCTTTCACCCAGTTCCACCAGTCCTCGTTGACATGCATGACAATGGCTTTGAAGACTCAGATAAGCTAATACAGCCCTCAGGGACACTCTGGTTTTTACCCTGTGAATCCGTACACAATGCTGCCACGGTGAATCTCCAAGTGCCCCCATAGTATGAGATGGCCAACGAGGGAGGAACTGGGTGAGCCTGTAAACCAACACCTGCTTTCTCAGCCAGTTCTGCGAAAACCCGAAGCATAGAGCCAATCAAGGCCAAACATTCGCGGACCGGCTTGTTGACTGTTTCTGGAGCGTTGAACGATATGGCATGGATGAAAATGTTGGCTTTGTCTTTAGGAATAAATGGGCTTAGGGTATATTTCTCGGAAACGGCCTTCCTCCAGCCCGCCGGTTGCCGTAATTGATGATCGCCCGCAAGCCATATCACCCCGTAAGGAGATAGTCTGAAAGCATCCCCGGTTGTAAAGCGCAAGACATACTTGTCAGAGACGGTATGACCCCTTTTGTATGTTTATGCTGGGACTAAGTAGGGCAAAGGTACCGAATCCCAACGATCTGGGCACTATCGCCGAATGCCTTCCGGAGTGCACCGTTCAGCAAATCAATTTGCGGCAATGCCGATCCAATTCCACGCAACATTTCGAGCCTCTGGGCAATATGTTGAGAATCCTCCCTGTACTCATTGAACACCTCAGAATGGAGTTTTGTAACGTCGCTAGCATCCCACAACTTCTTATTCAGGTCATTCATGGCTTTCGTAGGCGACCTATAATACTACCATACATGAAAAAGACCATATGGACCCAGGGTTTCTAAGTCCATGTAATATGGAGGATACATTTCAGAATAAACAGTTGGCACTTGATTATCAGTAGCCTCGAAGCTACGCCTTGGCCTGTTCCTGGATTGGTTTGGCGAGACTTACCATTCGCTTTCACTCTCCCGACCAGATGCGTCGACGCCAAGGACGTTCTCTCTATAAGTCATTATCATATCGGCGGTTAGCAGAGGCCACTGGAATAAAGTAACCAGGGAGCTGAAATAGCAAAGTTTCACTTACTTGTCCGCCATCTTTGACGATAGGTATCAAGCTGAACGAGGAGATTTGCTTGCCCTCCCTATTCATACGAGAGAGAGAGATCAGGCTATACAGGTGAAAGAGAAAGAGGGTCAAGATTTCCAGGAGGAACGCGGAGAATATAACTAAAAAAAACTTGGTCAGCTGTAGTTGTTCTCACTCTAGGTCGCCTCGCTGAATTCGTTGTCAGGCAGACACTGGATGCCTAGTAGCAGCAAGAGGACTGGGGGAATACTTGCAAGTATACCTTTCCTACCGCGCCTATCCTCCATAGAATGAGTTTGCATATCCATGCCGTAACCTTCATCGCGAACGTGCCATCCCTAGGTCTCTTTGAGGCCAATAGCGCGGACCAAAGAGCGGATCTATTCACCGTAAAGACCTGCTGAGTCGAAACTTCTTCATGCATTCTCCCGACCACGAGAGCTCCAGCCCGGCCCTGCCTTCTACACCCGGATCTATCCCCAAGTGGCATGACCTTACGTATACTGGGTGAGTCCTTCATATCTTTTCTTGACCCTGACATTGAAGAAGAGGAGAGCTTGGACCCGGGATGGCATAGTCACATCTCAAATCTGTAGAGATGATATATCGTCTGCCCTCCTGGCTACAGATTAATTGTAGAATTTGGATGTTCGGGATAATGATACAGGGCCGCAAATGACGATTCTGACTGCTTGAATTGTTTCAGTTCAACGATCTATCTCAGGTGAATAAATATCTACAGAGGATGGAGGGGCAGGCGAGGTGTATGCCTTTTGACAGCTCAGCGAGGCGTACGCCTCGTTGCACAGTCTCAGACGCCTGAGGCACCTTGACATTAATCACTACCCGCGAAGACAAGCGATACACCTGCCTTCCAGAAACGATCCGTCTGTATGTAACGGTGGGTACTAACCATGCAATTCCTCCAGCTGTCTCCTAACCTGTCTCACACGAATGTGTCGATAGCGGTATCGTCGATATCATGGGTCCCAGTAACTAGCTTCTAGCGCGGATGGTCCAAGATTTTCGGCAGATGTGTGGTGATGTCCCATTTGTGTATCATCAAAAGGCCTCGCATTGTTGCCTGGGTTTCGTCTTTTCTAAATTTGGGGGGGGGGTCTGATAATTGATATCAATATTGGGTGTACTGGGTACAATGAATCCGTCGAGGCAGCAGAAATCTATAGAGTTCATCTTCATGCTGATGAGGTCGATAGAAGCGGCATCTACTCATAATCTGCGCGAATCTTGAGTTTACTCGCGAAATTAACCTTCAGCGCCTCGGAGGACCTGGCTTGTTGAGATGGTTGTTCGTATCCAAGATTGACATTGGAATTGATCGACTCCTATCCATCCCTACGACCCATAGGACACACTCTCATGGCATGACCTGTCTCGAAGATATTTGCACAGAAAACCATGTTTTGGTGAAAGGCTACAGCTGGGACGTTCTGACAAAAACGAGAATACTTTTTATCAACCAAAAAGTTTATGTACATGCATGAAATCACCAAGGTTTCTATCAATTTACCTTCTAGAGATAGACCAAGTCCTAATACCAGGTGAATCGCGTAGAAACAAGAAAGAAAGAAGAGATAAATCGGAGAAAGAATTATGCTTTAGATCCAAAATAAATAATGAGCGAAACCAGTTCGGTCAAAGTCAGTCCTGTTGACCCACCAATCTATATAATGTGTGACGTGACATAAGGAAAAGGTAAGAATGTCCGTGGACCCAAAAGAGAGCGAGGGGTATTATATATCAAAAAATAAAACGCGAAACCCACATGCTGGCTGACAAGTTCAGGGGAAAACTCAAGTTCTAGATACGTATGCGGGTATCACAATCAAGCTAGGCGATCGTGCTCGACTTTTTTGCGAAGTTCCGCGCTATGGATACGCTTCTCCCGCATGATGCTCCATAGACAGACGATGACTCCCGCAAGACCCGAGAAGAAGGTCGTGTAGTAGGCGGCTTGGTAGCAACCAAGACCGTCGGGACAATCGCGGTCGCCGTCGTCGCCCACCACGGAGTGTCGGTCAAAGATGCTGCCGTAGAGCAGGTTGAAGATGTTTCCGCTGAAGACCGGGGCGAGGGTCATAACGCCCCAATTTTGGGAGAGTCCGCCAATTCCGAATGTGTGCGCAACGAGAGACGGGAAGACGCCGAACAAAAAGCCGTAGGCAACACCGGTAAAGCCGGAGACCACCACAAGTTGATGAGGATTAGATATCGTCGACCCGGCAAGTTGTGTCAGAGTGAAAACGACGGCCGAGATGAACAGACACCAGAATCGAGACATGTCTAGTTTTTTAACTAGCACGTCGGATCCAATTCCTACAGGGACGGTTAGACTACATCCATGAGATTATACAAATAGATGTCACAAAATACGTACCACTTGAGAGGCGACCAATGAAGTTGCCAAAAGAGAGCACGGACACGTGCATTACCTGCCGCTGCTGAATAAACTTGGAGCTGGCACTATCGTCGTAGTACGTCCAGAGTGCCTTGGTCTGCGACAGTTAGAATCAAGAGAAAGAACACGGGACACAGAAACGCTTACGCTGTTGCCGATGTTACTGTAGGAAGATTAGCGAGATGTCAACCGATTCTCAGAGCAAGAAGAACTCACTTGATAGTCATCAATCCGATACCAGACAAAAGCGCCATTGTCAAGAACAACTGCCAAAATTCAATCCTAGGCAGCATCGCCAATCCTCTAATGTCTGGGTGAGGTGAGTCAGGGACAACGTCAGAGAGAGCATCATCGTCATCGTCCGCGTCGTGGTCATGATGGGAATCCCGAGAAGTTCTCGAGTTGGCTTTCGACACCAATGATGACGTCTCATCAAGGTCGGATTTGTGGCCAGAAGCAGCATGGTTGTTCGACGCGGCGGATGGTGATCTTTCATGCTGCGAGGATGGTGGGGCATCAAAGGCATCAGAGCTCTGCGTACCTGCTAGATCGGAGTCATCATGGTTGGATCGCAGGTCGGAGGACTTGGTTTTGAGCAACCGCCTAGACTCCACCCCGGGTGATCGGCCTCGCGACACGGAACTATAAGGCTCGTACGGCGGCACGATCTGGATCATAGGAATGGAGATGAGGTTCAAAATGCAGGTTCCGATTGCCAGTAAGAGGAGGAACCGCCCGGTGTCATCCTTGAAGATGACCGCAGATATGGTCGACCAAAAAAAGGCGCTGAGACCGAAGGCGGCCAAGGGGAACGCCGTGGCCGTTCCTCGATGTGTAGGAAAGTTTGACGCCGCTAGAAGAATTCGCAACCCAATGTTAGTTTTGCGATCTCAGTCAAGCCGAATAGCTACCAGAGCCGACCTACCTGTCTTGATGGAAGCTGAAAAGGCTGAGGAACTTCCGAAACCGGTGAGAAATGCGAAGAATGACAACAGGCCGACACCCAAAGAGCCTGGTCCATGCTCATATGCTATATTGTTGACGCTTGTCAGCGCACTGCGATCGATCACCTCCGTCTTCAGAAGACCAGACGAACCTGAGTATATGGGGTAATACCCTATGCCAAGGGTTATCGCGCCGATGAACGTCGTCAATCGAGGACCCTTCGCATCCGTCAACAATCCTAGAGGAATTCCCGACGCATACATGCCCAGGTTTCCAGCTGCGCCCTAGAAAATGTGAATGACCAGCCGATGTCGGAGAGTTGGCCGAGGGGACGAGCGAAGAGACGGCTTACGATGAAGTTGGTTTCGGTGGATGTGGTCTTCATGCGGGTGCTGAATTGAGGTGCCCATGCTGAATAGGCATACTACCCAGAGAATCAGTGACATGAAACGTGAGGTATGAAACGAAAAGCCTCGGTAGGAGAGTCGCACGTTGGTACCACAAGCTAGAGCTACTAACGTGCCCGCAATGACGGAGACCATCCGCTTGGTCTTGTGAACGTCCCCCATTGCAATCTGTTCCGGTGCTCTTGCACCGACTTCTATCTGTAACGGTTGATGTCACATACGAGGACCTCGCACAGGAAGGGGGGCAACCGAGAGGGGGAGAAGGCGCAAGCAATTGGAAGTATGTTGAGGACTGGCTGGGATCGGAGTGTCGGCGAATAGCGTGGATCAGCCTTATCAAGTCACGTAGGCCCAGATAACCGCAAACGCAAGGAAGGGCGATATGTTGGCGGAGAAGGGGAAACAAGAGGAGGAATTATAAGAAGAAATGCAATGCCTCCAAGGGAATTGTAAAAACGAGTGACTAGAGGAGGGGGCAGAAAAGAAAAGCAGAAAAGGGAAAAAAAGTAGGGAGCACGCAAGAGGAGATGCAAAGTGGCCGGGACTCGTAATCGAAGTACGCGGGACTTGCGGAGTGACAGCGATTATACTGTGACAGCAAGTACCCGGTACCTGAGTACCTGAGCCCCCCTTGCGGCCCTCCGTCCTCCTGCCGCTTTCGGTTTAGCGCGGCCCCGGAGGCTTGGCCTTAGTCATGCTGCTCACGTGTCGTATCCAGCCTTGTGACCCTTGTCTCTCCTGCTTCTCTTGTCTACTATTTCTTCCCCGACATGAATCATGAGGCCTCCTGGTGGCTTCAATTGTTGCCAATGTCGATGGAATATGTCAGGTCTCATGGCCTGCAATGTCTCTGGATTTTCGTCTCGCAATGAAGTAAACAAGGGCCACGGGTTCCAGTAATCATTCCCACAGGAGCTACTGGGAATACCGGACGATGTAAGGTCCTGACGACGTAGGCCTTCCTGATGGCGTACGGTGCAGGTACTTTGGTTCTATGTTACGAGCTTTTGATTGATGCGAAATACATTGCACAGGACTCCGTACACCGATCATTTTACTTGTTTACAGTATGATGGCTCATTCCTATGACTAATTGTATGTATATTTAGGACGTTGTCCTGCCAGATTGCACTTGGCAGTTACGCGGTACTCCGGAGCACCATGCTCCCAGGATGAAAACATTCGCCAAAGACCAATAGAACATCTTTTCCTTATAAAAAATTAGTCAGAAGATCGACACGCCATGAAAAGCCCCTGGTTTGCCGGAGATAACCCCCCGGTTATTCCGTAACGCATCTAAATTGGTTGGCGTTCTTGACTCGGCGTTTGCCCAGCCTGGCCTTACTCCGTTGGATTGTGCGACGGTTTGGCCAACGTGGGGGCTGACACTCTCGTAACCTTTGGTCTTGTTACACCAGATCAATAATCTGTACATTGATATTCTTATCAAGGAAAATGTGACACAAGTCGATCAACCCTGACACAACCCTAACTCATCGTCAATACACCCCGTGGGGATGTCAGGTGATGGATCCCTTAAGCGTGATAGCTAGCGTTGCCGGTATCGCGACAGCCACCTTCTAGATTATTGGTTTTCTCGGTACGATAAAGGGAGGGGGGAAAGAGCGCCTCTCACTACCCAATGAAGTGACCCATCTCTGGCTTGCCGTTGTCGCTGTCCAGGCCCAAATAACTTCGGAGAACGACAATCCTGACAAAAAGCCTCTTCCCAGACAACTCCGCCCGTTGTTCGGGTTCGATGGGATCATCAGGGATATTGAGACTGTAGTCGAGCAATTAGAAAGAAAGCTGAAGTCGCGATCATCGTACGGAAAAGTACGCCGGAATTTGACGTGGCCGTTGGACAAGCAAAATGTCTTTCAGGTCATCGAACGGATTCACTGGTTGCAGCAGACATTGCAACTTGCTGCGACCCAATCCACCTACGCCTTGACACACGAGATCTACTAGGATGGGAAGTCCATGAGGAGTGCCATCAGTGAGCCGCAGAGGAAGGATGTAATTGGATGGCTATCTCCTTTAAACTTCGCGGCAAAGCAGAATATGCTATTTGCGGAACATCGCAAGGGAACCTACCGGTGGTTTCTGCAACGCAATGACTTTTCGGCATGGAAACAGCGGGACAGTGCTGTGTTGTTCTGTTCTGGAATTCCGGGGGCCGGCAAGACGGTCTTGTCATCAGTCGTGGCCCATGAGCTGGACAGTGAATGTGATGCTCGGGATGCAGCAGTCCTGATGCTCTACTGTAAATGGGACGACCCACTGTCGCAATCTATCGATACTCTTCTGGGAAGTCTGCTCAAGCAGGCCACACAGAAGCGTGACATCATTCTTCAAGAAATGGCCGAATTGTATTATAAACACAGCAGTGCTGGAACAAAGCCGACACGAGAGGAGACCTTTTCGATGCTCACAGCCGAGCTCCGTCGGTTTTCAAAGACCTCCATCATCGTAGATGGTCTGGATGAACTTCGTGAGAAGACTCGGGTAGACTTACTCGAACTCCTGACTTCGATAGATGCTACGGTGAACATGATGGTAACTTCACGAGGCCTAGACAACATCGTGCGGCATTTTCAACGGAAAAACCTTCGTCCATTTTGCAATGAATGTCTGGTCCCTTGTATTCAGCACCATTTCAACTGCCTAGAGTGCCTCTCATCAAGCTCAAGTTCAATTGATTTCAATCTTTGCCGGTCATGTTTCAGTACAGGCAAGCGATGCGAATACAGAGGGCATGTCCTTTGTAGAAAATTCTGCGGTTCCATTATCAAGATCACTGCTGTTGAAGAGGATCTGATGACCTACGTACAATGGCGCGTTGCATCGTCAGAATTCCTTCGCCAGTGCGTGGAGTTGAAGGAAGGACTGATGAAAAGCATCGTCGATACAGTAGTCAAAGAAAACGATGGGATTTTTCTTCTAGCCAAGTTCAACATGGATACCTTAACTTCCAAATTGCGCCCGGCGGAGGTTGTGAAGGCATTGAAGAGCCTGCCAAAAGAACTTGATGGAACTTACAGAGATGCCATGCTGAGAGTCGCAGATCTTCCAACTAGCCACAGAGAAGTGGTGATGGAATTACTTCGTTGGGTTGTCTTTGCAGAGCAGCCTCTGAAGGCGCGAGAGATCGAGCATGCTACTGCCGTGACGGAGGGAGACCGAGATATTGACCGCGATAATATCATCCGGGCCAATGTTCTTGCTTCCAAGTGTGCCGGCTTAGTTGTATATGATGAGTTTGATCGCCTGAGATTGGTTCATTTTTCGGCGGAGAACTTTTTCAACCGCAATTGTGATCGACGGTTCCCCGAAGGGCCGACAAAGTTGGCTTCTACCTGTCTGACCTACCTGCTATTCGAGACTTTCCAGTCTGACGCCTGCTCGGGCTCATCCGAATCTGCTGAATTCGATGCGCGCATTGAAAAGTACCCATTACTTAGCTATGCCGCTAAGTTCTGGGGCAAACACCTCGTCCAAGCGCCACATGAGGGCCTCTATGACCGTGCTCGAGAGCTTCTGGATAGCCCGAATCATTTAGCAGCTTTGACACAGATCTTATGGTATTTGGATGACGAGGATTCAGCCAGTTGGGCTGGCAAGCAGGGAAGCTCAGCGCTCCATCTGGCTGCCTACATTTGACTTAAAAAAATTGGTCACGGAGCTTCTTGCTAAGGGCGTTGATCCAAACATCAAAGACATGAACGGAACTGCACCACTCGCACTTGCGGTAAAGAAAAGCAACATCGATATAGCTGTAATGCTTACCAGGGCCGGCGCTTCTTTGAATGCTATGGACAATATTGGCGCCGCTCCCCTTCACGAGGCCGCGCGGCATGGCCAAGAGAAAATGGTCAAATTGCTCGTCGAACAAAACCGAATAGATATCAATATCATGCACACACGCTGGAGCCAGCGGACACCACTGATGATCGCTTCCTCGTATGGATATACAGGAATCATCAGGATCTTGCTGAATGCTCCTCAGCTTAACGTTAACCAAGAATGTTCCGATCCGCAAGGGGCCACTGCTCTGATACTCGTAGCCCTTTCATCTGAAGCAGACGCAGTCCAGCTTCTGCTCACTCATCCCGCCGTCAATGTCAACCATCAAGACCATAGCGGCACTACTGCACTCATTTATGCCGCACACCGTGGAGATCGCAAGGTTGCTGAGGCGTTGCTAGATAAAGGAGCAGACGCCGGGATTTGTCAAGATGGTTCGGGAGGGACAGCGCTCAATCGTGCAATTGATCAAAATGCAATCCCTCTCGTAGAGTTATTGCTCGAACAAGGAGCAAATGTCCATCACAAGGACGCTTTCGGTCGCTCACCGCTGCATAGCGCTGCTTGCAACGGTCGTACTGAGATCATGCGCATTCTTCTCGAGTTCGACAAGTCCCTGGACGTCAATATGCAAGACAAAAACGGCAAAACAACTCTCCATGATGCTGCCCTTTGTGGGAAAGTGGATACTGCGCGATTTCTCTTAGAACATGGAGCTGATCCCACTATAGAAGACAATCATGACCGGACACCCATGAGAATTGCGCGGGAGATGAACGAGATTGCCATTATGGAGCTCTTGCGGGCCACAAAAGAAGAAAGGGTTTGCAAACAGCCAGGAAAATTTGAGCCTTCGCCTCTTCCACGCACTAATACAACCCTCTCTATTGACACCCCACTCTCCCTCTGGGCGTTGGCTAAGTCAAATCTCATTGAAGAGGTTCGAGCTCGTCTGTCAAATGACCCCTCCGCTGAAATAAACCTCAGAGACCCGAACTTGGGCCAGACAGCCCTCCACCACGCCACTGCCAATGACAATGTCGAGATGGTGAAGATGCTGGTATTCCATGGCGCAGACCTGAACATAGGCAATACGTGGGAGCGCAGGCCATTGCATCTGACCGCGCTTCACAACTCCGCCGGCTCGGCTGAGATCCTTCTCAAAGCTGGGGCAGAGATCGACGCAAAGGATCATTGGGGTCACACACCCTTGATGATCTCCAGTATCAACCGCCTGTCGATAGCTACACTCCTCGTCTCAAATGGAGCTGATATATCAGACAGCCGACTTAACTTGAATAAACTACTTGGGCTCGCAGCCGAGAATGGGAACCGGGTTGCAGTTCAGCGATTGGTGGAAGCTGGTGCTGAGCTGTGGAGAAAGAACTCATTGGGGTACTCACCATTTATGGTGGCCAAGATGTACAACCACGATGAGATTGCAGATCTCATTCTCGAGCTAGGCCAGCCCTCAGGTTTCCCCACGGCTGCTGGGTTACCCATCACAGACAATGAGCACAATGGGGGAAATCACTCAACTGGAGAGCCTCTATTTGTACCAGAGGATGTATCGGATATTGTCCAAAACAGAAATTCTCCCTGTTTGAACCAGATTGATCATCAAGAGTCCGAGAGCATTGATTCGGGTCAAAAGAGAATATTTGAGCCAAGTTCGACGAAGGCATCGAAGGAGCCCGAAAATTTCGATAATGCATCGAGAAATAACCAGCACTGGATTAGACTTTTCTGGGAACAGACCCCTTGGATTATTCTGACCACGCTATTTTTCTTGATCGCTGCCACTGCAGTGATTTGGCCCCAAGTTCAGAAGATTTCTAATGATTAGGGATATCCTGGAACAGGATGGCCGAGCTAATTGAAGTTTGAGTACGTAGTTGAGTTCAATCAGTAGATATCACCACAGTCGGACATCTTGAAACTTCAGAATTTAGACTAAATCCCATCCCTCGATCCGTCGAGATATACTTTCATCTTTCGTCCGATTGTTGATGACAAAAGCGGGTCCGCTTACATAACCGCCATGCAGCACATGACGAAGGCGGCGGCGGGTCGGGTCACGCCGTCTCCAACTCCTCTCTCCGTCGCATCCCCATCAGACCGTTAGGACCGACTGTTCCTTTGAATTACTCGTTCTATTATCGCCTGAAGTCGGTGAATCACATACAATATGGGGGCCCTACTCTCCTTGCCTCTTTTGGCAATTCCCAGCGCCAGTACGGTACGTCACCCCCAGATTAGGCTACCAGATGAACGCTGAACTGACCGCGAATTAGCTGATCACTGTTGCGACTTCATGTTGCGGCGCTGCAACTTGCTCGGCAGTATGTAGTGCATGTGGGAAATTCCAGAACAGGTAAGGACTTGAAGCACTTTCTGGCAAATCTGAAAATTTACTGACCATTGGGGTTTCGCATCAGTATGGCTACGAGGATTGCCTACGCCTTCATCCTTCTTATCAACTCGATCATATCTTGGATAATGCTTACACCATTTGCGCTCAAAAAATTACAACACTTGACTTTGGATTATATGGAAATTCGGTGTGATGGCAAAGAATGCACTGGCTGGGTGGCTGTTCATCGCATCAACTTTGCCCTTGGTCTGTTTCACCTCATTCTTGCAGTCTGGCTGCTTGGAGTGAAGTCGTCCAAAGACGGCCGCGCGTCTCTCCAGAACGGGTTCTGGGGTCCAAAGATTATACTGTGGATCCTCTTCGTGGTCATGTCATTTTTCATTCCCGAGCCTTTCTTCTTCGTCTACGGTCATTACATTGCCTTCATCTGCGCGATGCTGTTCCTTTTGCTGGGGCTCATCCTCCTTGTTGACCTGGCACATTCATGGGCGGAGCTATGTCTGCAGAAGATCGACGACAATGACTCACGGATCTGGCGGGGTCTGCTCATCGGATCGACCGTGGGCATGTACCTTGCATCAATCGGGATGACGATCTTGATGTACATCTTCTTTGCTCGCAGTGGATGCACCATGAACCAGGCAGCCATCAGCGTAAGTTCAAGGTCTTACCTGTTTTCATGGCAACGTTGCGCTAACTTAGCAGATTAATCTCGTGGTATTCTTGATCATTTCCGTCGTCTCCGTTCAACCCGTGGTTCAGGAATCCAACCCCAGAGCAGGACTGGCCCAGGCCGCCATGGTTACTGTCTATTGCACGTACCTGACCTTGTCGGCTGTTTCGATGGAGCCGGATGACAATCAATGCAACCCCCTGATTCGGGCTCGAGGCACGAGAACCGCCACTATTGTCTTGGGTGCGATTGCCACCATGGCCACGATTGCGTATACTACTACCCGTGCGGCCACCCAAGGTATCGCTCTCGGATCCAAAGGCGGACACAACTACTCGCAACTGGGCATGGATGACAACGAGCATGGCCTTGTGACCCAGCAACCCACCAGTCGCCGTGAGATGCGTGCCGACGCTCTCCGTGCGGCCGTTGCCAGCGGTAGTTTGCCTGCCAGTGCACTGGACGAAGACAGCGATGACGAGTCCGACTGTGACGAGACCAAGGACGATGAGAGAGGCTCAACCCAGTACAACTACTCGCTTTTCCACATCATTTTCTTCCTAGCGACCACGTGGGTGGCCACGCTATTGACGCAAAATCTGGACCCTGATTCCATCGATGACTTTGCCCCCGTTGGTCGGACGTACTGGGCCAGTTGGGTGAAGATCATCAGCGCTTGGGTGTGCTACGCCATTTACCTGTGGACCTTGGTCGCCCCAGTTGTTCTTCCCGATCGCTTTGACACCTACTGATTGAAGTGTGTATCTGTATTGATTTTGCCTTGTTGCCTTTCATTTGTGTCGTTTTCAGCGGAGTGAGGCGTTCTTGAAGCGGTGCTTGACATTATCCTGATTGTCCACTATATATTGGTCCTTCTTTTACTACAGACAACATTATATATTAGGTATTCAATTGTATACGAGATTCCGCAAGGGTTTGCAATTCATGGTTCATTCGAGTAAAAAGTATGGCTCGCTGGGCCGTAGCGTCTGTAGTTGACGATCGATAAGGAAGGATAAGGATGCTTAGTGAGCGCGGCATCGCGTAAAGTAGCAACCCGCGCGTGGGTTCCGCGTCGGAAGTCATCTGTCAACTCCGCCATGGGATGAACATGGCGACCATTAAGGCCATCGAGGCTCGTTCGGTACGGATGTGATCTCTCTTGAAATTTAATAAAACTGCATCTAATCTTATGCCACGGGTCTCCAGGTCCATCAAATCCAATCTGGTCAAGTTATAGTCGATCTTTGTTCGGTTGCGAAAGAGCTGGTCGAGAATGGCATCGATGCCGGAGCCACGTCTATTGGTATCTCATCTTTTTGGCTGATCATGCGCTGGACTGAGCTAATGAAGGTTGTCTTTTTCCTCAGAGGTGCGATTCAAAAGTAACGGCTTGGACTTGATTGAGGTGCAGGATAACGGGAGTGGCATCTCGCCTCCAAACTACGAGAGTCTTGGTAAATCTCCGTCTTGTGAGAATGGATTTGGATATTCCGAAAGGTTCTAACTCAACTAGCGCTCAAGCATTACACCTCCAAAATTTCTTCGTACGATGACCTCTCGCGCCTACATACTTTTGGCTTCCGCGGCGAAGCGCTATCGTCCCTATGCGCCCTATCCGAATTCCACGTCGTGACCGCCCAAGCCGATCAGGCTCCAAAAGCCAACCGCCTTGATTTCGAACCGTCCGGAAAGTTGAAGAAGACGCAAGTCGTCGCGGGTCAGCGGGGTACAACGGCGTCAGTGGAAGGGATCTTCAAGCGACTACCCGTCCGGCGTCGCGAGTTGGAAAAGAATATCAAGCGGGAATATGGAAAAGTTCTGAATCTTCTGCATGCGTATGCATGTATCAGTGTGAACATCCGCTTCAGTGTCCGAAACACCGTAGGGAAATCCCGCAACGTGGTTGTCTTTTCTACGAATGGCAATCAAACCACGAAGGAAAACATCGCCAATGTTTACGGCGCGAAGACACTCCTGGCTCTGATTCCGCTCGATTTGGAATTGGAGTTTGAGCCGTCTACAGCGGCTAGGCGGGTCGCTCAACGGGGCGGGAAAGAAGTGAACAAGATCCAGGTTCGAGGACATGTTTCTCGACCGGTATTCGGGGAGGGCAGGCAAACGCCTGATCGCCAGATGTTTTTTGTGAATTCTCGTCCCTGCGGACTGCCGCAAATTGCGAAGGCATTTAACGAGGTGTACAAGTCGTTCAATGTTTCGCAGTCGCCGTTCGTATTCGCCGATTTTCATATGGACACCCATGCCTACGATGTCAATGTGTCTCCTGATAAGCGAACGATTCTATTGCACGATGCGGGAGCTATGATTGACTCCTTGAAAGGATCTCTAACGGAATTGTTCGAGTCTGCTGATCAAACCGTTCCTCAGTCCCAAGTTCTTGGATCCAAGCAGGCCACTTCCAAGCAGAACATCAAAGGATTGCATGATGCCATTGCTCGCAGACCTGCAGCTACAGATCCGAGCGAGGGGCCGAGTAATGAACCGAATGATGAGGAGGAAGGTGACGAAGAGGAGCAGGAAGAAACGACTACAGAACAGGATCAACCCAGTTCACAAAGTAGGCTGAAAAGCTTTCTCAGTGGCATCAGCTCTCGCCGAGAACAATCCGAAACCCTATCTTCGCCTGCCAGAGCTGGCACACCAACAGTACAGAACACAATCTCCTCGCCAATGACACCTCAAACCAAATCTGGCACAGCGGGCCAAGATGACGGCCCGCCGGCTTCAGATGGTAGTGACATGGGCAATGAATCTCCCGGGGATCTAAAGGAGAAAGTACCCGGCCCACAAGATGCCCAGTCAGATGCGGAAATGGATGAGCCTGAGCATCAGGTCCTACAGAGCAGTGCTCCAGATGAAAACACTACCTCCAGGAATGATAATGACTTCATGGAAACACCAAATGCAATCCAGAATGCTTTCGACAGAATGCGTCCCAGACGGGTACCAGCGGAGATGGCTACAATAACTATCGGTGACAAGACAGTCACCTCTATGGTAGGCAGCGGTGCTCCCAGAAAGAGAGACGCAGGATCGATCAGCGCAGATAGTCATTCTTCGGTTCGGAAAAGACGAATCCATACCCCTTCTCGCTCGGGCATATTCGGTAAGCATATGCGGGACTTTGCTGCACCTGGGTCGCATTTAGAGCAAACGGCAAACAGCGAAGACGAGGACGTGGATGAAGAGGCCGACATGGACGAATCATATGACGATGAAATAGAAGATAATGAAGAAGAAAACGCCGAACTGATTGATGATGGAGAGTCCGAAGATGGGAATCAATCTTATGCTCCGTCAGATCACGGTAATGATGACTTGGCCGATGAAGACGCCAGTCAAGATCTCATCCACCAAGAAGATCATACCGAGGTTGAAGGTACAACGTCACAACTGCCACCGGCTTCAGTCGACGGAAGAATGGATTATGACGATGACGAGAAAAAGAAGCATGAAGAAGCCGAGGTTCAGCGACTTATCCAGGAGGCAGAGAACAAAGCTGTTCTGCCACAGGAAAACAGTTTGAGTCGAGCGAATAAGCTGAATAAAGGGGCCGCCCACCGCGATGCTACGGTTCAATTAGCTTGCACCATCGATGGATCACTTTCCAGAATTCAGCTACAATCAGAGCAATTCCAGGAACATACTCAGTCAAACACGAATGACTCTGGTCATCAGGATGACAACGAGGCGGTAGTGTCGCAGGAGACAGCCGAAGAAAAGTTATCTTTAACCGTGACCAAGGAAGACTTTGATAAGATGCGCATCATCGGGCAGTTCAACCTTGGGTTCATCATAGCTACACGACCCTCAGGCAACTATGGAGACCCAAATTCATCCTGCTGCAAGGATGAACTCTTCATCATCGACCAACATGCCTCGGATGAGAAGTTCAACTTCGAGCGGCTCCAAGCTGAGACCATCGTTCAGAACCAACGTCTAGTCCAACCGAAGCGGTTGGATCTTACAGCAGTGGAGGAAGAGATAGTCATTGAGAACCAATCCGCACTGGAGAAGAACGGGTTCGTGGTGGAAGTGGACGACAGTGGAGATGAGCCTATTGGCCGCCGCTGCAAGCTGGTCTCGCTACCTCTCAGCAAAGAGGTGGTCTTTGGCTTGCAGGATCTGGAAGAGCTGATTGCTTTGCTGTCCGAGATGCCAGCAGTCAGTGCGACGGGTTCCGCGTCGCACATGTATATACCACGCCCGGGCAAGGTGCGAAAGATGTTTGCCATGCGCGCATGTCGGTCAAGCATCATGATCGGCAAGAACCTAACACAGAAGCAAATGGTCAAGGTGGTGAGAAACATGGGAACCATCGATAAGCCATGGAATTGTCCGCATGGTCGACCAACCATGAGGCATCTGATGAGTCTAGGACAATGGAATGAATGGGACGAGTTTGGAGAAGATGACGACGGGCTGGATCCTGACGACAAACAATCTTCCTCGGACTCATTGAGCGCGTGGAGGGAGTTCTTCGATGAGATGGGAGGCTCCGGTGAAGAAGAAGACGAAGATATGAACGAGGGCGATAATGCCGATGATGGTGAATCAGAGGGGTAATCGCCCCAAGGTTCCTAGGCTTGGACATAGACATCTACTCAAGCGATCTAGCAATGCTTGGGATACATAAGATGATTTCGGCTCCTGTTTACCTTGTTTCCGCTTCCATGATCCTAGCTCTGATCTTTCCGCTGATCTTAACATACGGCGAAATTTGCTTTTTTGGTTCGGTAAGGCCGTTTCTATCCAATCTGCCTAGGTCACGTGTCTTTAAAAAGGGGTTGGTAAGAGTGGGGTTCGAACCCACGCGACAATTGTCAGCAGTTCTTGCTAGTTTGGGGTCAATAATTTGTGCATGTCCCGTATCCGATTTATGGGGTACCGACAGACTGTCGCCTTAACCACTCGGCCATCTTACCCCGCGAACCATAATCAGTTGTGAAGGTGCTAGGCCTTTATAAGGGGACATATCTACACCAGGTGAATCCGCCGTCATCACTTGGCCATCTTGCCGCTTTCTGTTCGCTGATCTTAACACACTCATTGGAAATGCAAGGAATGAAAGGTTCGGTTGCGCCTCCGAAGCTCCTTACTGCATTTCCCAAGTGTGCAACCCTGTCCCATTGGATCATTGGCCTTCTATCTGCCTTATCAATGCAAAGAGCACAAATGCCCCCCCACAAAGCGTATCCCCGCTGTCGATGTTCGGGATCGCAAGCCGAAGTGTGAGCTCGGCTGCCGGGGAGCGTCGTTAATGCGCCCTATGATGGCATATCTGCGACCCAGGCTCTTCGAAGCTTTCGGCTCCAATTCGTCTCGCTGTTGGATACACCGATATAGTCCAACATTCCTTGTGGGGATACGCGCGGGGTGAGGTCCAGAAGACGATGCTCGGAATCACATCCCGAGCATGTTGACGCAGCGTGGCACAGTCCTTCAGATACAAAAAGGGGAGATGGTAGCCTAAAACTACAGTTTGACTAACTTTTTTATCTATCTTCTCATCATGCGATCACTCCTGACTTCGAATGCGGTGCGCACCGCCGGCATCCGCCGGCTGCCACGGTCGATGTATCGACAAATGAGCCTGTGGAATCCACCCAAATTCGAGAATGAGAAAATGGTAGGCAATTCGTGAACTTCAGCCGATGATGCAAAAACTAAAGAGCCATTAGTTGGACTACGGAAAAGATTCCTCAGAGAGGGCCGAGTTGACTCGGACATTGGATAAATTGAAGCGAGACATGCCGTTCAAGATACCAATCACCGTGAATGGGTCTACAGTAAGAACCCCGGACAAGCCCAACATAATCCAGCGGCTGACCATTGGTCCAGGTGGAAACACTTCAGTCTAGGCAGCAAGAGAATCCCTCGAAACACCGAGAGATCGTGGCGGAATACGCAACCGCAACTCCCACGCAGACAAATGCGGCGGTGGACGCTGCCCTCAAGGCTAAACCGGCCTGGGAGGCCATGCCTTTTGAGGATCGAGCTGCCATTTTCCTGCGTGCTTCGGAACTCATCGCCGGCAAATACCGCTCGGAATTGGTAGCAGCTACTATGCTGGGCCAGGGCAAGAATATCTGGCAGGCAGAGATTGATGCGCCTGCCGAGACGGTCGACTTCTTCCGCAGCTACATACAGGAGTGCTGGTCACTCTTCTCGCAGCAGCCCAGATTTCAGACGGCTGGCTCTTGGAATAAGTTGGAATATCGCCCTCTAGAAGGCTTTGTCTACGCCATTGCACCGTTCAACTTCACGGCGCTCGGCGCGACTTTGATCAGCCCTGCCGCGCTGCTAGGCAACGTGGTGATCTGGAAGCCTTCTGATTCGGCCCTGCATGCTAGCTGGCTGTTGCATCAGATTCTCCTGGAAGCTGGACTTCCTAAGGACGTGATCCAATTTCTTCCCGGTGATGCCGAAGAAGTCACCAACACCATCCTACAACGGCCCGAATTCGGCGCCCTCACCTTCATCGGCTCCACCCAAGTATTCAAAAGCCTGCAAAAGAAAATCGGAAACGGCATCGGCGACGGAATCTACAACTCCTACCCCCGAGTCGTCGGCGAAACCGGCGGCAAGAACTGGGGCCTAATTCACCCATCCGCCGATGTCAGGAACGCAGCCCTGAACACCATCCGCGCCGCCTTCGAATATCAGGGCCAAAAGTGCTCGGCCAACTCGCGCATCTACGTCGCCGAGTCAGTCTGGCCTGAATTCCAGCGCCACCTGCAAGAGGAACTCAGCCATCTCAGCGTCGGCCCTGTCGACGAATACCGCCACTTCATCAACCCGGTGATTCACGAACGCGCCTTTGACCGTCTCGCGCAAGTCCTCGACGCCGCGAAACAAGACCCCGAGCTGGAACTCATCGCCGGCGGCCACGCCTCTAAGGAAGAAGGCTACTTCGTACACCCAACTGTCTACCGGACCACTAACCCCCGACACGAGGTCATGTCGCGCGAGCTCTTCGGCCCCATTCTTGGCGTCTATGTCTACCCCGACGCGGAGTGGGAATCGACCTTGGATCTCGTCAACACAACCTCCCGCTACGCCTTGACGGGAAGCATCTTCGCTAAAGACGCCGTCGCGTCACGCCACGCCCAGACGGCGCTCAAACACGCTGCGGGTATGCTGTACCTGAACAGCAAGTGTACAGGGGCCGTGGTCGCGCAGCAGCCGTTCGGCGGGAGTCGGGACTCCGGAACGAACGATAAGACGGGGACGATGGCGCATTTGCAACGGTTTGTGAGTGTTCGGACGATCAAGGAGGATTTCGGGACGCTGGAGAAGGTTCAGTATCCGTCGAATGAGGAGTAGTTTGATACATAATTGAATGATATTGAGTGGAATCAATTATATATCCCTGGGCATTCAAAATACCTCTTGTTGTGCTCATACTATACATATGGCCTGACTCCCCCAAGCAGGGTGTGAGTATACCATTTTACGAGTCACTATCCAATATACCATATTTAAAACCCACCCATGATACAAGGTCAAATTCGACACTACACCAGCCCAACTGCATTTGGAACCAAAATTCATAGTCATAAATTTCATAGCCATCATATAACCCAAAATTAAGTCTGAACTACACTTCAAGAATTGAACCAAGCGTCTCGCCCACCAGTGGACAATAGACAACCCCCTCCCCTTTCCCCAAACCTCCAATCCTAACCCCCAAACCCAGTCCTAATACCCTACACACCATCCAACCCCTCCTCATCCCGCTGATCCTGATGCTGCTGCTCAGCCCTCAAAACCTCCACCTCGATAGCATGCCTGCGGGCCTGTTCCGATTCGCTCGAATTATCCTTGAACACGTGGTCCATTTGCTCTAGCGTGCGGCCCTTGGTCTCGGGCACGAAGACGAACGTCCAGATTAGCGCAAGCAGACAGAAGACAGCGAAGAAGGTGTATGCGCCGAAGCCGGTGTTTTGGACTAGGGGTGGGGTGATCAGGCCCTGTTTCTTTGGTGTTAGAGTTTTGAACCCAGATTTTGGTTCGGGAGAGGAAGAGGAAGGCGGGAGATGTGACGAGATATGATGGGATGACTTACGATGATGAAGTTGTTGAGCCAATTGGAGCATGTTGAGAGGGCAACACCCTTGGCGCGAAGAGAGGATGGGAAGATTTCTGGTCTTGCGTTAGATAGGAGATCAATCAAATTTGCGAGAAAAAGAAAAACAAACCAGATGGCATGGCCCATCCGACTGGACCCCAACTAGCACCAAACGAAATCATATAGAAAAGCAAAAGGGCGACGCTGGCCCATCCTTGAGGACGATGGGCGGGCCAATTATCCGAGAACAGGCCCACCAAGACGGCGATGATAACGTGCGATATGGTCATGAATAATGCGCCCCAGAGCAGGAGACTGCGTCGGCCGAAGCGGTCCATTGTCCAGACGGTGGAGGAGACCCCAACTAATTGTGTCACGTTGAGAATACCGGACATTAGCAGCTGCATGTCGTAGTCTAGACCCATGGTTTCGAACAGCGTGGGAGAGTAGTAGATGAGAGCGTTGATTCCGACGAACTATGGTACTGGTTAGTTATGCGTACTGTTTTGAGCGAAAGGGGGAATTAATAGAAAGACATACTTGTTGGAAGAACATCAGTCCCACCCCGACATGGGTTCTGCGCCAACAGCCTTTCTTGAAGCAGTCTGCCCACGAGGCCATCTCCAGTAGGAAGGACTTGCGCAGTCCGCCACCCTGGAGGTCGGGGTGCTTTTCAGCATTCATTTCCTGGTGGAATCGAACTTCGGCCTGAATGTCGAGGTATTCTTGCCGCACGCGCTTGTCCGAAGTCGGCAGACGACGAAGCCGAGCAAGACTTTCGAGTGCCTCGTCGTTGCGGCCTTTTGAAGCCAGCCATCTGGGCGAGAACGGCAGCACAATAACGCCTGCGATCAGAACGAAGCCCGGAATCATCTGGAGCAGGAACGGAAGGCGCCAGGACCATTCTCCGGCCATATACCGAGTGCCATAAGTGATCCAGTAGGCGATGACAATGCCTAGCACGATGCAAAACTCCTCTAGGACAAGCAGAGTACCACGACACTCGGGAGGACCTAAATAAACACCGTGTATTAGCCATAACCGTTCATCGGGTCGCCTTCACACGCGATGTACATACTGATTTCGGAGATATACAAAGGCGCAACCATCGAAAGCATGCCGATACCCAACCCGCCAATGAACCGAGCAACAGTCAACATGGCATAATCCATCGCAGCCGTTTGAAGGATCGAGCCAATTGTAAAGACAATGACGGCGACGACAATCGAGTAGCGACGCGAGATCATATCCGCAATCCAGCCCTGGTTCAGAGCGCCAATCAACGCACCCAATTCGATCATGGCCGTCATCAACCCCTTCCAGAATCCCGATGAGTCGGGGCCCACTTCGGGAAACCGTTCGAGGAATTGGTCCATGACTAGAATAACTGATACCACGCCCTGGTCGTAGCCAAAGACTAGACCTCCGAGTGTGGAGCATGCTGCGCACATGAACACGAAGGGGTTGGCCACTAGGCCTGCCAGGCCGGCTGGTCCATAGGGCTCCCTTTCGTTTAAGATGTTCTCGGCATGGTGGGAGAAGCCTTCGATGGATGAGCGGCCATCGTCAACATCCTTGACTTGGGGTGGCTTGTCCGCCATCTCTTGCTGGGGGAGGGAAGTGAAAGGAAGCTAAAGGGAAAGAAAGATTAGAGAAGAGAAGGAGCCCAGAAAGACCGAGGGAGCAGGCACCTGATGACTGTCACATCAGAATGTAGCGAGGAGGATTGCGGGACAACTTATATAGATTGGATGCTAAGGCCCATGGTTCTACAAGACACACCTTAGGCCCGATTCACTCAACCGCCGTGAAACCCAAAGGCCGAGCCGCAGCTCTGATTCGCAGACAGGACCACGGCTGTCGGCTGCATCCAGCGCCCATGAAGCCAAGGCAAGCTACCTCCAGAGTACAAAGAACGGCGATCCCCCGGCGTCTGTCGAATAGCGCGCCGGTCTGGGCGAGGTGGGCCCGGAGAAAGTGCGAGCTAAACTGGATGCAGGAAGTTTGAGGGGAAAGCTATCCGGGGGAGAATCCACTGGACGGGATTTCAGAGACGAAATCCTGGCCGGGTTGATCCAGGGAAATCCATGGAAGCTTGGTGTCATCCTTGAGGGTCTGCCTCTACACGTGAGCCGTATCACGGGATCTCCTCTCCCCCTTCTCCCTGACCTGGAGATGCACATGGGGAAGGACCAACGTCACGATCTCGACTGGCAGGGGCTAGTCGGCATGAACATGGGGCCTGCTGTGAAACCCAGATCGATACGAACGGCTCCAGGATACCAGCACCATTGGCTCCGCGCGCCGTGGGATGGCATCGTTGGTGTCAAGAGCCAAGGTCAGATCGTCCATCAAGGCTTTATCCCTCTGTACTCGTGGCAGACCCACGCGTCTGCGGGACAGAGGCCAATCAGCCCTTGCATTTTACTACAAAGTTGGCGGGTGATCGAGGGCGCATTAGCAGCGTTGGAGTCTCGCACGGCAACGGAGGACAGAAGCAGTCATGTCGAAAGCCGATCGGACAGGATCAGGGGACGAGCCGAGAATTCCCGCCGTGCATCGCTTTCTGCCCAAGACATCCAGAGGATTGGATGCATCACGAGTTTGGCCGGACAGGTCGGTGCCTGAGGATGGCTGAGAAGCGGACGGTCAGGCACCCCTCCAACAAATAAGCCCGGCCTCATCCCACTTGCTCTCCGTCAACTCTCTCCCTCTTTCTCTACAATCAGTGACTCACTCTACTCCGTACATCCATATTCCATAATCTATCCTCTGTTGACCCCACGGGGAAAGCGACTGCCTCCAATTTTAACTTCATCCTTGGTCCCTGGAAAATACTGGGGCTGGCTCCAATTTTCCGAACGAGTAGCAACGCCTTTTCTCCACCGTCGCTCTCAAACGCCGACCGTCAGTATCGGTCAACCCCCGATTCTTGGCTCTTTCTGCCGTCTCTGCATCACAGAATCCCCTCTTTTTCTCACGGTGCCATCTCTCCTCGAAATCTCACCATCGGTCCGTAAATTCCTTGCTTTTTTGCGCTGTAACGAACCGATCCTGAGGTTCTTACGTCACTAACAAACTGCACTAGAGACGGGGCGGTCCTCGCAGAACACAAAAGAAAAAAAGGCACAGAAAAACAAAGTTCATCCAGGACGGATTCCAATTTCCGACCCTTTCAACGTCATCCCGCGCTTCTACCCTTGCCCGCTCTCTCCTCTTCCGACTCTAACCCCCGCCGCACCGCATCGGACCGAGACACATAATCTCCAGCCAGTATGGCATCGTTCGTGGAGGAGCTCTGGTCGAGCGTCTTTACCCCGGGTCCCACCCCAACCCTGCTGGTCGCGACCAACGCCACCTTCGCCGCCCTGCAACTCGTCCTGTTTTCCCTTCTCATCGCCACCTACAGCATCCATTTCGTCGTTCTGTCCGTCCTCTCGGGAGCTCTCTGGTACTCGATCAACTGGTTTGCTCGGGAAGTGAGACAAGTGCAGGCCGCGGAGGCCGAGAAGGAAAAGCACGAGAAGAAGGACAACTCCACGCGGGAGATTTCGGAGGAAACGAAGGACACCAAGCACGACGCCAATCGAAGAAAGACGCCGGGGGCTCTGGATAGCGACAGCGACACGGAGACGGAAAGTATCTCGGAGCACAATAGGAGGAACTCAGATGCGTCTGAGCCCGACCTTCGGTCCACTCCTGTGCCGACTCTCCAGCCGCCAGAGGCCTCAGGGGAGATTCGGAAACGCTCCAGTGTGGGAGGGGACAGCTCGGGCTATGTGAGCACCGATAGTGAGTGGGAGAAGGTGGAGGATAGTAACGGGGCCTAGCATGTGGGCGTTTGTTGTAGAGTCCTTTTGCGAAGTCTACGAGTACTGCTCTATGGTACTGTGTGTTGGCTATGTCTTTTTCACGCCAGAACGAGGCAACTTGCCTGCATTATATCGACGCTCGTCGATTATATACGTTTGCTGCTTGGGTTTTGCTCCTATGAAGAGATACCCCTAGATGCCATTTAGCTTGTTTATCATATTAGATGACAGGCAATTGACTACGAGAGTCTGTAACCGCATGCAGGCCAACAATGAGAATGAAATAACTGGAATCATATAGAGCTTTTCCTTCTAATGTCGACACCTGAATATTCAGCAACGCATGCAAACCCCTCAAAAACATTCCCAATCTGGAATAACGCATACAGCTTATCGATAAGATCACATGCTGATAGTGCTGAGTCATTCCTCCTCTGTTGATGCGCGATAACGAGAAAAGCAACCCGAACTCTCTCCGGTAATTGTTGATAGGAAACAAACCTCTCGTTGCGCCCTCCGAAGAAATCCTCCCGGCAATGTCTCCTTCATAAAGCCCGGCGAGAGACAGCACCATGGCCGCAACCGCACCACCCATCCTCTCCGGCCGAAGACGCGTCTTCGCGTCCGTCTTCCCGCCCACCTCACTCGACGACTTCGGAACCACTCCTGTAACGACCGAGCCAGCGCACGACCAGCCAGAGTGGGATGCCTCGTGGCGCGCAGCAACCGCCTTCCTGAGTATTCCAGATAACGGATTTTTTCTGGCGAGTCAGATCAGTGAGGATGAGTTCCTCCGACTCGCGAATCGACACCAGACACCGTCGAAGGAGGTATCGGGTGCGCTGGAGTACTTGAGCGCGCAGACACAGGATGATCTCGCAGAGACAGGACGACGGAGTATAATTGACTGGTATGGGAATGAGATCCGGAGGCATTTTCTGAAGAATTTCAGGGAGGGGTTGTCCACGGTGAGTGTGCCCTATTCTTCTGCGTGTCTTGGCTATGGTCTTGTTCTGATTGAGATGGGTCTAGTTATTGAATGATCCGGATAAAGATGAATTGCTGCAGAAAATCGTACGTTGTTTGCAGCTGGCTCGACGGATCTACTTCGCTCCTCTGATGGAGTATATCTTGCCGTTGCTGGCTCGGTCGGAACAAGAGAGGGTATTTATTAAACTGCGGCGCGAGTTTCATATGATGATCTCGTATGGGCTGCCATGGCCGACAGTTTCGGGGTTACTCGCGCGCGAGATCACAAAGGAGACGGTCGTTGTGCTGGGCCTAGATACATTGAAGGACGGGGATCTCAGCGACACGGAAAGCGTGGATAATATGGAAATAGACCGTCAGCACTCTGTTTCCTATCGGATCTGGAAGGACGAGCCCTCTGCGGAGATCCGAGTGCATATGATGACCGAAAACGAGGATGAGCAGGTCACGGGGGGGCGCGAACGGCTGTTGTCGTTATTCACGGCACTCCAGCTGGTGGGGTTTGGCGGAGATAAAGCCCAGAAGGTATTTGCGGATGTGATGAATGTCATGGTGACGGAGTTTGTGCGCGCCGCGTATACTGGTCAATGGGAGGGACCGTCCTTGGTGGCGGAGCATCTACGACATTGGATAGAGAATGTGTTCGCTCGGCTGGTCGTGCAGGTTCTGGCCATCATCAACGTGCCGGAGTCTGGTGCTAAGGAGGAGGATTATTTGGATGTGAATCTCAGTGACGTGGACAAGTGGCAGGATATCGGAATTGCTCGGCTGGGGGCGCTGCGGACGAGCGAGCTCTTCGAGGTGATCGTGGAGTGGCCTAAAAGCAGCGGAGCCATTGAAGACCTACGATACTTCACGACGTATACCGCGGCGCGACTCCATCTGACACATTCTTTTGCCGCGGTACTCAACCGGCGGCTGCTGCACCCTGGCGCCTCTACCGTTGAGATCCTACAGCTATACATTTCGATCATCCGGGCATTCAATCTTCTCGACCCTAAGGGGGTGCTGCTGGATCGGGTCGCTCGACCCATCCGTAGATACCTCCGCGATCGCGATGATACGGTCAAGGCCATTGTCGGCGGACTTTTGGCTGACCCGGCCGACGCGGATGGGCACGCAACCTCGGGCGGAGAAACGCTGGTGGAACTGTCTGCCGAGCTGACCAAGGCGCATCAGAACTCGCTGAGAAGCGAAACGGGTGAGCTCGACTGGGATGATATGAACTGGATCCCCGACCCGGTGGATGCGGCGCCCGACTACCGGAAATCGAAGAGCTCCGACGTCATCGGAAGCTTGATCAGCCTGTTCGAGTCGAAGGAGACCTTCGTGAAGGAGATGCAGAACATGCTGGCGGACCGGCTGCTTGAGAAGCGCACGGAATTCGACCAGGAGATGTCGGTCCTGGAGCTTCTCAAGGTCCGCTTTGGCGACAACGCCCTGCAGGCCTGCGAGGTCATGCTGCGCGACATCTTCGATTCCCGCCGAGTCGACGCCGTCGTCCGCAACGACCAGGGTCTCGCCAGACGGTCTGCCTCCAAGTTCCCCAACACCCCCGATCAGAAGGCAGACCACGATGGCGACCAGCCCGACCTCCATGCCAAGATCCTCTCGCACTTCTTCTGGCCCGACATCCAAGAACAACAGTTCAAGGTGCCCGAGGACATCTCGCAGCTCCAACAGCGCTACTCGGCTGGCTTCGCGTCGCTCAAGCAGTCCCGCAAACTCACCTGGCTGAACGGACTCGGCCAAGTCACGGTGGAACTAGACCTCGAAGACCGGGTCTTCGTCGACGAAGTCACCACCTGGCAAGCCACCGTCATCTATGCCTTTAATTCTTCCTCCTCTACCTCCTCTGAACCCATCACCCACACCATCTCCCACCTCTCCCAAACCCTCGACATGTCCACCGCCCTAGTCCGCAGCGCCTGTCTCTTCTGGGTCAGCAAACGCATCCTCACCGAAGTCCACCGCGACACCTTCCGCGTCCTCGAAGTCCTCCCCACCGAAACCGACGAACCCACCACCGCCGGCGGAATCGACCCATCCTCCCCCTCCGCCCTAGACGCCACCTCATCCACCGAAACCCAGGACGCCGCCGCGGCCGCAACCGCCGCCGCTGCAGCGGCAGCCAAAATATCAGCCGAGGCAGCCGCTATGGAGAAGATGAATCTGTACTGGCAGTTCATTGTCGGGATGCTCACGAACCAGGGCGCCATGCCGCTACAGCAGATCGTGATGATGTTGAAGATTGCGGTCCCGGGAGGGTTCCCGTTTAGTAATGAAGAATTGCGCGAATTTTTGGCGGGCATGGTGGCTAGGGGAAAGTTGGAGATTGCGTCTGGGGGGAGTTATCGGATTGTTTAATGGATTTCTTTTTTTATCTGGGTATGTTGATTACCTGGGTATATACCCTCCTGCAGGAGGGGCGGAGGAAGGGAGAGAGTCTGGATTGTATGAATTACGAATTTACACGATTAATCAATTAATCAATCACATATCTATAAGTATCAGTATCATCTTCTTCTTACCATCCTCAAACCAACACAGGAAGACAAAAAAAGGTAAACAAAAACAAACCGACTAAGTCTTCAATAAATAAAACATGGTATTGACATTCAATCATCTCAACTTCATAACTTAAAATACAACAGAAGGGGGGGGAATCTACTCCGCATCCAACGGCGCCACCGGCGGCTGATCATCAACCTGAATCCCCCCCCTCTTCTTCTCATTGCTATCCCAGAATGGCAACTTCCAACCACCCTCGTGCTCCGGCGTCGCCAACCACAGACGCATCAAATGTCTGCGGGGCGCGGGCGGGGCATGGTCCGTGTACGCGGTACGAGCGTGCAAGACGTGCGAGTTCGAGACGAATTGAATGTCCCCGACTTCGAGGATCATGTGTAGAGAGAGGCGGTTGCAGGTGGCTTCCAGGACTTCGAGGGCCTCGAGCTGAGCGGGCGAGAGAGGCGGGATGATTCCAGCGTCGGAGAACCGCGTGAGGGAGCGGACGTAGTAGGGGTCCCATCTATTGTTTTTCATCTGTCAGTCATCTGATCGGGGAGTTCGTGTGGATGGGTTGTTCTTCGAATGAAAAAAAGAAGGTTGGGTAAGGAAAAATAAAGAATAAACATACTTCGTATACACGCGCGGATTCTCCCCCCGTTCCAGATACACGACACTCGTCTTGATGTAATCCTCCTGGCCCTTGCTCGTCTCGCCCTTGCGGTCGAAGTACCAGATAGGCTCGGTGAGGGTCTTGAGCACGTCGGGACGCTCCTTGGCGAGGACGTTGTAGACGTTATGGGAGGAGACGATGTCGGATTCGCCACCTTCGAGGGCGCGTGCGATGCAGAGGAGACCGACGATGTCGGAGTCATCGGCGTGGAAGTATTGTCTTTAGGGTGGATTGGTTAGCGTATCGTTGACATTTGATAAAAGTATGATGCCTGCGGCCGCAAGGGAAATGATGAGGGGGAGGGCATACCGAGCATTCGTCCGATAGATTCGCACCGAATCAATCTTGGTCGAGTCCTCGCCGAGGTCCTTCACATGTCCCAGCACATGGCCACGGCTGTTCTGGCTGACAAAGTAGCCTAGATACGTGCCCAGGCCCATGTACGCGACGGCGGATTTGTGGTTGCCCCATTTTTCGACGGGGAAGCCCTTGAAGAGGATGAAGCCCTTGCCGTCGATGAGGTCCCGACGCAGAATCTCGAGACGATCGGAGAGCTTGGGAAGGGTGAAGTTTGACTGTGGTGTATTAGCTTCACTCCGTATCCTTTTCCTGGGTAAGAAAAGCATGATAGTACACACCTTGCTAATCCCTGTCAACGGGATCTTGTTCTGAAGAAATGCATCCGCGGCGCCGCTCAGCTCGGCGATCTCCTCGTCCGAGAAGCGATGCGTCCACTTCTCCGGGTGCTCACGGTAGTCCTCGGCCTTCCAGAGGGTTGGACCCGAGATCTCCTTGGGGAATTTGTCGAAGGGGTGGATGTGGTCGGCGAGAGGGGGATGTTGGCCGGTGGTTTTCAGGCCGTCGGGGAAGATGTCCACAGGGACGGGGGGTTGGGTGAGAGCGGCCATGACCGATGAATATGAGCAATTAAGTGTGGAGAGTGAATATGAGGAATTAGAACAGTTATAGTTGCTGTAAGCAAGAAACTCGGTTGGTCAAGCACAATTGGTCTGATCAGCGAAGTGAGGGGTTGACCGGAATTATATAGTTATCCTCGGCCTGCCCCTCTAACCGACCCCTCGAGATGTACACAGCCAAGGGATCGCCAGGACTCGGAAGATGCAACGATGTGTCGAATAGTGGACCGCATGGCGTGCCAGGAGCAGGGCGACTCTCACTGGACATGGTTGCCGACGACGCGGTGGAAGGTGAAGAACGCAAGTCGTGATTGGGGAGCGGATGGCGCAATCGTCCAGGGCGGATGTTGTGATTGCAGTCGATCATGGCGATTGTCACCCGGCACGGTCTATCCTGGTAGAATCAGCTTGGTAGAGCACAGTGTGAGACCGCATCGACGGCATTGTGCTATGGTATGGATCCTCACGTGGAGTTGTCTGGAAATTGGAAATTGGCCTGAGGCCGGGCGTGGTACAGACATAGTACTACGTAGTACGCCGAGGGACGTTAGGTCCGAAACGGTAATCGGAACGACCTGATTAGATGTTCTCGGGCGAGAGGTTCGTCGGATGAAAGGTTTGTCGGACTATCAGATGCTGGATGGAAAGATGGAAGGAGGAGTTGTTTGGATTGTCCAACTGGGAATGCCCTGGAGGGTTCCTCAGCCCTATACCCTTCTATCACATGACGAAATCCTGGTTGCACCGATTGCCGTGTGCAAAGCTTCTTTTTTCCTCTTTCTTTGCTTTGAGTTTTATGCTGTGCTAGCATCAGTTGCGGTCTTGTGAATGTATACAGCAAGTGATTCAACCAGCACCAATTGATCGACAGTCTTTCTTCCCAATGCAGGCGATCGACTCCATTGTACCATATTCCTTACTTCACATACCACGGATCATATACTTTCTCAAGCTTGCGGATATTCGGACAAAAATAACTTCGATATGAATTAATTATTATACCCAGTGTCAATATGCAAAATAAATCAATTAAGTAGTTTATTTAATTGGTTAAACGAGGCGATAAAAAACCCACTCAGTCAGCCCCGCTGCGAGTTAACTATAGTTCATAAGAGAATAAACTGCAGAATTTTATCATTCTTATATTTGTTTCAGAAGCAATAAAGCCTAAGTATGAGCCAGGTGTTGTTAATGCACGCGTAGTTTCCTCCGTACGAGATGAATCCTAACACCACCTACCTAGTGTCACCGGCGCTGAGGCGCAATGCACCACGACTAGGAGGGGTAATTGGTAGGTGAGCTCGATCTAACAGTGTATGGCACTATAATGGCGGATTGGATGGTGGAATCACTACGGGATTCTATGTTGGTCTTTTGGGCTCATGTGGGAGAGTAGACTATCCCACTACCCCCCTTACACCTAGTCAATAATTCGGTTTCCGCATCTTGTTGGCTCCGCCGGTGACTGCTCGCGGGTTGGCAGGACTCGAGAGGGACCAAGATGAACCAGTACTTCATCATCCTCTTCGATAGTGGTTTCAACCGACCCAGCCCTGTTGTCGTCTATATAAATATCGTAGGGGTCGAAGTCATCCGGCTCAGGAGCAGCGCTGATGCGGCGATCTGATTGAGATACCACTGCATCTCGAGTATATCTCATGAGGGCATGGACATTTTGTCGGGGCCTGCGGTGGTAAATTCGATGACATGTCCCAATTGAATAAATTCTTTTGATGACACAGTCGAAGAGCAAAGCGCGCCTTGCCCCAAAGGCCGTGCGAATTTCGACACATGCAGATGAGATTCGCGGTTGTTTCAGCACCATTGGCCGCGTCAGCCCATTAATTTTGACCTTGTCTTCGCGCCAAAATATTCGAAGAGTAGGTGCTCCAGAAGTTCGAGTCTATAGTGTCGACTCCTCTTGCACCAAGCGCAAAAGGAGATATCTTCACTGCTTGTATTGGTTCACCTCTAACGTTGGCGTAGGGGCCGATGAGCGCGACGGTGTCGTTCTTCTTTAGCGGCATGGTGTTTTCGTTCTCCAGCAGGACGGGACCCTCTACGGTGGCCGTGTGGGCGATCTGTTCCGCATGCGTCGTGGACACGTCCTCCCAGCCTAGGAATCTATAGGGCTAGGAATCAGAGGTCTTCTGGAGAAGTAAGAGGACAGGGGAAAACTTACCTGCAATCGCGGATAGTTTCGCGGGTATTTCCATTCTCGAGACACCACTTTTCTTCGAGGGGGAACTGTTCACACAAGGCACAGCTAGCCGGATGAATGAATATATTACTGCGCCCACCTCCTTGCTGACCTTTCTCGCCTTTTTTTGTCCTATCGATGAGACTCTGGCGATCAGTCTGTTTGAACTAGGCTGAGGCGCTCATCCTGTGTTAGTTTCGACGATGGATCGGTCGAGTATGATCAATCATTCCGGAGGGAAATGGTGTCTGTAAGACGCAATAAGAAGATGTGAAGTGAATGACGATGAGGTCAAGTGATCGGGAGGCAGAAAGAAGGAATGTCGATGCAGAAGGTTAAAAAGAGGAAAGTGCTCGACGAGAACGAGTGGCTAGCTAATTATCTATAGGGCTAGTAGCAGGGCGACCGATTCCTATAGCCCAGATATTACCTAGAAATAAAAGTTCGAATATACAGCCATGGTGACCTGGTATATTGTGTACAAAGTTGTGACTCTAGAAAGATTTCACTTACCCCATGCGGTAACTCAATCCGCCTCACTCCAATTCTCCAATTCCCCCTCCAACAATCTTCCACTCCGACTCATCCCACTTCAATCCTCTTTCTCTCTCTCTGCTATACCATATTATAAAGCGCCCACCATGTCCCTCCCCGTCCACGTTGCCATCCTCGACCTCGACGTGCCTGTCCCCACTGTCTACAGCACCCGCGGCCTCTACAGCTCCATCTTCCGTCGCCTTCTCGAAAATGCCGCCTCGCGCCTCAACCAGTCGCGCAGTCGCCCGATCGCAATCCACACCTCATCCTGGGACATCCTAGGCGGCAGCTATCCTCCCCTAGCGAGTCTACAGACCACCGAACTCTCCTCGTCCAAGTCAGAGTCTGACTCCGACCCCACCAACCCCCTCGCGCTCCCCATCTCCGCAATCCTCCTCACCGGCTCCGCCCCCGCGGCCTACGACACGGCCACCCACCCATGGATCAACCCGCTCGCCGACTACCTCACCCGCATCTACAATGACTTCCCACACGTCAAGATCTTCGGATCCTGCTTCGGACACCAGATCCTCGCGCAAACGCTCCTCTCCCCGCCACTGAAGAACGAACTCTGCCCGGACGGCCGAGAGATGGGCCTCGTGCCGATCGCCCTTACGGAGGGATTCCAGGCCTCGTTCCCGCATGTGAAGAGCGCGCTGCCAAACGGTCAGATGCGTCTGCAGATGATCCACGGCGACTGGGTGGTTCCTGTCTCTGGGGCGAGGGATCCGGTTGCGTTGCCGGCTCCGTGGATGAATATCGGTGGGAGTCAGGCGTGTCCGGTCCAGGGACTGTATTGTCCGAAGAGGGTGCTGTCGTATCAGGGACATTTTGAGTTCGATGCGTTTGTGAATGTGGAGACGTGTAAGGAGTTTGGGATAAGGGCGGGGTGGGATCCGGCATTGATGGTTGAGTGGTTGAAGATGATTCATTTGGGAAAAGGGAAGGGAGAAGGCGATGATGATGATGATGATGCGAAGGTTGCGGCGGAAGTGGTGGTTTTGTTCTTTGCTGGGGAGGATCAGGCGTGATATCATCTATGTTGATCATGTCATGGTTATATGCAGTACATACATTCAGAGTTAGACGGGTATATACATATACATAGAAGGCAAAAAATATAGTATAGAAATAGAATGACCAGAAAAAGAATGCACGAAACAGTTCAGTTCAATATATACACCCCATAAACACCACGCCATTCAACCCGTCCCAGTCTCCTCCGTAAGAAAGTCCTCCACACTAGTAGTCTCTACCACTCCAGTCTCTACCGCCGGCGCTTCCACCACTTCCTTCCCTCCAGAATCAACCTCCGGCTCAGTCTGGACCCGTACAGTTGGAGTCCCAAGCGGAGTGACAAACAATGGTTCCCGACCATCTTCCGTATCGATCTTCACCAGCAACGGACTGGCCAAGGGAGTGGGAGTGGCGTAATTACGATGGATCACGACTCCCGCCTTTCCTGATTTCAACATGCTGTGGATACTGGTGAGAGCTTCAACGCAGACGCCAAGAAGCACCACTGTGGCAATCTGTGTGAGGACGAGGAAGAGCATGTATAGGGACATCCCTGGCGTGCGGCGCTCTGGGGCCAGCGTCGCTGGTGGGAGTGGCTGGGGCCTTTCAGAGTATGGAGGAGCGGGGGTCATTTTGTTGTTAATTATGGTTCTTTGAGAGTGGATTTAGCTGTCTGTGTCTTTGCTTTGCATGTTAGTAAGTATGCTTAGATGTGGAGATGGTTGTGGATAGATTAATAGACATACTTGAATGAACCTTATGTGGGTCTATGCTTCATCCCAAGAAAATCTTAACCCCAACTAGAACATATGTGCAAGAAACCAACGAAGCGCTAACAGACATCATTCTGCAGCGGAAAGTACATCTACCTATATATCAACATTTGAGAAACGGTCGACCCATCAGCCTCGCCCCGCGGGGCGCAAGCAACGGGTCACGAGAGTAGCAGGTGAACCAACAACAGCCACGCCCGACAGGTTAGACCTCAACTAATCCCAATATATATAATGAGTTGTGGAATATTTTGCGGGCCAGCCTTGCCAATATTCTCCTCGCCAATTATACGTTGCCGTTAGTGCATGGCTTCCTACGGACCAATCTCTCGTGTTCCTGCTTAGGGCACGGATGTCCCGACCCCTGGTTGGTGTCTTGGATGGTTACATTCCAAGATTTTGGTCTGTCAATTCGTGTAGGTATTGTTAAGCTGTGTGTGCTATCTTTTAGGATCATGAGCCGAGGCGAAGACGATTATGCACGAGGCTTGGAGCTGCCGATTATTGTTCTAAAGGATTCTAGAGCGAGTGTAGTATGGTAAATTCCCGTGACATGCTACGGAAAGCGTAGTATAATAAGTACCTGTAGGATCTGCCCAAGCTTGCGACCGCTAGGTTATTGTTTCTTCATCGATTGGGGTTTCCTATTCTAATTTTAGCAACAAGACAACGAGGAACTTGCATGCTCACGCCGTGATTTATTCTCCGAAGAACTTACCCACTGATCATCCTAATTAAGCGCTAACTCCCTAGATGTGACGGTCTACAAAGGAGCTTAGTAAAAGGCAAGTTTTTTTATGACTCATAGTCAAAGAATTTTCCCATGGAGAAGAAAGGCTATCTAGGAGTGAGGATCTAGAGCCCCTATATACTCCCTGAGGCGAAGCCTCAGGCAGGAATGCCTGCAGGACATCCAGGAAGGTTCCTGGATGCCTACCGGAGGGTCCCTCGATCCTATACTAACTAACCGGAACGTTCCTCCGTACCGGGAAGTTCCCTGGCTCAGGAGGTGACACTAGATTTCCCCTGTCAGTATATACTTATTTATTTCCCTGTACCGCAACCGCCAGCCCGGCGCTTATTCCCTCCCCAATCCATCCCAACCGACCATCGCATCATAGCTAACACATAATATAAACGAACATATGTATCATCCTCGCAAGGAATTTAGAAACCCCGCTTCAACCCCAGTCCCATGATACAAGTCCATCTCCATCCACATCCTAGTGTTTACTACCACAATCATGTCCCCCACTCATCTCCCCTCATACCCAAACACCATCTACACAGTCGGCTGGATCTGCGCTCTGCCCGTAGAAATGGCTGCCGCGAAAGGCATGCTCGATGAGCTCCACGCCAATCCGCAACACCTCATTCTCAGCCCGACACGAACTCATACCTGCTCGGCAAGATACACACTCACAATATCGTTATCGCATGTCTCCGGCGCGACGAGATGGGTCCGGTGTCGGCGGCGCTCGTGGCAGCACATATGCTGAGCACGTTTCCGCGGATCAAACCGGGTCTAATGGTGGGTGTCGGCCGGGGGGATACCGCACCACGACCACGAGCGGGCAGAAGGACAGGTGGAAGGGTAGATGCAAGACATCCGACTCGGGGATGTTGTTATCAGCAGTGATGCGAGGTCGGGAGGTGTAGTGGCGTATGATTCCGGGGAGCAGAAGCCAGATGGGACGCTGGATTTGTTGAGCGGAGGGGGAGGCTGAGTCGGCCGCCGAAGGGGTTGCGGACGGTGGTGAATCGGTTGTAGATGGAGCATTTGACGAGGAGGAGCGCGATCCCCGAATATGTGGAGGAGATGTTGGAGAGGTATCCGGTTATGCGGAAGAAGGGGTTTGGGTACCCCGATGGCGCGGAAGATGTGTTGTTTGATTCTGGGTATGAGCATGTTGGCAAGACGAGGGCGTGTGCGAGGTGCGTGGAAGCTGGGAGGTGGGAGGGGAGAGTTGTTGCGTGGCCTCTACGAGAGGACAGGAGCCCTATATTACATTATGGCATGATTGTGTCGGGGTCGGCGGTGGTGAAACATTCGCCGACAAGGTTGGTGGTCGAACAGGAGCATAGGGCTACCTGCATCGAGATGGAGGCTGCGGGAATCATGAACTACTTCCCCTGTCTGGTCATTCGAATTATCGGTGGATATGCAGCTGCGACGGCTGCTGTATGTGCGAAGGAGCCACTGGAGTACGTGCCTGTCAAGGCAACAATACTAGATTCTAACATGAGGCAACGACCGGGTGAGTGTGCTCCATCTTCACGTGAAATGACGTAGGAAATAAATAGATCATTGACTGCTACGTACTTGTAATTAGAACGCTTTTTCTAAACAAACCGAAGAGATATTCGCATCCACAGACGCAACGGTGGTTGCTGCTAAAGAAGGTACACAATCCATTTATTCTTTACAGGCTCTTTTTATACGGGCTAACTTCCTCAGACACCTCCCACTCTCCAATCTTATCATGGATAGCGGGGCTAGATTCCCTAGCGCAGCAGACCTAGCTACTCGAGAGGCGGAAGGACAGTATCACCATGTCGATGTTGCAGTATCTTCCGGACAGCCGAGAAAGAGTTTGGATGTCTCTCGCACCGTGGATGCAAGGTATGGAATGACTGGTAGATATCTAGATCAACATCGATACCCTAGCAGGAGAGACCGTGAGAGTCGAGGGTCCCTGGCGCCTTTGATAGAGTGCTAAGCAGAGACTTTGGTCGTGGGTCTGTCGAGCTAGTTCATTCATAATCATACATTAAATTTATGTACATTGTTCACTGATAAGAGTGGCTTTTGCCGTTTCCCTCTATTACTGTACAACAAAATCCTAAGAACACCTAAAAACACCCCAAGACCTGAAACAAAAGCAAACCGAGACCATCTGGAGCGAAGCTTTTTGATGATGCACTCGATGCACATGCTCCGCCAGATTATCCTTCCGATTGAAGGCCTTGTTGCATCTGAAACACTTATGGGACCTCGGCGGCGCTGCAAAGGCCCTGTACAACCTCATATCCCGAAATTAGCCATACAGCCATTCGCAATAGTCTGAGACTCATCAGTCGACTTTAAAGATGGCTCTTCCACACCTGCAATTCGGAGATTTTAGAATATGCAGGCAAGAGGTTGTATGTCCTTTGCTCCTTTTATCATAGATGACCTACTCCGGTGTAGATCGACTGGCACCAAGCGGCCGTGGATGAGAAAGCTCAGGCTCGATCACTTCACAGCATCCAGCTCAATACCTGCTTGTGCTTGGCAAACAGGGGCAGGTGACAGTGTGGCGCCTTCCAGGCGCAGTTCATCGGAAATTTCTACGCGCCAATCACTTCACAGCATCCAGCGCCCTGTCTGCCAGTCGTACTAACTTACTAAGACGTGAGAATATTTTGCCCTAGCACGCCGGAACCCTACTTCCATACTTACACCCACCCTGTCCTCCGCAAGGGATTCTCGCTACCATTCTCCTAACCCATGGTGGGATCTGCATGGGACGCACCGGGCGGAAATTGGGCGACAGTACATCCGAGCTGTCAAAATTGTGACGGAATCCGTGTATTAGTTGGAGTAGCTCCGATGCGTAACAAATTGAAAGCCAGGTCTTTGATTCCGGTAGGTCTGATGGATTTAATGAATGTAATGAAGAATATTTTGTTGTTACAGTGTCGTAGCAGAGAGACACGGAGATTGTCTAGCTTGCGCCTGCCTCTACGCGAAAGACGCCCCCGTGATCCACCTGACCATCATATCAAGTGCCACGTCAGGTCGATCTTGAGGGAGCTATCAATCATCAAGACCGTTAGTTTATCCTTAACCCGCCCGGGAACAGAATCAACTTACCAAATGGCCCGCTCTATCAACAGTCACAAACGCAAACCTCGACTCCCCATCGCCAACCTCCACTCTCACCTCCTTGATCATCCCAACCGTCTCCCTCCTCCCCGCCTCCTCAACAAAAGCCATCCATGGCGTCATCCCCTTCGCTGTAAACTCCGCCTGTCCCTTCCAAGCCACCGAATCGGCCCACCGTCGATTCCCCGCCGTGTTACACGCCAGATCCAGATTGCCCTGGTAAGCCAGAAAGTGGACCCCGTGAGTCAGCAGAAAGACAACCAGATCAGACGCGGAAGTCATCCCGTCGGCCGAGGTATTGAATGCGTCGATAACAGACTGTGCGACGAACTTGTACTCATTCATCTGGACGGGAGGGGAAAGCGCCTTCCACACGGTGGGACTGTTCAGATACGTTTCAATGCGCGCGGATTGAATGTAGCACATTTCGTCAATCGCGCACGGCGCTGTTACTATTTCACCGAAGTTTCTTTAAGTCGTCGGACCAGGCAACGAGGCGTAGAGGAGTCACGCATAAAGAAGGACTTACTATCGAACCTATTCCGTCCTCCAGCGCCAGCCTCGTCGTCGTACCAACCTACCACGCCATCATAGCAGACCGAAAGCGCAGCGCGACAAATAGCCGGGTCTGGGTTGCTTACGCAGACTTCGGAAACTTGCATACAGCGCGGGATGTTCGCAGCCATGATGTCGCATCGCGTCTTGTTGAAGACGGGCTCAGGGACGCCCGGGTTCGTGGTACAGAGGGTTTCCCAGTAACCGTAGAAAGAGTCTCGTGGGGACACGAAGGCATTCCCAACTAGGCATGATTGCAGGTTGATCTGTGCATGGTCGGGATGGAGTTGGTTCTGCTGGATGATCTGGGCGCCGAGGTAGGGGATGTAATGGCCCTGAGAGAGGGATTAGATTACGGATCTAGACGTGAGAAGGTAAAGAGCAGAATAGGCCGTACTGCATACGACTCCCCGGAAAGATGCACCGGTACGGTTGACAAGTGCGGGAAAACCTCAGACACAAACAACTGAAGAAATCGATGCATGTCGACCGCTGCTTCCGCTGAGTCCACCGGCAACGCGACCCCCTCGTCAATATACGAAAAGCCCGTATCGACCGGCTGGTCGACAAACAGCAATGACGAGTTTTGCGACCATGACCATGGATTATTATAGGTGCCGTTACCGTGCTCATTGACGAGACAGGGCCCGATCTCTTGGAATAATCCAATCATGCTAGAGTCACCTGGCCCCCCGGTCATCCAGAGAGTCAGGGGATCAGTAAGGGGTTCATTTTGGCTCTCAAAGTACCAGAAGAAGAGATGTTTGGGGCCGATATCCAGCCAACCGGTGTATTGGGCGGAGCCGGCGGCGCAGATGGACTCGTTCTGCTGGCGGATGCGCACCGAGTGGTCTGGGAATTGGGTGCTGCGGATGACGCGAAACGCCTCTGGGTCTGGTAGTAGAGGCGTCTGAGTGGCATGGCTGAGGCCGAGGAACGGGGTGACCAGCCAGGGGAATAGACGCAACATTGGTTAGGGAAGGTTTGAGGAAGGTTTGTATGATGTATGCTGATTGACCTGGATGCTAGGGGGGGTTTTTTTCGTTATTCACTTGACGGTATGCAAACTCCACGCATTGAATTTCGTCGATCAGAGAAACCAGAATTCAGGAGACAAAGACAAGGTCACCGACCGTCACATCATTTGGACAGGGGTGTAGAAGTTTACCGCTCTCCGGACTTGGCCGATCCATTTTACATCAGAGTAAGCGCGGCCTTTTCACTTTATTCAACGGTCAGTCTATCAATTCTTACCTTATTATATAATAAAAGGCGTATCGACAGGGGCAGTGAGTCTTGTATATGATAAAAAGTGTATATAGAGAGGAATCCCACAGTAGTAAATTTTAAATAAAAACAAGTTCACACAGAGATAAAATCACGCGAGAATAGGCTTAACTAGATAAAAGAAAACTTACATAATAGCAAGTTTAGGTAAGAGTAAGGTTAGCTATAATGGTAAATGTATATGTAGTAGTAGGCCCACGTAAGAGTAGGTATAAAAAAATCAAAAAAGGTAAGACATGACAACAGAATCACCCAAGGGTGGTAAGACCCCAATAACTAGTAAAAATATGTACAGTAAACAACTTTTACTAACTTATGCAAGATATATATCACACGTTCATGACGACAGACGGTTACGCCGTGTTGGCGTTGGATGCCTGAGGCAATATGCCAAGCATTTCGCCGTTTGCTTAGTTATCCCAAGAGCAGCGCTTTAGTTAATAGTTACATTAACCTCGAAAGCTTCAAAATCTTGGAACGCCACTCTTTCGACCTGCTTTCACTGCCGTATTATACGGTTTACGTACTGGAAGGCGCTACGCCCACACCCCCGCGTGATCCCGGTTTCGGCAGTGGCGCCCGGCCCTAGGCAGGATCCACCACGGTCGGCTCCAGAATCCAGTATTACCTCGCAAACAATGTCTCGATCATGCGGAGTAGAATTTAATAGTTTTCTGGACCTTTTAGGGTTCGATTATAGCTATACAATATAGTCTATATAGCCTGTTGATATGCTTTAGGTCGTATTTCTTAATCTCAGCTATAAACACACTACATACGCAGTATATCATTTTTGACCACTTCGGTAGGCCGTCCCTGGCATCCAAAGTTCCTACACTATTGTCCATGTTATAAATACAGCATTGCCATCTCCGCTACATGGTTCATCTCGTGCCTCACAAGATAGTAAGACTACATTTATCTCTTCTTTTATTACGCCCAGTTTCCACTCTACTAGAAAAACATCCTTGACATAGTCATTTGTCAGGCATGGGTTCCATACAAGAGAACGAGGAGTCTATCAACCTGATAACTCGACTATCGCATCTCGCCCCCAGACTTGCCGACGACCAAGACCTCAAGGCAAAGAGAGAATGTTTGCAGATCAGCAAAGCGCTGACGGTCCAGTTGGACCAGCCAGAAAACATTGCCGTCGACATGGCTTTCTTGGTATAATATCCCTTCCCTGAGCCCCATGAGATTCCACGGTTGGTCTATGAGCTCTGCTAACTCCCCCAAAAGCCCATGATTGCTGCCAGTGCGCGAGTCGCCGTCGACATTGACCTCTTCGCGCTCATTGTGCAACATGGACCTGTAACTTCGGCCAAACTCGCCGATTTGTCCGGGGCCGAGGAGCTATTGATTAGTATGGCCTTCCTAAAACCTAGTTCATGCATCACCTTACAAGATCAACATAGTTCGTATCCTGCGACCTCTATCCGCTATTCACTTCGTTGAAGAAACCGCCATCCGAACATGGCAAGCAACGCGTATCACGCAGGCCATGGCCAAGGAGGAAATCGCAGCGGGCCATCGAATGATGTTCGTACATGTATTGTATACCCCTATCCAGATTTTATGACTAAAATTGCATCCCCAGATCCGCATTGATTGTACCGGCTATACAGAGTGCTCCCGCCTATTTTGCACGAGGCTACTCCTGCCCCGTTGACTCGAAAGACGGTCTAGTCCAGCAGGCCTTTCAAACCGAGGAGACAGCGTTCGAACGAATCACGTCCTCGCCGTTTCTTCTGAAAGACTTCAATCTGTTCATGGGAAACACCATGGGCGCCCGGAAATACTGGGTGGACTGGTATCCCGTGCAAGAACGGATTTTGGACGGAGCGGACCCGAGCACAGCTATGATTGTGGATGTCGGTGCAGGCAAAGGTCATGACTTGGTCACGTATCAGGAGAGATTTCCGAATACGGGACAGCTAGTACTGGAGGATTTGAAAGCTGTAACGGATACTTTGGACCTGGGTCTGACGATTCAGAAGGTTCCGTATGATTTCTTCACGGAGCAGCCTGTTCTAGGTAAGTGTTCGGGGAGTCCATGATATAGATGTGGGTCTAATCAGTCCAGGTGCACGAGTCTATTTCTACCATCATATCCTACACGACTGGTCGGATTGGTATTGTCTGCAGATTCTCAATCGAGTGGCGGCGGCCATGACGCCGGGGTACTCGAAACTTTTGTTGCATGAGATGCTCGTGTTGGAGCAAGGAGCGCCACAGTTTCAGGCCCAGCTAGATATGACGATGATGGCATTTAATTCGGGTATGGAGCGGACTCGACAGCAGTGGCAGACGCTTCTAGATGCGGCAGGTCTGAGGGTAGTCAAGTTTTGGGATCCGGTCGACGAGGCCGGCGATGGCATCATTGAGGCGATAAAGATATGAGCTGATCGACATGGAGGATCATATATCTGAGCAAGACAATCTGGCTATGACAATCGACTAGATGAATCATAGGATCTGGCGTATTCAATTGTCACAAACTTATCAACCAAATACTTCACAATCTGACAGTGACAGTAGGTCGAAAAATGAATGCCTGAATTCCATGAAGCGCTAGCTCAATATCTATACGGCCGATCCACTGTGGGTCAGCTGACATATAGACTAACTACAATAGGCAGGTGTAAGGCGAGGGCCTTCTAACTCAATCCGTACTAGTTTATCTCGCGTCCCTCTTAAACCACCGAACAACTGATCCTGGATATTCATCAAACATTCATTCAATCTCATTTGTCCTACTATCTGTCGCTTCGTAAAGATTTACAAGGACGCTTTGTGGACCACCTGCACGTTCCCCGTTACAACGGTCTTGATTTGCAGGTAATCCTCAATCCCATATTTGCTTCCCTCGCGACCAATTCCCGAATGCTTGATACCACCGAACCTATTAGAATGGTTAGATCTTTTCGATTGCGATATCGGAAGGAGAAGAGAATACTTACGGGCTAGCAGCGTCGGAGACGACGCCGGTGTTAATCGCCACCATACCAAATTGTAAAAGCTCTGAAACCCGGTTGGCTCGGGTGACGTCGTCGGTGAAGATATATGATGCTAGTCCCACATCGCATTTGTTGGCAGTAGCGACGACGTCATCTTCTGCGTCGAAGGAGAATATGGGTGCCACGGGGCCGAAGATCTCTTCGTTCGCTACCGACATATCCGTGGTAACGTTTGTGAGGATGGTGGGCTCAAAGAAGTTGGGGCCTGTGTTTGGGGAAGGGATGTTAGTCTGAATGCTAGAAAAACCTCCACATAATCGAGATTTTATTTCCCACTTTCCCATGGGACATGCTTACCTAGACTAGGAAGCTTATTGCCGCCAGTTTCAACCTTCGCCCCGCGGCCGACAGCATCGTTCACTAGACCGGCAACTCTATCGGCTGCCGCGGATGTAATTAAAGGACCATGGGTGGTCTTCTCATCCAGTCCACTGCCAACATGAAATCGTCCGACGGCCTCCTTGAGACGACGGATGAACTCTGGATATACGCGCTTCTGAACAAAGATTCGGTTGGAACAAACGCATGTCTGTCCCGAAGATTTAAACTTGCTCCCGATGGCCGCATCCACGGCCAAGCCGAGGTCGGCATCTTCGAACACGATGAACGGTGCGTTACCACCAAGCTCCAGGCCCAGCTTCTTCAAGGAACCACTAGATTGCTGCATCAAAAGCTTTCCGACGCGCGTCGACCCCGTGAAAGAGATTTTGCGAACCATGTTAGACGAGCACAGAGCCTGGCCAATCTCGGGGGTGTTGTCTAGCGCGGTAACAATGTTGATCACGCCTGCGGGGATCCCGGCTCGTTCGCCCAGCTTGAGCAAGGCGTTGGCTGTGAAAGGTGTCTCGCCTGCGGTCTTCACGATGACCGTGCAGCCAGCAGCCAATGCGGGACCAAGCTTTCTAGTGATCATAGCCGCAGGAAAGTTCCATCTATTGTTGACAGAGACAACCGATGAGCTTAGATATTGAAGACAACAATCTGGACTGGATAATTTGACTTACGGAGTGATGAGACCGCACACCCCGATGGGCTCCTTCAGTACGGAGACGCGAAAACTGGGCTGGCTATGGGGAATAACGTCACCGTAGATCCGGGCGGCCTCTTCAGAGAACCACTCGAGAAAGCTGGCGGCAAAGAGAACCTCGCCCGCCGCGTCGGGCTTCGCCTTTCCGTTTTCCAGGGTGATGAGCTTAGCCAGGTCCTCTTGATTCTCGAGGATCAATTCATACCACCGACGTAGGATGCGGCCCCGGTTGCGACCAGCCCGAGAGCGCCATGCAGGTAGGGCCGCAGCCGCAGAATCAATCGCTTTTTGTGCATCGTTCGAATCCGACTCGGGACAAGATCCTAGAACGTCTCCATTTGCAGGGTTGGTGACTTTGAATCGTCTCCGAGACTGGGCTTCCACCCACTTTCCGTCGATATAGTTTTGGCCGACTAGCAAGGATGGATCCTTCAGGCGGATACTAAAGGCGGCCATTGTTCGAAGTGATTCCGTGTGAATGTATGGTAGGATTTGTTATTTTCAAGAACCGAATATGGGGAAGTCTGGTTTTGATGGTCATTTATCTAATGGCGAGCAAGGGATCGACGGCATTGAGGCTGATCTCGAGGAATAGTTAGGTCGTAAAAGTAGGGCAAGGCAAGTCACGGCGGCGGCGGCGTCGGTGGGTCTTCAAAGAAGGAAAGCGACGGAGACACTCACCCCAATAATCAATCTCTCCCTTGAACAACGCACATCGCAGGACTAGCGGGCAGGTATTAGCGGCCCTGCACAAACAGCAAGATGGGGGCTATCCTTTTCGAGACTTGCATGCTTCCTCCGCCATATATAGCCCATGGATGGTTCATTCACTTCGGTGGATTTGCTCCCTTCTTCACTCTTCTCCACCCACAAAATGCCCAAGTCCGTTGACACCGTTGACCTTTCTAACACGGTCAGCGCCTACTATGCGCCCGCGACAATTGCCCCCGCGGGCAGGTTGATTCACGTCGCTGGCCAACCCGGAAGCACAAAGGACGGTGCAGTGCCTGCCGATTACGAGTCGCAAATCCACCTGGCTTTGCTGAACTTGCGGAAGATCATCATCGCGGCCGGATCTTCAATTGAAAATATTGTCAAACTCAACCTATACATCGTCAACTACGATGCGGCCAACCGCAAGCATACCCGTCACATCCAACGATTCCTTGCCGGACACCGACCGGCTATCACCCTGATTCCCACCCCCAGACTTGCCGTACCCTCGTGGCTTTTCGAGATCGATGCCGTAATTGCCCTACCAGAGTCGTCGGTACCTCCATCCCTCCCCACGGCCAATGAGACGACCGACGTCATCATTATCGGAGCCGGTCTTGCAGGCCTTTCGGCTGCTCACGATGTCTTGCGTGCAGGTCTGTCATGCGTTGTTCTGGAGGCGCGGGATCGGGTTGGTGGCAAGACGTGGAGCACGCCACTTTCAGATGGCAAGGGAGTCATCGACTTGGGTGCTGCCTGGATCAACGACACCAACCAGAGCAAGATTTACGCCCTAGCACAACGACACGGGGTGGAACTGATTGAGCAGAACACTCAAGGCAACGCGGCTTTGCAAGACGCCGATGGCAACTGCTCTCCTTTCGCTTACGGAGAGCTTCCAAATGTGACACCGTTTTCTCTCCCCTCAATTGACGCATATAGGACAGTAGCTAATCCTTATCTGTACCAGTTTGACAAAGCCACCCAAGCACATCTGGCAGGGATCCGGGATATGTGCGAAGCTGATTGCCAGGCCCTCGACACATGGCGACCGAAAGACACCAGCCTGGATTCTCTCACATTCGAGGCCTACCTGCGCTCCCGGGGAGCTAGCGAAGTGGCCCTCTCTACCGCGACTGTCTGGACCCGCGCCATGCTGGGCCAGGATCCCAAAGATATCTCAGCTCTGTACTTCCTGAACTACTGCAAGTCCGGGGGTGGTCTGTTGCAGATGCGGTCGGATCGTAGGCACGGTGGCCAATATCTGCGCGTTCGCCAGGGCACCCAGGCTTTCTCGTTGGGGCTGGCATCTTCGCTTCCGGAAGGCACCGTCCGACTCTCGAGCCCCGTTCAGTCGGTTATCCAAACTGCCGACCGGGCAGTTAAGGTACAAGCGGGAGGCGCTGTCTATGCCGGCCGCAAGGTCATCATCACGGTGCCCAGTCCGGCCATGAAGAGCATTCTCTTCTACCCCAAACTGCCTCCCGCGAAGCAAGCGTGGATCGAGTCCACCACCTACGGGTACTATACCAAGGCCATGATGGAATTCCGCTCACCCTTCTGGGTCAAGGCTGGCTTCTGCGGCCTCGCACAATCATTTATCGGTCCCGCCAGCGTGGTTCGCGACAGCTGCAGCCCCGAAGATCGCAAATATGTTTTGACGTGCTTCTTGTCGGGTGATCCCGGCCGAGCATGGGCAGCGCTATCCACCAAGGAGCGAGAGCAGAGTCTGTTGCAACAACTGACCAAGCTGTTTGGTGTCTCCAACCTCGACTCTGTATTTGTGCAGATGACCACGTACGAGTGGGTGAATGACGAGTGGGCCGGCTGGGGCTGTCCGTGCACTGCTTTGACCCCCGGCGTCCTGGACACTCTCGGCCCCGACGCGCTGCGGGAAAGCTCGGGCAATCTGCATTTCGCAGGCACTGAGACGGCTGGAGAGTGGAAGGGATATATGGAGGGTGCTATTTGTAGCGGAGAGCGAGCTGCCGCCGAGGTGTTCAAGAGCTTAAATGTCGGCATTACCTCACGCCTATGATTCTATACAATGCATGGCACCGTACGATTTCTTATTAGTATTTCCTTGTATTTCACGATTCCACTGCCGTAGATTCTCCACCGATGTGAGAAGCAACACCCAAGGACAGCATACTGATGTGTGAGGTGTAGACAATAGCTATCGAGATGATCAAGAAGAACGTAGTAGAAGAGAAAGAAGAGGCATTCCTCGGGCAAATGCTTGGCTGGCAGATTGCCCCAGGCACGGGGTATAATGTATGGTTGGCTCAACATGGATCGGTACACCCACGAAAATGGATCAACAATTTCTTGATTTATAGGTGGAATTCTAAAGTGACGTTGGACACTTCCTTATGGATAACCTTGCATGGTCGAATTCTGCTCCGAGCACGTAGGTGGGTCCTTCCTAAAATGTTATTTCATACTTGGCGATTCATGACTCTTTGCCCTTCCGACTGCCCAAATTATACGCAATTGCCTTTGTCAATTGTACATATAATAGGTATTAATCGTCTACTCCTGGAAGTTTGAACGATGTGAAAGATCTGTGATGCGAAAATAAACTAAGTTTCATCTCTATGAAACTATGTGGACTACGGTTCGAGGCTAATGAAGCTTCAGGATCAGCAATAAATATTTTTGATTTTTCGACGTCACGACATGTAGGCGAGTGTCGTGCGAGTCTAACAGGCAAGGGATATACCAATAGGCGAATGTCATTACTATCAGCCGTCTACTAAATTAGGGGTTCAGGGCTCTAAAGTTACCAGGTCGGCTTTCATTTTGTCATTCAGCATTGTCTTACCTGTAACAAGACACATTGAGTTATATGGGTCTTGCTATAGGTAGCCATTCACCGTGAAGTCAAGCCTATTTAATCCAACCATCAAGTCACGCTTGTCTTCCTCTTCGCGTCACTCAAGATATATCTTCTGACTTTACTATTTACAAGTTTAATTAGGAGAATAGGCTTATATTATCCAGAACTATTGCCAACATGAGAATGCTAGATGGTAAAAATCATAGCACTCGGTAAGTAAGACAACCTCGATCATACCTGGGTCCTCTGCTGACCACATACCTATTAGTATAAATGCGAGTGCATCTACGAACAAAGCCACCAAGCCATTCGGCATCGAGAAGCTTGTGAAAAATGAGAACAAACATGTGCTGTGCCCTATCCACTACATCTACAACCCTTTTCCCGCCGGGGTGGAGTGGCTTCAGCCTCAGAATATTGGACTCCCCCCCGACATCATGAAAGCAATGTACAAAGATGACATACTTTCGCGAGGAATGGGCACAGCAGACAATTTCCCGCTTAATGTTAAAGCGACTGCTCTTCCTATGCCAACAGGTTTCAGCAGCTACCGATAAAATAAGCACTGGGAGGCTAATACTAAGGCCTCAGAAGAACTACTTAGGCTATTTGCCTAAGATAGGTATTTCTAGGAAGCCAGACGTGGAAATGGTCAGTCTATAGCGGACTGGGCTCATACTCAGCTTCAACTGGGTACTGCGGAGGCAGTGAGTAGATTCAGCATTTATATGTACCCGGATGCAGATACACACCGGATACAGCTTCTGGCGCAGGCAAAAATCTTAATATTTATTATAGATAGTGTTTATGGAAACATTCCGGGTAACATGGATACTGATGTTTGAATTAATAGAGGTCTTGGAGGTTGTCGCGAACGAGTCGGTGGGTACGAGACATAGAACAAAATTGACACTTGCTGATTTTAGTGACAAAGAAAACCGCGATTCAGGAGGAGCTATTGGCTCTAGTGGAACCAAGAAAGACCCGATTTAATGTCTTGTCTCCCCTGCAGAGGCGAGCGGCCGAGATACGCCAGAGCTTTCTTGCAGACGAGGGAGGATCTGAAGAGCAGGTTCTGCAGCAACTGGTGCTCTTCTGTGGCCGTGATAGTCCTTGGAAGTTCAGAAGTCTGAGGGACTATATGGAGTATCGATATGAAGATTTTGCTAGCGAGTGTGTCTCAGACCCCCCTCTGTAACTGCTAGAATACTAACATCCAAGGTTCATGATCGCTGGAGCCAAATTCTCAATTGGTTCCAGAGTAGATCATCATGGTCCTCGGATGAAGAGATTCACAGGGTTCCTCGGTGACCAAATTGCAGCCTGCAACGATATTTTCTCGTACGAAAAGGAACGCAGGGCTTTCATGGATGCAGAGTCCGATGTGCTGATCAATTTGGGTGCTCAAATCGAGGATACGTATGGCATACAACCGGAGCATACAAAATCAGTGGCATATGCATATCAGCTGTCCATAGAAAGCGAACTGGCGAGGGAGATTGGAAAGTTGTATGCGCACGGCTGGGAGTAGAGGAATGGAGGTTTATTAATGCTTGTCTCCATACTGCCTCGGGGAATGCGTTCACGTCTGTTGTTATTTCGCGGTATGGAGGGAAGCGGGCAAAGATCTAAGGTCAACGAGGTTGGCAGGTTGACTAAATGATATGCCATATGGCCGTGCTCCTATGCGCTATAGCCTATCGCCCGCAACTCATCCGCCTTTCGTCAATTATCTGAAGTTATGACGGCGAACTCTGACGCGCTTGATTCAGCAAAACGAGAAGGCTCTCGCTGTTGGTACTAGAGGTGCTCCATCGCAGGGCGACGTTGCCGAAGTTACGGCGGTGATGAGATGAGAAGTAATCCCTCTCTAGCCACACAAGCGGATCCTGTCATCTACCCGGAAACTCCATTGGGATGTCCTTGAACTGTCGGAATCTTCCTGTAGGTATTAGTCTGAAAATGGGATCGTTTTTCTTAACGGAGATTTCCAGTTGGTCTACACAGCTTGAATATACTGTGAATCTCTCTACCTCTCCCTCTCTCACTGCCTCTCACTGCCTTCCTACCTCTCTACCTTTCAATCACTCTACTCCTAAGTCAAGATGCATCATCACTGGACCTTTATTATCAGCCTGATCGTGCTGTTTTTCACCTTTGCGAATGCCGGTCATCCTTTGTGGAAGTCCTCGACTAAAATTAAACGTACTGCTCTATTTGATCTGGACTCGCCAACTACTACAACCTGGCCTGGTGGTACAGTATTTTACTGCTGGGACAGTGAAGCCACGCGGAATGCATTCATTCAACCTTTCCTCCATGGTATCGGTATATGGTATATGGTTGGGTTGCCCGAATCTCGCTTTAGGTTCATTGAGCTTTCTTACGAGGACTGCATGAGAGACCGCCGCAATTCGCTAATTATCCATGGAGTTCCTGGACGTTACGAGTTCTCATCAACTGTCGGCAAATATGTGGGTCCTGTTAGTGAATTACTTCCAGGCCCTCTTGCGTTTTTTTTTAACGATGAACGTGAGCCTTTTGACAGGAGTTACCAACCAAATACTAATGCGGAGAGAATTGCCTACATAATCGGACATATCCTTGGCTTATTCCATGAACATCAAAATCCTTATTTTTGGCAACCCCCCGGCTCCATTATTGGAGATGAATTGCGATGTGATTGAAGGATTCGATCAGAAAACCCTGGGCTTAATTAATGGGCAAATTTGGGGTGTGAATGGGGTCTGTGTTAATCGACACGCAGCCTTAGCCCACGGGTGGGATATTGTTGCTCAATTTCTTCCAATCCAAGAGCTTACCTATTTCCCTCATCATCCTTTTATTCCGCCAGAAACTCAGATAGACTGGGACTCGCTTATGCTCTATCACAGTCGAACGGGTCTGAAACGGGACGCAAACAGTCTTACTCCCACTATACGCAAAATCACCGGTGTAATTTTCAGAATCAAGGTTAAGCGCGCGCTCCTAGTCAAAGAGATGTTCAAGCATTGATTCAGCTCTACGATGCCTCGGAGCAGCGAACACTTCCGCGCCTCTATGACGGCCCGCGCAGCGAATATCACACCGCGTTCCAGAATTTGCAGAATTTTCAAGCATGCGATTGGCCTCCGCAGGCTGGGCCTAGTGGTGGGTGAGGCTGCAGTTGACCGGGACCAGTCGTTGTCATTGCTAGCCACTTCTCTGAGCACTTCTAGATAGTTTATTCTACTCCGTTTGAGTCTTGAAATTGTTATCGAAGGAATTCAAACATGGTAGACAAATCAAATAAATTCAATCATCGTGCAGAAGCAGAAGAATCGTCAGTTGTCTTCGGTATGCTCACTCGCCCTTGCAGAGCTCTCCTTTGGATTTCCAGATTTCATAGTCGAAATCTGGCTGGAATTCCGTGTAAAGAGTTTCCTAAATGTACTGTCAGCATATTCTCGACCCAAATCTTCGGTATTCGATCACTTACAGGATCGGCGTTCACCTGGGCCGTAAACTTCGCCTCCTTCTCTCCGATCAAATTCTTGGGAAGACCCGTGCTTTCCACCATAAGTTGAACCTCGCAAGAACGCTCCATCAGAGTGAACAGATAAGCGGCCTCATCCACGGTGCCGCCCGTCGTCAAAAGGCCATGGTTCTGAAGCACCATGACCCGACCAGTGTCACCCAGGGCGTCGGCAATTCGCACCCCCTCCTCGGCTCCCAGGACAACTCCACCAAATGCCTTGTAGACGGACTGCGTGCCCCAGAAGTTGCAGGTGTCCTGGTTGATGATATCGAGCGGCCGTCCAAATGTCGACCAGGCCTTACCCGCCGCCGAGTGGGTATGGCAGGCAGCGTGCACGTCGGGTCGCGCTCGGTGGATGGCACTGTGAATCATGAAACCGGCCGCGTTGATGGCCGTCTTGTTACCGCCGATAACCTGGCCGTCCTCGTCGATCTGCACCATGTCGCTGGCCTTGAGCATGCCAAAGTGTTTTCCCATGCTAGGCCAAGGTTAGCGATTCCTGCATCTCCCCTAGGGATCACGTTGACTGAGGCTTACGGGTTGATCCAGAAGGTCGACGGGTCAACTGGATCGCGCACGCTGATATGGCCACTGGTGCCTTCGGTGAAACCCTTTCGTGCGAAGACTCGGAAGGCCCCCGCCATGTGCTCCAGTTGCCATTGTCGCTTCTTGTAGGGGTCGTCGATCTTGGGAATGCCCGGAAACTCGTATCCGCCCGTGGCGAGGGCTGCTTGAGCACCACTGGCCTGCTTGGGGGCTTCTGCAACGGCAGAGATGGGGTTGTTAGTCTCTTCAATAGAGTGAGTGATGGCGGTCGTAGTCATGTTGGAATAGACGGTGATGATTATTAGTCTTCTATAGATAGATGCCAGCAAAGACGGAGATCGAGAGGAGAGGAGAAAGTAATTGGAACATGATTTACTTTCAAAAGGGTTGAGAATGCAAGCAACTATTATGAAATTGCAGCCCTCCGCCACCGAGAATCATTACTCATGCGTGAAGGGTGGTGGTGTCATCTTAAACAACGGCAGGTCACGCCGACGCTGTGGGTTTCCCCCGTTCTCAGGCAAGCAACTCCGACACCTGCCGTCGGTCCTTCTCCACGTCATCCTCCCGACCATTTCATCTTCATTCAACCTCCACGGAGCTGCCTTCCCTCTTCATCTCTCCATGAAATACCTCTACTCTGACGTATGACCTGCTGCAACTGGTCATTGTATGTACAGTCGGTGGTTCCGATCATATCACTTATGTCCGCGCCAACTCGGCCTCGGAAGCGCACCAAAACATTTACAGGGTGTTGGACCTGTCGCGCCCGGAAAAATCAAATGCGATGAAGGAAAACCATCATGTCTCCAGTGCTATGACAAGAATCTCCGCTGCGAGGGTTACTCGGCCCGCCTCCAGTGGCTCACCCCCGTCACCGGTAGCCAAGGACTCCACTCTCACTCCTTGTCCGAGGGCTCCATGAGCCATTCTCTCCGACGCCTTCTTCCCGCAGGTAAGTGTCTCTCATTTGGTACCTCCAGATGGATTACCCGCTGATGCAGGTGCCTTAGACCCTCTTCGCTCCTTGCTGGACTTGGATCAAATAGACGACATTATACGCTATCTTGATTCGCTGGAATCGGTGATCAACCACGGCAGTGAGGATGTCAGTGCCAGCATCCAGAACTTTGGTGTCTTCAGTCTTGCCACTGCATCCTACCTGTCTCTTGCTGATGACCCCGGCTGTGCAGCCCCTTCCCTGTCCAAAGCCTTTTCGCCGGAGGGCGGATACGATTTGATCTTTGATTCGGGGTCGACACTAATAAACTCGGAGCCCTCTCATGATAACCCCGAAACAGAGGCGGCATGGAACCTATGTACCCTATATGATGAAAATGAGCTGCCTTTGGATTTTCCACCTCAGCAGGATTCGGCTGGCCCGGTTATCTTAGTGCCACCAGAGGCCAATTTAAATCATTCAAACGCCCAAGGTGGTAATTCTGTGTGCCCGTCACAGTTGGAGCTCGGGGAGCTCTTTTTCTCCGGATATACCACCGACGATCATCCCGGTAAAGGGGTGCAAGCATTGCCCACTCCCGCCAATGGCCTGGAGAACCTGGCGGTTCCCTCCCAGGAAAGGCTCCTGATGAGCCACTACAGAAACCGAGTAGTCAATCTGTTTTGCGTAATCGACAATGCTAAAAGTCCTTGGAAGACGATCCACCTGCCCAGGGTGTTGCAGTGCGCCGGCGAACTGAGCTTCGGGGGCACTACGACACGCATTCGCGACGCATTGAGCAAAACGTTACTTTCTATCAGTTCGTTCTATCTATCTAATGACTATCGAGCTCGCCATCACAACGACGAAGCGGTGACATGGAGCACGGTCGCTTCGCGATGCCGATGTGATGCCATTGGACTCCTCAAGTTCGCCGTTGAGACCTATCTCTATGCAGATAAAAGACCCAAGTATAAGGAGTTTCTGGCAACTATGCTGTCTATGGTTACTATCAACGTATGTCGGGCCAAATCTCCCCGCCCCTCAGGTTTATTCTATCCTCCCTGGTTTAACCCAATTCCGTCTCCATCTAGGTAATGTTTGGCGATACAAGTACTTGTGGTGTTCATCTGGATGGGGCTGAAAGGCTAATTGGCCATATGAACGCTCGAAAGTCCACCTTCTCCCGGAAGGCTCAAACCCTCCATCGCATATATTTATATCTTCGTGTGATATACGAAAGTACCTCCGTGAGAAAACCGACGGCCGGAGTTTCTCGGTTTTCTCCATCATTGAGCTCCCACAAAACATTTGGCCCACAGCCGGCTATTCCTAAGTCGCATCTATTCATTGAATACGACGAGACGCCGTCGTCAACAGTACCCATGGTAACGGATCTGTCAGCGTACGAATGCATCTACGGTATACCTCAAAGTCTTCTGATTCTTTTGAAAGAATCCATCGAAATCATAGACGAGGTAAATAGTTATCGCTCGAATCCGGAACCGCTGTCCCTTCCAGAAGCCCTAAATAATGCATGTGACGAGCTGGAACAGAAGATCATGGACTGGCCGCTCCATGAGCGCCTTCATCGAGACAAAGAGTCCCAAAATGGTATCAGTGCCACTATAATCTACCATCAGACACGAGCCTTTCTCAATGCCCTGATCATTTTCTTTTCCCAGGGTGTGCGATTGATGAGCCATCATTACCTTCGACAGTACGTCCAGGCGATTCTAGATAGCATCGAAGCGATCGAGCAGCTCAAGACAGAAACGAAAATCCTGGCAGCTCCGCTCTTCTGGCCGGCCTTTATGGGGCCACGGAAGCTTTCGACCCCCGACACCAAGAACGCTTTCGGCAGTGGTATGGCCGAGTCGAAATATATGGTATCGAGGCCGTGAGAACTGGCATCCAGGTCGTGCATGAAGTCTGGAAAATGGGGCCACCTGTTCATCGACAGACACATTCTAGTTGGCGTAGTGTTGTAGAAGGAAGAAGCGATAGTCTCATGTTGACTTGACATGCGCGATGAGAGGTATCCGGATACTTCGTGGCCTAAACAGATTTAAATTCTCTTGCAGCTTGTTTTGTCATCGGGGCCACCTTCAGACCTTAAGATTCTCGGACGACTCAAATTCGGCTCCACTAGACGTCAAGGCACTAAACATTCTCGATTAACCAACCGCATCGGGAATACGAGTACGAAGCCCATCGGCATTTGAAATGATTTAACATCAAGGCAGTCTCGCATGCCTAAGCCAATCCCCACACTCTTTCCCCAGATTGACCCCGCAAAGAACAATGCATAGCTCTTGGCATGGACTTCAAGGGGTCTCTTGATTTGATAGTGAGGCATTTCCCCCTCTCATGAGATCTGCAGCGAGAGGAATCAATAACCGATGAGAGTCAGATCAAAAGCCGTATCCCTTCTCAAGAATGCATTTAAATCCCAGATATTCCAACAGTTCAACAGCTTCTCCAATATGGACGTTACCCTGATCAGTCCATAGCCATGAAGAACCCAACTGGATCACTATTATCGCTTTTTCCCATTCTTTCGGTGCTTTGCCATCAGCCAATCCAGCATGACTCTCTAATCATTCAAATGAAACCTCAAAACACACCAACCCGCGAACTCATATCTCTTGATGGTCTTTGGTCCTTTGCCCTTGCCGAGGGTAACAGCAGCTCCTCGCCCTGGACGTCAACACTTCTACGGGGCCTTGAATGCCCTGTTCCGGCATCATACAACGATATCTTTGTCGACCGCAAGATTCACGATCACGTAGGATGGGTCTACTACCAGCGACAAGTCAAGGTTCCACGCGGCTGGTCGCAAGAACGATACCTAGTTCGCGCGGAAGCCGCAACGCACCAGGGACAGATCTACATCAACGATGACCTGGTCTCGGAGCATCAAGGCGGATATACACCCTTTGAAGCGGATATCACGGACCTTGTTTCTGCGGGCGGCACGTTCCGTCTGACAATTGCGGTTAACAACGAGCTTACGCTTCAAACGATCCCGCCGGGGCGGATTGAGGTGACCGAGGGTTTGGGAAAACGAGTGCAGTCCTACCAGCATGACTTTTATAATTATGCAGGGCTGGCTAGATCGGTGTGGCTTTATTCCGTACCCAAAGACCAATATATTCGGGACATTACAGTCGTGACTGGCGTTGAGGATGGGCGTGGAATCTTGAATTATACTGTCGATATATCTGATAAGACGACAGGGGATGTGCGGATCTCTGTGCTTGATGAGACTGGAGCCAAAGTATCGAGCTCATCTGGGGCACAAGGAGAGGCTGTCATTGAGTCAGTCCATCTTTGGCACCCCGGTGCTGCCTACCTGTACCAATTTGTGGTCAGTATCGTTGATTCATCTAACGAGAACACAATCCTCGACACATACACCATCCCGGTAGGTGTACGCACCGTCAAGGTCCAGGGACGGGAATTCCTCATCAACGACAAGCCATTCTACTTCACGGGATTTGGAAGACACGAAGACACTGCCGTCCGCGGCAAAGGTCATGATCAAGCATACATGGTCCATGATTTCCAGCTCATGGACTGGATCGGCGCCAACTCGTTCCGTACCTCGCATTACCCATACGCGGAGGAAGTGATGGAGTTTGCGGATCGACATGGAATCGTGGTTATTGATGAAACGCCTGCCGTGGGTCTGTCGTTATCTATCAAGGCCGGCACTTCATCTAACGCCAACTCGGAAACCCTCACTTTCTCCCCGGAAGGGATAAGCAATCAGACACGGAAGGCTCACGCGCAAGCCATTCGAGAGCTGATCGCTCGGGACAAGAACTACGCCAGCGTCGTTATGTGGTCGATTGCAAACGAACCGGCCTCGCAGGAAGAAGGAGCCCGCGAATACTTTGAGCCCTTGGTTGACATGGCACACGAATTGGATTCTGCGCGTCGTCCCGTTGTCTTCGCGAATATGATAGCCGCGACATACAAGCTTGATAAGATATCTGATTTGTTTGACGTGTTGTGCCTAAACCGGTATGCCGGATGGTACACCCAGACCGGCGATCTGGAGGAAGCAGAGATCGCGCTGGAGAAGGAGCTGCGTGGTTGGGAACGGAAACTTGAGAAACCGATTATCATGACCGAGTATGGAGCGGACACGCTCAGCGGTTTACACTCCACGCTCGCGACTCCGTGGAGCGAAGAGTACCAGACGAACTTTTTGGAAATGTACCACCGCGTCTTTGACCGGATTGAGTCGATTGTTGGAGAGCAGGTCTGGCATTTTGCGGACTTTCAGACGGCAGTTGGGATTGTTCGAGTGGATGGGAACAAAAAGGGGGTGTTTACGAGGGATCGGAAGCCTAAGGCAGCAGCTCATACTTTGAGGGCGAGGTGGAAGGGCTCAAAGGGAAAGTAAAACCCTCATACGGGGTTTTTAGCTATTTCACTTAGTTTCGTTAATGCCTGTTTCATAATGGCAATTATGACGATCGTCAACCCCCACAGGCCCACCGTACGGAGTGCACCGGAGGCTAGGGCAGACTAGCCATCTTCCGCTATAAGTGCGAGCTTTGGGATCTGCGTGCTAGCCATCAAACTGGTTTAAGTTTTAAATAGGCAACTTCTAGGAGTCCAATATCCTCAATTGCTGTAATATCTTCGAGGAATTGGAAGTATGAAAGGAGTAGGTCTCTGGTTTGCGCTTCTTGCGCCTTTGGTCGATGCAAGAGCATCGCCCACGGTGGATCTCGGATACACCCTCCACCAAGCAGAGGTTGAGGTACGTCCAGGCGCCCTGATGTCGCATTCTTGTCTACTTATCATGATTGATCCTTAGAGCACGACGAATGGAGCGTGGTATCTAAATTTTACAAATGTTCGATATGGAACCGGACGTCGTTTCCAGCCTCCTGTCTCTCCTCCAGTGAACAGGACTGTGCAGACTGCAGGCGCATACAACATTCGATGCCCGCAAGGGGAACCAGCATGGCTCAGCATGTTTGGACAACCGACGGGAAATCTGACGGGAGTGCCTCCAGTCACGGCGGGAGACCTCCCTCCGATCGATCCCAGCACTCATGAGGACTGTCTTTTTCTGGATGTCTTTGTCCCAGAACAAATTTTTAACGCCAGAAGAAGTCGAAATGCTTCGGTGATCGTGTGGATCCATGGTGGAGGATATGTGACTGGATGGAAGTCCATTTACACCCCTGGGCCTGGTCTGATTGAGACGGCGCAAAAGGAGGGTCGGGGTACGATCTTTGTTTCTATTAATTATCGCTTGGGGTTATTTGTGAGGCTGACGATCCCCCCCAAATCCGTTGATTATTTAAGGAATTTTGACTGATTTTATTTACAGGGGTTCCTGACGGACCCGGATTCCAATGAGGTTACGCGTAACCTAGGACTCCGAGACCAGCAGTGTGCCTTGCAATGGGTTCGGAAATACATTCATCTCTTTGGTGGCAATCCTAATGCTGTCACTGTGATGGGTGAGTCGGCTGGAGGCGGCTCAATCATGTATCATCTCACCTCTGGCAATGACTCGTCTCAGCCGTCATTCCAGCGGGCTATCATTCAGAGCCCGTTCACCATCAACATTCCTTCGAGTCAGCAGAAAAGCACTTTGCAAAAGGTGTTTCAGAGAGCCAATGTGTCCTCGTTGGAGCATTTGAAGAAGCTGCCCACGAAGGAACTGCAGATTGCCAATGCTCTTATTGTGGGCAACGCAAAGCCCTATGGAACTTTTGTCTTTGGTAAGTTTAGAAAATCCATGTTTTCCTCAATTGAATTAATCTGATTTGATCAAGGTCCGGTCATTGATGAACCCAATTTCCCGGGCTATCCTCCCGTCCTCCTGGAGGAGGGTCACTACAACCATGACGTTTCAATCATAGCAGGACATAACACCAATGAAGGCAAAATGTTTGCCTCCCCATCTATACACACAGATAAAGAATTTACCAGCCTCATCGCCAGCATATTCCCGAGTATATCACCCAATGCCCTATCAGTTATCTCAGATGAGCTGTACCCTCATGACTTCAGCGGCAAGCACGGCTACATAGATCAGACCGGTCGCGTGGCATCCACGATCCAGGATTCTCTTATCATCTGTAACGCCTATTTCCTCGGCGAGGCTTTCCGGCGCAACAACGCGAGCTTCAAATACGAGTTCAGTGTCCCCCCTGCTCTTCATGCAGATGACCTTGCGTATACCTTTTACGCGCCTGGTACCTCATCGTCAGACGTCAATGCCACTCTTGCCGGGATAATGCAGTCTTACTTTGTGAGATTCAGTACCACGGGAAATCTTTGCTCTCCTCATCAGGAGGCCGCATTCCAGGCAGATGATGTGATTCAGAACTTTAATATTTCGACTGTTGGGCCTATGAGGGATACTGTCTCGGCTGAGAGGTGTGATTGGTGGCAGAAGGCCTTTCTGTAATCGATCTTGCATATATATCTCAGTTGTTGGAGCTGGAGTCAAAATGTCAATACACAGTTAGAATATAGTTTTAGAGCACATGGTACATATAACAATCTTTTGTTGAGATGACTTCACATATTTGATTATCTCTATAGATACCCACTCAAGATCTAGGGTCAAATTCAATATTTTACTCAGTCAATTATAGTCAATTATACTGCTCCTTAGGCGAATCATTCAGCATTCTTAAAACGTATAATATACAATAAAATATATGTACCGTCTCTCTCTAGATATTATTTCACAATATGCAAATGTCCTTGAAATCAATCATCACGAATCCAAACAATCCCCTCCTCCTACCCAAAACAGATATACATCATTACTTTAAAACGAAGGCGCGATGACCGGCTCCACAGGTCTTCCACCATCCCCCGTCTTCCGATCTTGCTGCATCCCCAGGATCTCCCATGCACGACCCATCATCCCATGTCCTGTGCCCTGCGGAAAGCCACCAAACACCGAGTTGCGCGGCGCGTGACCACGCCCGCCACCGAGTTTCCGAGCCTGCGCGAGGCGTTCCTTCCGCGTGGCTGCTAGGCGGTCCTGTTCGCGCTCCTGGGAGACGATGTCGTCTTTCCATTCGGTCCAGTGTTCGAGGTTCTCGCGCTGCTGGAGGACCTGGTACCGGAGTTTGGTTTTAGAGGGACGCCAGCCCGTTCGTGTGGTCGGGTCGGTGGATGGGAGGGTGGATTTGAGGTCGCAGATGTTGGATTCGGTGGTGAGTTTGAGGAGGTGGGTGAAGACATCGCGGCTTTCGGAGGCGGTTTGGTGGGCTTTTTCGAGTGGGTTGGTCGGGGCGGCGGTTGATAGAGATGAGGACGTGGACTGCTGCTGCGTGAGAGGCACGTCGAGCCAGGAGTGGAGTTCGGCGGATCGTTGCACGGAGAAGGGGTCGAGGATGTTGGCGCGGCGGTTTTCTTCGCGCAGGTAGCGGACGGCGGCTTGTAGGCTCTCGACTTCGGCGCGGAGGGCCTCGTTCTCGCGCATCGTGGCGAGCGAGACGCCGGCGTCGACGACGACTCCATCTGTGGTGGCGACGCCGGTTGTGCCAGAGGCTCTTTTGACTCGGTCCAGGCGGGTCTTGAGCTCCTCGCGCTCGGTTTCCATGTCTTGGAGTTCTTTGCGTTGCTGGTCGACAAAGGCCTCGAGTTCGGTTTCTTTGGTTCGCATTTCCTCGATCTTGGCTTCGAGTTCTTTCACCATGGACGCTTTCTTGGTGGCATCGCGCATCCGCGCCTCGACCGTTTCCACCTTGATGCTTTGTTCCTCGATAGTCTTGTCTTTGACGCCGAGGGCCGTTGACGCCTCGTTGATCTCGTTCTTCAGGCGACGGATCTCTTCGTCCGCGTCGGGAGAGGAGGTCTTGCTTGACTTGAGTTCTGCGGCCCGCGCAATCCAGGGGGATGGGTGTCTCTCAAACTCTGAAGTGATGGAGAGATCCGACGAGATGGATTCGAGTTCCTCTAAATTACCCCCAAGGCTCCGTAGCCGGTTAAAGATGAAAGACATGGTATCGCTGCTTTCGCTTCCGGATTCCGAGGGCCCAGCGTAAAGGGTCGAGATCTGGGACATGTTTCTCGATGCCTCTTCCAGGGAAAGCGGCTCCGTCCGGCTGTCGTCACTCAACAGAAGCACTATATTCTCTCCAAGGTGTCTGGTCAACTCGGCAAGCTCTTTGGCAGCCTCCTCGGTTTTCTTAAACGGCCCGGAGACGTCTTGGGAAAGTGAAAGCGATCTGGACCGCAAGTCCTCGAGGGAGCGATTGACTTTGCCCATGGCAACTTTCAACCCGCGAGCATGGCTAACAAATCCCTCCATCTTGTTGGAAAGAAAATTGATCTCCTCGTCGCCCTCGGGTGCTGAAATTTTGGATATTAGCAGTGCTCTGAGTCGCGATACAGAAGAGGCAGCGTGGTCAATGTAAGACTGTGTCAAAGACGAGCGCATGCATAGTTCACCGGCGAAAACCTCCAAAGAGCTGGGAAGGTACGTTTCGGCAAGGTGGGATATCAGAGCAATAGATCTTTGTAGCTCCATGCCACATTTCTTCATATTTACTTCGTCCTTTTTGAGGAACTCGAGCCAAAAATTCAACGTGCGTTCGACAGGCTCCATTTCAAACAATGTAGCTTTCATGTTTTCGAAAGCATCTGTAGAGCAAGTGCTTATATAGGCAACGAAACGAACGCACAAAGACGCAATCCACGAGAGTTTCTCGAGAACGTCGTATGCCGTGAAGGTTTCTTCAAGCCCTGCAGGTATAGATGCCTCCGAAAGCTTTTCACGAATGGTACTGTTCATCAAGGACGACTTGAATCCAACACGTTTGAACCTCAAGAGCGCGAGAATAGAGTTTCGCTCTCCCTCGAAGTATTCGGGGAGATACAGCTTCAAGATAGACAAGTGCTGACTAGCTTCATCGGCCTCCATATGACCAATTTCAATGTCGATCGTTTTGGTCTGCGTCTTAGTGACCGACGCCTGAAGTTTCAAGTTCAGGTCCATCATGGCTCGCGAACGCGTAGTAAGATCGGTAGCCTCGGCTTCCGAGATTTGTTGCGACGCTCGCATATCTTCCAAGTCTCCCTGCAGCGTCGAGACCAGCTCGCGGAAGCGGACGAGGGTATATTCCAGGTCATCGATAACTTCGTCTTGCTGGGTGATCTTCCGGCACTGTTCATTGAACAGGCCTTCCCTATAGTCAATCTCCTCTTGTAGCTGCTTTTCCGTCTCGATGTGGTTATATTCAAGCTCATCGTTGATTTCCTTCAGGGCCTCCAGGTCCTCAATGGCTGCGTGGAGCTCGTTTATCTCCTCTTGATAACGCATGTTCTTGTCCGCAAGCTCTTCGATCATTTCTTCGGCACCAAGAGCTGAATCCAGTTGTTGCTTCAGGTCTTCGACATTATTCTCAGACAAAAGAAGCTTTTCTTTTGTGGATTCATACTGGGCTTTGACGGCTGCGTAATCCTCCAGGTCCTGTTCCATCTCCTTGACTTGCTCTCTCAGCTCTTGTTCTTGCTGCTGAGTCATGTCACGAAGACGCAGGAGAGCTTCGCGAAGGCGCTCATTGGTTTTCTCCATTTGTAACCAGCCATGGCTAGATTTCTCCTCGGGGCTCATGACTTGGCCAAACTCCTCGTTCTCTTCGCGCAGAACTTCCACTTCCAGTTCAAGCTCTTCCAATTTGGTTCTCAGCGCCTCGCATTCATGCTTAAAGGCATCGGACGTTTCCTCCGCCATTTCGCGGTCCAGCGTTACCATCTCCATGATGGACTCATGTTCTGCCTCGAGTTTCTCGACCTCCTCTAATCTTGCCTCCGTCTCCTTCAGTTTCTTCCGCAGGTCACCAATTTCAGCCTGCTGCGGTTGGTATTTTGCTTGCAGTTTCTGGATGATGGATTCGTATTTGTCCCTGTCCGACTGCAGCTTCTCCAACGACTTGAGTTTCTCCCGGTCCTCCGTCCGCTTCTTTTCCATCACCCGCAACTTCGTCTTCAGTTCCTCGAGCTCCCTGCCCACGGCGCCATTCTGGCCTTGGCGCTGAGATGACGAAGGAGACGAGAGGCTCTGGCGACCAGTGCTTGCTCTTGCGGGACCTGTGGTCGGCTTGAACGCCTTCGGGGCCGGCTCTTCAATCTGCGGAGAGTCTTCATCGGGGTCCTGCTGAGATCCAGACTCAAACGCCTCCGAATTTGGGCTTGCTCCGCTATCTGGTTCCTCTGATGTTTTATTGGGAGCCGCTGGTCGCAAAACTGGACGCTTGGCTGCCCCGGTGGGCGTTGATGCGGAGTCCAAAGCATTCTGTCGTGTAGTTCTGGTTGCCGGTCCAGATATCGACGAACGGGAGGTTCGAGTCGCTGCTGAAGGAGGAGGTGGAGGACCCATAGAGGACTTGCCGGCTCCTGGGCGCAACTTGGGAGGTGCCACGGTTGGCCGAGATGTACCACTGATAGAGGAACGATGTGAAAGGGGGGTGGAGGCGCCGGACATCTGTTTAGTCGGAGATTTCGCAGGGGGCTGCGATATAAATTGGTTAGCACCTAACTGACCATTGACGCCGTCTTGTTGCACAAACATACCTTCAAAGACAGTCGCTGGGCTGCAACTTTGGATGCGGGAGTCGGACTAGCAGAGCTCGCGCTGTGTCGTTTGGTATTCGCAGCCGGTGTAGCGCCCACTTTCTTGATCCCCGTGCCAGCTGCAGCAACGCCGCTCTGGGCGCGACCTCTGCTGGCTGGTGGAACGTTGGTGCTCCCCTTCGCCGCCGGTTTGGCGGGCTGTTGGGCGACGGTCGCCTTAATCGCGGTCTTCCGAACAAACATGCCATAACCCGGCTCGCACTCGAAATACTGCTCCCCTTGAATAGAGCCATCGTTCTTCCCGGTGGGTTCGTCCAATTCGATTCCGATCCAGTCGCCCGGAGAGAAATGCGTCGTCCCAGTGAAGCGAACGGTGGCCTGCCGACCGTCCGTCAGTGTGACCACATTGCCGATAGATTGCTCCATGATCCAGCAATCCAGGAGTCACACCCCTGGTACCAGTAATTGGCCTTGGAATGGGACAGGGAGGGGCAGGGCGAGCGCCGTGGGGGAAACAGGGGATGTTGTTTATCGGGAAGTTCAACGGCTTTCTTGCCGGTCGGAGCCTCAGGACGCGATCCCCACGCGGATGGTGCCTGGATGCCTGAGGCAGTCACTTGCTCGAAAGGGCGGTCATCTCCCTTTGCTCGATAAGGGATAAACATGCCCTGTCATCCTTCATCCCACTCGTTCGGGCCTGGTCGTGCGCAGATGACAGGCATGCTCCTGGAACGCCTTGGTAGGGGGGGGTCTACTACCGTTTCCCTCCTCGCTTGGATCCAAAGGAGCGCATTCATGTAGGAGGTCTCTTACCGCAAGACTTATACTTATAAAGCCTGTGAGCTGGGTAGTTTAGTACACTATGAATTTCATACAGTACATCTCACATTTTGTCTTTGATTTCTCTCAATCAACACACTTCCATCTCATCTCGAATGCTATGGCCATTGGATGATCTCTCTAGCTAAACTTTGTCTTTCCCTATTATCCGTTTCCTCTTTACCAGCTCCAAAATCCCACAGTATGGGTCGCTTCTTATACTTCGGTGCGCTTTGGTCTGCTTTGGCTAGCATGGTCAGTGCAAAAGCACCCTTAGACCAGAAATGGACTGAGCGGTCCATATACGTGAGTCTATTTTATTGCATTGAAAATGTCAACGTCATAAGTCCCCTACTAACAACCGCACAGCAAGTCATGACAGACCGGTTTGCCCGGTCCAACAGTTCCGACGATAGTTCTTGCGATCCGTACAAGTACTGCGGAGGTTCGTGGGTTGGAATCGTCGACAAGCTGGACTACATCCAGGACCTCGGGTTCACAGCCGTCCAGATATCTCCGGTCGTGGAGAACATTCCAAACAACACCAAGTACGGGGAGGCCTATCATGGATACTGGCCGCAGAACTTATACGCCTTGAACGAGCACTTCGGAGCTGCTGAGGATCTGAAGAATTTGGCAGACGAGCTCCACAAGAGGGGCATGTACTTGATGGTCGATGTCGTGATCAATGACATGGCTCAAGCTGTTAAAGGCTCAATGGATGATGACCATCCTCCTGAGATGGATTGGTCCCAGCTCATCCCTTTCAATCATGAGAAGTACTACCATCCTGCCTGCCAAATCAGGGACTGGAATGACCCGGAGGATTATCAGAACTGCTGGTTTGCAGTGCAGAAGGTGGCTCTGCCTGACCTGAATACAGAGGATGATAGGGTTGTTCGGATGATCCAGGAATGGGTGAAAGGGCTTGTCGGCAACTACTCGATCGATGGCCTGCGCATCGATGCTACCAAGCATGTGGACGATGCCTATTTAACTAACTTCAATCGGGCTGCTGGAGTATTCACTTTAGGTGAGGTGTACAGCGGAGACACAGATCTGGTGTGCAGATACGAAAGGTTCGTCTCGGGGCTTCTGAACTTTCCAATTCATACTCCAATGGTCAAGGCATTCACTGCAGGGGAAATGGAAGGGCTTGCGGAGAAAGTTCGCGCTGTGCACGACGACTGCAAAGACTTTACCCGTCTGGCTACGTTTCTCGAGAACCATGACATTCCACGCTTTGCCTCGCTAGTGAATGATACCACAGTAAGTTACAACCCAAAGAAGAAAGAGGTCCATGTTTCCGGTATTAATCACATGTACACAGCTCGCCAAAAATGCAATGGCCTTCAATATTCTCTCTGACGGTATCCCTGTTGGTAAGTGTCATGGGTTACCGCTTTCTGACTCTTGCACTAACACTTCGATGCAGTTTATCAAGGCCAGGAACAACATATGGCAGGGAACTTTGCACCGTACAATCGTGCGCCACTCTGGACCACCGGATACAACACCAGTGGCCCACTATACAACTTGACGGCAACGCTGAACAAGATACGAAACCACGCTATCAGAATGGACCGGCATTACGTCTCGAATCACAGCAGAGAATTATACCTCGACGGCTCAACATATGTCACCAGAAAGGGCTCGGACGGCTTCCAAGTCGTGTCGGTCTTCTCCAACCAAGGCTCTACCGGTGGTCCCTATAAACTTACATTGAACAACACTTTCTCACCCAACACGGAGGTCCTAGAAGTTCTGAATTGCTCAAAACATAAAGTTGACAATCATGGTCGTCTTACCATTGACATGGACGCTGGAGAGCCGAGAGTCTTCTATCCGTCGAAGAAGCTGAGGGATTCAGGGCTATGCGGCTACCACAAGCGCAACACATCTCTGTCGACAAATTCGACGAGGAATAATACCGTGAACGGTACAAGTAAGAATACGACGACGGATGAGAAATCATCCTTTGGACACCAGGCTATCATCCCTTCATCTGCCATACTATTCTGCGTTTTATTTGTGACCGCCGGCTGGTTGCTTTGAGGCCTTGTGCCTTAATGTCTCCTATTGCATAACTGCTTCGGACTTACATTCTGTTATATATATTGACTTAATATTAGACAAGTTGGTAATAGCCCTCTAAAAAGGTCATAGTATCTAATATAAACATTTATTACATAAGTTCAATTCCTGGCGAAGCAGAAATTAATAGAGGATACTGTTGAAGTAACCTGTATAAGAGTCCCCCGTGGTTCGTATATCCATAAACATGACATTTCATATACACGCGTAAAGATCTATGTCGTCTGATCTATCAATTTTGGAGTGAACTTCCGCTCTTGAAAAGATGCGGGAAGCAAATCCGCAGGTCCTCGAGACTCCGAATCGTGTGCTGCGACGCCGGCGTCGAAGGAGAAGTGACTCCGAGCTCGACCAGGTGGGCAGTTTCCCACCCCCGTTCCGCGGCATGCTTGCAATTCAAAGCGGAATCGTCTGCAGTACCAATCAGTATCATCCCCATGTCTAGTATATACCGGGTAGGATAGGGTATAACCGGTAAACATACCAACGAAATAGCGCTTGGCGTTACTTGGGACCTTGGCCTCCCTCTCTGCCTTCTCATACATTTCCTGGCTCGGTTTGCAGATCAAGGGCGTCTGAGAGTAGTCGCAATACGTGATACCTTCGAAGAGATCCCCGACTTGCAAGAGTTTGACGACCCGCTTCGCATGGGTGACATATGCGTTCGTGAGGAGCCATAGCCGCACTTTGTCCTTGTCAATATCCTCGAGCAGCTTTCGCAGCTTGAGATCCGGTTCCAGAACGTCATCCAGCGGCAAGGCATCGTCGACTTTGCGGTTGAATTCGAGGGGGTCAATCTTGTGGTGGCGCGTGAGGCCCTCAATGGCAAGACCGTACTCCTTATAGTATTTCAAGTGCAGGACGTGGGCATCTTCGGTGCTGAGGGAGAGGTGGGTGGTGAAGAATTTGTCTTTGAGAGAGCGAGACGCATGAGATGTCGGATCTGATATGATTGACAGTGTGAGGACTTACTTATGAGCTCTTGCATGTGGCCGAAGATGTTGCGATCTAATCGGCGAGTCAGTATTTCTGTCCTTCAAGCGATGTCATCTTGTGGGTTTCCTGACCTCGGGAGTAAAGCTACATGATGGGACGTTGTTTAGCGCGCGGTCGCATAGACTGTCTAGAGCAAGACCACTTACACAATTGTCAATATCAAAGAAGAAGACGGGTCTGGGGTCAGACTCCGTACTCGCGGCTGCGGTCGACATTGTTTTTGTGAATGGGACCACGCGAGAGGGGAAATGGGGAGAGCAATTGAGAGTCGAGAGAGGTCTGGGGCGCGATAGGAGGCGGGAATTCAAGCTACACCCGGCAGACGAGCGAAAGGTCCTAAATATAAGAGAGGGGCCCCAAAAATGATTCATTGCGGAGGAGTCATGGCCAGAGAGAAACCTAAGAACAGACACGGACCCAGCCAATTACGGCATCCAGCCGCGGTCACGATCACACCTTGCCCGAAGGGGCTTAGCGCCGGACGGCCAGCAAGTCTGCGTCTCGAAGCTGCACCCAGACTCTTTCCTCTTTTCCTTTCATTCACTACCGCGTCTCTTGGTCAACTAACGGTGGTGCTAGTTCATCACTCATCTCATTGCACCGTAGGCCGGTCCACTACTTTGGCCCTTTGCTTCCTAAACGGGATATGCAATAGGCTTGTGCAATCCTGTGATTGTGAATTCACTTCTGAAACCGGAAAAAAAAAAGGTTATCCTTTTTTTTCTGTCGCGTGAAGCTGCCAGACTATGGCCACTGCCCAACTTCCAGCAGGTAGTGTTCCTCGCGGACTACCTACAAAGGAAGAAATCCAGGAATATGAGAAAATCTTAAAAATAAGTGACGACATCTTTTCTGGGACTCACCCTAGGTTGAAGGTACCCCAGCAGTTCGTGCGAAAGGCCGCGGTCCGAAACAATCCTGCCCCAAATCAAGCTCAGGTAAAATCCGGTGACCAACCGGTGTCTTCTTCTCCCGGGAAGATTTGCCCCCAGTCCGCGGCTACTACGCCAACGATACCTCCGGACACGCAAGGATCCAATGCCGGCCATGCGGCCTCTGCTTTGGCTGCGTCCTCGCGCGTCATGCCCAGACCGACGTCCGAGATTGACCCGATCTTTCTGACCAAGTCAGATGATCTTGTCAGAGCAGAATTACAATTACAGCGGCAGAGAGTGGAACGGTCTTTGCGGGACCAACTGGACCAGAAGAGACAAGAGTCCCGGCAGAAAGCGTCGATTCAGGACGCGAAGCCTGACTTCGACGTGTCCGAGGTGCTCCAGAAGGCCTTCGAGATGGTGAATCCCTCGCCCTCTGTCGATGCCCCCGGTGCTAGACAAACCAGTGATTCGTTCGATGACAACTCGTTCTATTCGAGCCGGGCCCCTGATTCTCCGCAGGAAGGGCCATCCCCAAAACGACCCACACATCACGAGCTTGCTACTGAAGTCCCAAGAGAACCTTGTTCAGATGAGTTGCAACGGCTTGAGGCCCTCAACCGACCTGAATCGGATCAGGATATGCAAGATACTTACCCCGTTGCAGACGCGCGATTACCCTACCAGCATCAGAGGCCGTCACGTTATGTCGATACAGAGTATATGCCGGGCCCCAGATACCAGGCGGCCCCGGTCCCGGTGGATGCTTTCGAAGAACCAGAATACTCACCACCTGCTCCAGGTGTGGCACCAATGGAACGGGAAACAGGTCATGAATATCATCCACGAGGGTATCCCAGCGGACCGAAGCGACGAGGGCCCCAAGACAACCGATCGTCCGACCGCGGCCGTTACTCTCGCAGGTCGATATCGCCCGGGGACGATGTAAGGGTTGTTCGAAACCACATAACGTCACCGGCAGCGCCGCAGCCATCTAGGGTCTCACCGCTAGCGATCGCTAAGGTCCCCTCTGTCCATCAAACCAAAGTTTCCCGTCCCGAGTACGCCCCCGAAGGTCAGGCGAGCCCCGATGGTCCTGCACCCCAGCCATTGGCATCTAGAAAGCGTAGGAGACTACATGGTGAAAAAGATAAGACTCGCGTGGTCTCTCATAGAACGCAGCCTGGTCGGTCTGATGAGCCTTACATCAAGGAAGAACCCGTGTCGCCACCACCATTCGCCGACACACCCCCATCATACCGCGGTCGTCAGCCTCAGGAACGGCCTGTGTATATTGACATCGCGTCTCCCCGCTACACTCCGGTGGTGGAGAGACGAGAACCTCCGGTCAGAGAGCCGGCCTATGAGCTAGATCCGTACGAGTATCCTGGTGAAACGACCATCCCGCGAACTCTGTCACGAGTCAGCGCCAGACGGCCAATGCGGGATGATCAGGACCTGCGGAGGGTCGCAAGCCTCCACCACACTCGGCAACAGGAATACCCTCGTGAATACGTCGACCCTACTAGTCCCCGAGGTATGCGAGCAGCATCTTATGCGGTTGTTGAGCGTCCGCAACAGGAACGAGCCAGGTATTATGACGAAGTCGCGCCTCCCACGAGACGCTACATCGCCGCAGGCGAGGCATCTTCTTCGCCGCAGTACCGGGAAGCGTACTATGAAGAGGAACCCGCGAGTCGTATTATGGCACCCCCAGCAACACGGCGGATTGTGGTCGATGAGCACGGGAACCATTACTATGAAACGGTTCCGGCACCGAGGATGCAGCCGATGCCTCCCCCCACCAGTCGATTGCCTCGCAGCGAAGTCTACGACGACGCTCCACAAATGCGTCAGGCCAGCGTCCGAGCCGCCTCGGTGCTCGAGGACCCCTACGGTGGTCGACGGTACATGCAAGAGATGCCTCCACCGCAAGGAGTTTATCGACGGGTCACCGACTACGCTCGGCCGGCTCCGAGTGATAGACGATCCTACGCGCCGCTTGACGAGCGCGAAACTTTCCCTCGCAGCGCCAGCGTCCAGGTCGGGGATTACGCTGCTCGGCGTCCACCCTACGTGGAAGAGGCCGAGCTTCCCCGTGAACGGGTCGTTCGGATTCCTAGTGTACGACCACCCACTGCCCGCTACGAGGAACCCCGAGAGATGCTTCCGCGGGTCGAAAGCGTCCGACCGGGAGGTCGAGATATGAGCGTTTATATGGATGAGGATGCCCGGAGGCCGCGAGAGTACATCGAGCGACCACTTTACATCGCAGCGCGACCCCTAGCCCGGGGAGAAGGATTTTACGAAAGCGGCGAGCCCGAGCGAGTGATGCTTGATAGCGGAGTCCATCGCGTCTCGCAGCGCTATTGACGTGAACGTTTTCTCTTCTATGTAATGACATTTAATTCACGAAACGAGTATTCTTAGTTGATCTTGTTCATTTCCCTGGACAAATCTCATTGACATATTATATTCTTTCTGACTTCTGCATCCAGTCATGATCACCGTAGATCAGTAGAGCAAATTGATGAATAGGATCGGTCTCGACGAGGACAGTGAAAGATGTATCAGCAACACCCCTACAATATATAAGAAACGAAATATCAACACCGATCACGCGCTGCATCCTTAAACATGGTTTTCATCCAGGATACAGAGACATCCGCCTAGTCAAATCAAGGGGGGTAGGTTTACTCAGGGTAGATAAACACCAGACATCTTAGCTTATTGTGAAACCTTGGAGAGATAGCAAAGCAAGCCAAAATACCAAAAATGGAAGAAATTAAAAAGAAAAAAAGAAAGAAGAAATAGCAAAAGCCATAATTTACCTCAAACAATCGACCAGCACCTGTCGGAACCGGGACGGACGGACGGACGGGATCAGAAGCATGGACATCCGGCTAAGTATAGATTTCTATACTAAGGAAGGTTCTTTGACTATATTTAGTTTTAGAACCACTAATCAGATGGTTCAGTTTGAGGTGGTTGTTGGAGGAAGGAGGACTAAGAATGCGGAGCTGCAGATGTCTTAATATGAGCGGCATCGTGGCACTTCATCTCCACTATACATCCATGACTAGGTAGTTACTATAGTTGTCTCTCGAATCATCAGTATACTGGGATCAATGTTTATATTCGTTACTAAAGGAATATAGTAAGCATGAGCAAGTACATCAGACTTTTCCTCAATTTGCTTTCATTGCTGATACCATATGAATTCATATACTCTAGTATCAACGCGTAAAGAAGCTGGTTAGGTAGTATTAAGGAAATCAAGATTGGAAAAGTGCAGACTCACTACTATTTTATATTCAATGTAAGACTGCACAGATCTTTTGGCTCACCTAAGATCTGCTTTACTTAGTATATCAAAATACTTACTGTCACTGAATTCCGAGGCCCTACGCTACTAGGGCTTAGAGGTGCAACTATAGACATTCTCGTAATTGACATAAAACCAGGTTAGCTCAATATCATCTGTTTTCTTCTCTGTGGCCACAGGAAGAAGATAAAATCACTCCGTTGCTGAATGACCAGCTGATGACCCCTATGAACGAGCAAGTGTTGGAGCCCTTTGTTGAGCTGCGGACTGGTTTAGAACAGCTGACGGCCCGGGACGAAGCACTTCGGAAATTGCTGACTAATCTAGATACCGGGAAGGACGCACTTGATAGACTGCTGACCAGGCTGAATGATCCGGAAGACGCATTGGACAAACTGCTGACCAGGCTGAAGCAGCGGGAAACCGCGTTGCGAGACCGGGAGGAGGCACTCCGGAGGCGCGAGGAAGACACTTTGCGTCGGAAGTGGCAGATCGAACACGTTATCTCTGAAGCTATGAGGGGATTGGCATCTGTCCGTGAACCTCATGGTGGCCGTTAGATTTCGTGGCTGGTGGATTAAGGCAGAGGCCAGGTCGTCTTACCCAACCCAATGATCCTAGGTAGACTAGCCATCTAATCAGGGGAGGGCCATCAGCGACGAACTCGCACTTCTACGTAGTGCTGATGACTGGTAGCCTCATGGCGAAGCTAAAACGAAGTCAAATTCAAAAGTTTCCTGCAAAAACATCAAGTGACGGTTCCCTTAGCATCACGGTGTCGACAGGAGTAGTGTCGTGCAACATAATCTGTATAGTTGTATTCGTTGATTTGAGACTCAATTCCTGGGCCTATCACTGGTTAGGGGAAACTGAATCGACAAGCTGACTGTAACTTATCTTTCTGTATGCAGTGTGGCAAGTCATGCTTGAACCGAAAATTTCACCGATAGATTGACCCGTTCATGTGTCGAAGTGGTTTGCACTCTGTTATTTGTAGCGTGTATCTTGTGCTGCCTCCCAGCGAGAAATCACCTTTGTTATCTAGTCTTTGATAGACAGTTATTGAGACATTAGGTATGGGTAAGTTTAGAATAGTGAAAAAGAACATATCCTCAATAGTTTAGAATCTACATTTTAGTTTCGCATAATGCTTAACCAGAAGACTTGCAAATTGCAGAGCCGGAAATTCTAAATGAGAAATGTCTAATCTCCGGGGCTATTATACCATGGACGACGTCCCTGGTGAAATTCCTTACGGCACATCGAATCCCATTCATAGGGTCTTTCCCCTACGCTCCGCACACCTTGAACAATGACATTCATCTCGCCATCTATCCAATCTGGTATCTCTGCGGTCGTGGCGCAAACCCTACATGTCTTCGGCTCCAATGGACGCTAGCCAAAGATAATTCCTGGGATCTCAAGATGCGGACATAGGCTCCAGTTGCTCAGTGGGGAAATGATACTGATAAGATCTCCTAATCTCGTCGATCGCTGCTCGAGCGAAATTGAGGTGCACATGATGGCTAGAGTGCAACTCTAGAGAGTCCAAATCCCCAATCAACGCCGTGACTGTAATGTCGACGAAGGCCTTAGCATGGTCGGTTATTGAGCACCGATGTAGAAGTGTAAGCTTGCTGTCGTCAGTCGTCAGAGGCGTAAAAGCCAGCCGCACTCTCTTGGACATCTTCTTATCGGCATTTCCGGTTCATAACCACTGCTCTAGCAGCACTCCGTCATAGGAAGTCAGTACTAGACAAGGACACACGTCTCCTACTCCTTCCTCATGTTGACAACGGCGTCGGTTGGATTCACGAGATTGCTGGTCCTGAAAGAACAGATGTCTAGGATGGATCTTTAAACATCCCGAGCAGTATAACCATCTGTCATTCTCGATTTTGAAGAGAAACTGATTTCGGAGAAGCGTTGGTTGGCTGAGTGGAAGTTCGGCGGTTTTACTGGCCCACGCTGTTGGCAAGGATAGTCCCTCGTCTTGGAGGATGTAGCCGAGATCGTCGTATAGAGCCTTACAGGTTAGTGCGAGGCAGGCCTGCGCCGGAAGCGGCAGTTGTTCAAAGATCAGGAGCACAATCTCAGTAGGAAGGCTGAATAATGAGGAAGGGGGCTCTTCTTCATCGAGCGCCGGCTCGTCGTCTAGCTTAGGTCTTGCTCGGTGAGTTGGAAGACGGATAAATTGGTTCAATAATTGTAGGATCGTCGACTGGAGAGGCCTCTGTATCTTTGCGGTCTTCTCGGCCTTCGTTTTCAAAGGAGAAATGGGTTTTGGGTAATAGCCAAGATGCAAAAGCGACTCAAGTTTCTTCATGATGTTCACGATCACCCGTGAGACTGGACTTATTTGTCGTAACGATGAGTTGGCGGGTAGTGATGAGCTAGGAAGATGGTAAAAAGCATCAGTCAATCATCATGACGGCATTGTGATCTGGCCGGCGCTGCGGAAATAAAAAAATTAGGCGTGTTGTTGATACTTTGCAAGATTTGAGTCGTCTCTATTCGTCTTTCTTACCAACGTAGTATTACCGCTGTCGGCAGCATCAGGTAAATTGAACATATTCACAGATATTATGGGCTAAACAGGCCTTATAACATCAATATATTGGAGTATATCGAGTTAATCAGTAAACTGTAGCAGAAAAACATTAAGATAAACCATATTAACTATATACCATGAAATATTTTAATGTCTTTTTAGTTGTCAAGTTGCTGCATATCACGGATGCCTGGGACCTCAGGCACTCCACTTGACGGCGGCTTATTTATCAATGGAATGCCTGAAGGCACTGCTAAAACTCGAGGGTTCGTGAGTACAGTATTATCTAAATGAATGATCTTAATAAGATAGGGGTCATTGGTTCACTAATTCCAATACATGAAGGATGGCCAAGTGGTGGACGCACAGAGATTTGCAAGGTAAGACAGCGCATCCTCACATTGCATCCCCCACCACTACCCATCCCTTATGCATGCACCTCTACATATCACATCGAGCAAGCATGAAGAGGGAAACCCGTACCAGGCACCGCGTGACATGACACCTGACAATGGTAGAAATATCTCCGATCGGCCGGGATGGTCGGCCTTGCTCAAGTCAAGTAGATAAAAGGGGGAAACTACGGGGAGGTGGAAGAGGGGAAAACAAAGTATCCTATCAGTTGACTTACCCCCCCCCCTGGAGGTAAGAGGAGGTAAGGTAGGGCAGAGTGGTCACGACTTGCATGATTCTCGTAACCCGAACTAAGACAGTCCTGATTCCCGAGCGACGACAACCAGTTCAGGACCCACTCGGCGTTGCTTCGAGATGACGTCGGTGAAATTGATCCCGTCGATGAGGTGGGTTTAGTCGGTTTTTAGGACACCCGACACTGGTAGGAGTATGCCGCTGTAGATCAATCAGTAATATACACCGGGTGGTGCAGGGGGGAAAAAGGAATAGCAAGGATTCAATTGATCACCTCGTTGACTTTTGGCGGCGGGGAGGAGAAGGGAGAGAGAGAGAGAAAGAAAGAAGGGGGTTAGGCTACAGTGTCTAGACTAGTTAGTTCCAATCACTCCGTCTATGGAGAATGCTGAAACGGCCAGGAATCAGAATCAGCAATCAAATGCCTTTAGGCAGGCTGCCAGATCGTTATCTCCAGCGGATTCGTAATCGTTGTCCAGACACAAATTAACCACGGTCAATCATTGTCTTTTTGGAGCGACAAACTCAATGAGCGGCATACGCGCGACGCGATTGGCAGGCTTACCAGTCGATCCGGAGGGTTTTTGGATACCTGGAGACTCCTGGCTGGACTGATGGACCCAACCGCCGACTAGGATGAATTCATGACCATTAAACAATGGCCTTTGGATTTCAACGAGCAGAGAGGGATGCGTTTCCCGGGGTTCCGAGCGGCGGAGCTATGATACACAGTGACGCAAGGCCGGGGAATGTCCAACGGCGTTCCCTGACCCTCAGGTCCGTGGTGAGTCGTAACTGACTTTCCGGCAGACCAGAAAAAAGAGAGAGAGAGACAGACAGGGAGAGACATGCATTCCTGCATCCCCGTAAATGTGGAGGAGGAATCCCGTCGGCTGGTTGGACAATGTGAGGGATGCAGAGTGGCAAAAATCAAGATGGAGCCACCGGGGGACATAAATATGACAATTAATAACGAAGAATACCTGCCAACCTGGTGGTCAATACTCCATCCGCGTACGGGCCGTACTTTGTTTGGGCGTCCACCGTTGCCTAAGAGGATCACCGAGATAGAGCAAGATAGACACCTGAGGAACTCAGTAACTACACCGTACTGTGTACATACACTAGATGCATTGCCCACTTACCAGACAGGCAGACACTGTCGAGGCGACCGGTACTTTTGTGGCCGTCAAGCTTTAGACAGGGCAGGACAGAAGGAACTAGCTACGTTGGAGTCTAGTCGAGGAATTTAGTTTGTAGTTTACTTTGTTGACTGGAAGTGGGAGAAGTCGAAGTGATGACGGAATTGACTAGGATCCTGACGGCGTACGGCGTACGGTGTACGGTACGGTACGGCACGGGACACGGGCGCCGGGAGAAGGCACGTGACCCAGGAGGCTCGCTTGGGAATTTCTTGGGAATTTCTTGGGCCCAACAGGGGAAAGCGGAATCGTTAGGGCGACTCCGCGGTACGAGGCTGTGTCCGCTAGACCCAATGGGGCCTAGTGCGGTATCGACGGTGTACGGCAGATCGATCGACCCTCTTTCTCTGTCTCTCTTGCTCTTGCTCTTTCTCTCCTACTTTCTTGTTCTCCAGTCCATTGACTTCCGTAGGGTTCCAACTTCCGAGGGCTGACGGGTCCAGAAGAGAGTCCACCGAGTCCACTCCGGTGGAAAAGGTACGAGGTCTTGACCTGGAGCAAGGAGGGAAACGTTTCTTCAGACGTCCTCCAGCGGATGGTCAATCCTGATAAGTAGGGATGGACAGGCACAGGCCGAAGAAGAATGCCAACGGACCTAATCTATAGCACATTCCGCATAGGGAACAAAAGGTTCCCGCCATTTGCAAACATTGGGGCCTAGACACGCTGGGCTGAGAGTTTGACCCGCATCTGCCGCCAGATCGTTCGTTAGTGAGCTGAAGAGGAGGCAGATTGTGGACACTTGGACGCCGTATTACAGAAGAGAGACTACACCGTAGAGAGACAGAGCGAACGGAATGGAAGGATAGAAAGGGGAGAACCGAGAAAGCGACAGGAAGCAAGCGTAAGTCCGTACGGTGTACACTGTAGAAAAATCCCAGTGTATCCTCAGGCCATCACTGGGTAAGCTGAGTCAGTCCTCCAGAAGAGTAGTTAACTTAGTTACTTCCTACTTTCCCAGTAACTACTATTGACCCGGCACTAGACCAGTGAGCGAGTCCCTGGACTTGAACTTGTCTGGATCCGTTTCCCTTCGTCTGGCCCTTCCACCTTTTTCTTCATCTTCACCTGCATCCTGGATCTATCGCATTCTTCCCTCTTTAGTTCCTCTTCTCTCTCTCTCTTCCGATTCCACTTTTTACCTTTGTTTCTTCTTTTTTGATTCCCTTCCTTTTCTCCCCACCTCTCTTTTGCTTCTTTTTTCTTGTTCCTATTTTTTTATCATTTATTTTTCCTTTTTTTTTTCTATTTTTTTTTTCTGCCCATCATCGAACACCCCCCTCTCCCCACCCATTCTTCGATACCCGTTTGCCTGTTCGAATTGATACCTTTTTTTCCCACCCATTCCGGTGCCAGAAAAAAAAAACCGCCCTTGTCCGCACACCACCTTTTCGCGCCCATTCCTCTTCCTCCCCCCATCCCTGTCGAGAACGGTGGCCTATTATTTTTTTTTTTTTCTTTCCCGGGTCACTTCTTGCTTTCTTTCTCTTCCTCCTTCCTCGCCCTCCCTCTTGATTCCCGCCCATCCGCCATTCTCTCCTCCACCATCCCCCCTCCCTCCGCCTGCTTCCTTTCGTATCTCTCCCCTCGACTCGTTCAAGGGGCCAGAGATTCGACTTGATCCGCCTGTGTCATGCACAAGATTTCCAACTTCACGGGCCAGGCCCGTCATGGCTGGGAACGAATGACACCGACCTTCGGTATGTCTAGGCCTCACACCGATATGGCCTCGCACTCCCTCCGTCGACCACATGGTGCTCCGCCCATGACGCCTCCCACCGGCATCGATCCGACCGTCAATCTCTCGATCAACGTCCCGTTTTCCTCCACGCTGGCCGGTCCCGACGCCGACGACGTCCTGCATGCGAGTCCCGGCGCCCTTCAACGCTGGTCCTTTCCCGAAGGCACTCCCGAAGGCACCCCCGTGCATAACCTGCCGGTCCACACCAGCAACGTCGATGCCCTGCGGAGGCTATGTCATAAGATCACGGAGAGCAGTAACGGACGTATCGAGGCAACCGTTGCCTCCTCGGAGCCCAAGACCGTGCCCTCGCTTCAACGGCGCCCGCAGGGGTTGGTTACCAATGTCTGCATCACCGGCGATGGCGAGACGGTGCGCAAGATGCGAGCTAGGATTTTGAATGAGACCCCTATCCTACTGGTATGTGGATTGATTCGCTGAATGGGTTTCGATGCTCTATTGTTTTTGGGTTGTTTTCTAACGGGTGAGGTGCCAATAGCGATGTGCGACCGTTGATGTGGATATGCATCTCATCACCGACAATTCGACCAAGGGAATCCGAGCGAGTGTTTTGGAGCACCTGGACACCTTAGCTGCCTATACGGGCACGGATATTTTCCTTCTCAGCCCCAAACTTCGCGATACTGACAGTGCGGTGGTGTCTTCCTATGGCTACGCTTCGGACAACGGGCTGGATCATCGCTTTCGGGTCTCGATTTACGGTGACATGGAAAGTGCCGAACATGCCAAGACCAGGGTTTTGATCATGATAGATCAGATCGTAGGTTTTCTCCCTTCCTTCTTTCTTATTTCCCCGGTAGGTGCTAAACGGTCCGCAGCTCAAACGTCACGTGGATGCCATCAAATTGGACCTGACCATGCACACTCTGGTCTGTGGCCGCACCCGCAAGAACATCAAGCTTATCGAGGCTGCGACCGGCACAGCCATTTATTTCCCCCCGCCGTTCCCCCAAATTTTCGGTTACACTCCTCCGGGCGCTCACCGTCGCAGCGATGAAGAGGTTTACATCACCGGCGATACCCAGGAGCAGATTGCTCGCGCCAAGCAGAAGTTGCGGGAACTGGTAATGGGAGTCAAGATCTACGTGAAAGACGCCGTTGTCAATTGCAACAAGATCGACAACATCCTGCTGGACCGGCTGGACAAGGTTCGGAAGGTCATG